GATATGGGCCATTTTCCCAGACCAGGGAACCGCGATGTTCCTGGAGCAAAATCAGCACAGCAGCAAAGGACAGGCGAAAGCAGCAGCGTGGTATCCCCGGGGTGAAAGCAGGCCTCTGCGACAGCAGAACCAGGACAGGTGGAAAGCAGGCCCCAGCCGTGGTAAAATCCTCCTCCGCACAGCAGCACATGCCCAGTGGAAGCAGGCCAAGCCCGAAGCGTGGATCCGCTCCGTCTCTCCGCGCGACTCCGGGGTAAAAACCTCTCCAGTGCAGCCGTACTCTACAGGTGGGAGCAGGCCTCCGTAGATCGCAGATCGCAGGTAGCAAACAGGTGGAGCCGCTCCGTCTCTTCGCGACGAGCAGGCCTCCGTAGATCGCAGATCGCAGGCAGCAACAGGTAGAGCTGCTCCGTCTCTCCGCGACGTCTCCGGGGTAAAAACCTCTCCAGTACAGCCGTACTCTACAGGTGGGAGCAGGCCTCCGTAGATCGCAGATCGCAGGCAGCAACAGGTGGAGCCGCTCCGTCTCTTCGAGACGAGCAGGCCTCCGTAAATCGCAGATCGCATGCAGCAACAGGTGAAGCCGCTCCGTCTCTTCGCGACGTCTCCGGAGGAAAAACACCTCAGTACAGCCGTACTCACAGGTGGGAGTAGGCCTCCGCAGATCGCAGACAACTAAAACTACTACATGTATAAGCAGGGATGGCTAAAAGTTTGTAAGAAGGAGAGCTAGATGCTAACAGATGCCAGATGCTAACAGGTAGTGCGAGCCTGTAGAAATTGCGACTGCGACTGGCTCCAATGACAGCGTAGGAATACGATTGACATATTGAAAAAAAAGCACGGCGGACGTGACATCAACATAGCCTGCTTGTGCTACCACACTTTCCCCTCAAAATATCGTTAAATAACGAAACTTGTAAATAGTGCCAATCCATACAAAGTGTAACCACATCATGTAAATATGAAAGCAATCTTTAAAAAATAACAGCGTTGGTTTAATCTATGACTATTTTGAGCATGTTTGTGCTGTTTTTGCCATAGAGAAGCATTGCCACGGAAGTGCGTTTGGAACTATCCCGGCATACATAAACCACGTGACCGGCTGGCGGCGACATCAAAGAGTGTCGTAACTCTTATCTCTCTAGGGCTCTGCGAAATTGGCTTCCCTTGGTGAAAAAAAATTGAGGGATTGACCAATCAGATGAGGCTCACGTCATGCCTCACAATCCAATCAAATCGCATCAACTTCAGTTCGTACTGTAACTGTATCACCGCCCTTAAAAAGTAGCAAGCAACTGAAGCAAGTGCAATTATGGAGGGTAGATTATTTCATCAAAAATAATTGTACTAAACTTCCGCTACAGCAGCAACTAAAAATGAAATCTGATGACAGGCCAATGCCCAAACTGGAGCTGTGTACAGAAAGGAAAAAAGGAGCGAATCGGACATAAAACTTTAAATAATAAACAGCGGATTTCTAACATTTGTCATTTCATGTGGCCGGACTGGGTCAGTTCCCAGGGCTGAATTTTAGTCCCAGTCCGCCCCTGCGTGTAAGTGTAGCATTGTGGAAACAAAGGACACTTAGACTTGGATACAGATCATCTTTCTTTTTATTAGAAAAATACTACCACTAATCTGTGGATTAAACAAGGAGGAGGCCGGATTCGCTCTTGCGTCCCGGGGCTGCCAGGCTCTCATCGAGGGGGGGCACACCGGGACACACCTCGTCCGAGCGGCCCTGCACCCTGATGATGCCCGCCATGGCGGCTACTGGGGCCTTCGTCCTTAATGGCTGCTGCCTTGTTGCCTCCACACACTGCCACACACTGTCTGGCAACGGGGGCGAGATGAAGGCCGGCTGCGCCGGATGCACCGGGCCGTAAAACCTGTCTTACAGGCCTCGGTGGGGGCCTGTAGGCCTACACGCTCCTCCGCCAGGGTCATCACCGCTGGAAAGTCCTCGTCGTCCTCCTCCTCCGGGACCGGGGCCATCTCACCCCACGGAAGGGAGAACCGGAATGGCACTTCCTCATCTCCCGGCTCACCGATCTCGATGACGTTGAGGTCCTGATCCTCCGGCTCCTCCTGTGGGCCGCGCTTCGCCAGCAAATGATCCCCACAATGTGTCAGCCGAGGGATCATCTGGCACGCTTTGCAGGTCGCTCACGGCGTGGTCCGCTCCCATGCACAGGAAGCAGAGGGGATGCGGATCAGCTCCCGCGGTCAGGTTCGGGCACTTCGGGCAGGTCCAGTGGTCGAAGATTGGCTCCATATCTCTCTTTCTCTCGTCTTAACGCTCAGTGGGTTTCACTTCCGCCGCTGAAGAGAAAGGGATGATAGTCAGGAGGCGAGCCCTCCTTTTATACGGTGAGATGCGCGCGCATTCAGGAAGGCCCGCCCCAAGGCCGGCTACGTCAATATAGAAGTCTCATTAGGAGAATGCTCGCAGGATAAGGTAGTACCCATAGAGTCCAGTAGAGGGCGGAGCCTGTGAGAGATATAACTATTCCTAATAAAATAACTTCAATTAAATCATTGAAGTCTGGGATAAGATTGTGAAGTTGATTTAAGTGTTTAAATTATGCTAAACATTAACTAATCCTTCCACTTAAAACAGAATAATTGATGATAGGCAACATTTGTGTTGTTGTTGTATTTGTTAATCCCTGGACTTTACACCTCAATCCTCCCTGTTAGTTTCATTTCGTGATTGCTCTTCCTCTAAGGCCCTAGCCACACGGAGACGTAACGCAAACGAACCGAATTCGATATAAAAAAAGTCTTCCATCAACACGCAATAGGCACCAGAAACGTGTCCTTCCACACGAGACCGCTCGAGCCCCTGGAGACGCTGTAGTCCATGTAAGTGGTATAGTTTTATATGTATTCAAAATAATCAATAATAAATCACTGTTTTGTTATATTATTATTATGATAATCAGTACCAACAACTCCACAAGTATGGAGTTGTATGTTGCTTTACTTAAGATATGTGTTATCCAAATAAACACTTAACTTCCTCTCTGAGCATCCTCACATCAACACACAACTGCACATCACAGTATTATAAATGAATGTAACACATAGTGTATAATCATTTTGAAATAAATAAGTAAAGCATTTTATATGAGATTGCAGAGAATTGTTCATGTCAGGACAGGAGCGATGCAGGTCTTCAGTCACTGTTGGTGTGCTCACACACACACACACACACACACACACACACACACACACACACACACACACACACACACACACACACACACACACACACACACACACACACACACACAACTTGTTTACTCTACTTTCTTTCCGAACCGTTTTTTCCACCAGGCTGTCAGGAGGCTGAACTCTCAATAAAATTGACTTTGACTTCCCTGGAAAAGGAAATGCATTTGTTTGTGTAGAAATTCTTCTGAGTTATCAAATGGGTGGGTGGGTGAGTCAAACGGAACAATTTATGATTTCTAAAGAAGTGTCATCAGTTGACTTTGACTTCCTTGGAAATGCATTTCTCAACTGTTATCAAGGTGGGAGTTATCTAATGGGGAGCATACAGAGTCAAATGGAACGAGGAAAATCACCAACAGTTACTCAAGACCTGCATCGCTCCTGTCATGAACAATTCTCTGCAGTCTCATATAAAATGCTTTACTTATTTATTTCAAAATGATTATACACAGGGGTGCACATAACTTTTTTGCCCCGGTTCTCAAAGGAGCACCTGGAGATGTTGCTTGGTGCGCATCCTTAAAACGAAATAAACCGGACCTTTTGAGGGGTACTTGACTTTATGAACGGGGGGAGGAAGGTGTGCTAGTGAGCATGCAGCAGGGTTACTGTGCGGAGCGCATAAAGCAGACCCTTCACGTCTATGTGTGGGAAACCCTGCTATCTTATATATATATATATATATACGTGATTTATTTTGGCATGTCCCACACACTCTGCTAACTACAGTGTGTAATAAGTGATTAAATGATACTAACTTTTTTAAATAATGATATGGTTTTATTGTCGACAACAAGTTATTTGATCAAACGAGTCATTTTGATCATGTATATTCTATTTTCATAATAATATTGAACATTTTGCAAGTGTCCCTGACATTGCTGTCCACCCTGTCATTAAGGGGTAACTGCCCCTATACAAAACCATATGATGTTTTCAGTGACTACCACCATTTTCTCTTTCCTCAATGGAGGCTCAGACAGTGGCTTGTTGCAGAGTAAGTATTTCAACTTATATGTCATAATTGTAATCATATTATGTGTGTAGTTGGATGTTGTCAAGCTTAATATGTCCACTCTGTCATAGTGAAATGTCAATTAATATAAAAACCTTATAATACTAATATTAGCCCAAAATGTCCACCATCCATTAACGGAAACATATTGTTGAGAAAGGGACTAAATAGCTTTCTGAAAATATACATTTTATAATCACTATGTAATTACAATGTATTTACTATACTTTGAATCTGTCCATTTCAGCTTGGACACATGTTGCTGTTTGCATGTACATTGTCTGCCTGCAATTAGTTTATAAAAAGTGTGGGAGCTCCAACATCCATTTCTAACAGCATAACGTACTTAATACAATGAATATGAAGTTCAATGGAAAATCTCAGCTTTTTTTGGAAATGGGGAAGTCTCAAATGCACCGTATGGTGATATTGACTCTAAAGCAACATAAAACTCCTACTTGTGGAGTTGTTGATACTGATTATCATAATAATAATATAAAGAAAACGTGATTTATTAATGATTATTTTGAATAAATATAAACCTATGTAGCTTGCATAAGTAAATACGTTCCACTCTGGAGAAGGAAGTGCATTTCATAAATGTTTTTTCAAAGCCTTCACAAGAATTTGGATAATATTTCATCAGGATCATGTGAGGGTTGTGGATACACCTGCAGCTCCACCCAGCATGAAGGAGTATCCAGGTGTGGGCTCTCTGTATAAATACATGCATGCATTTGATACAAAGTCAAAACACTTGAGACACTTGACAGTTGACGAACTTCTCTTATTGACAATGGCAAATCAAGTTATGGGAGGATGGACCGGGACACAGGAAGCTACTGAGGACACTCAGAAGATTTGTGAAGCGGTGAGTTCTCAATCTACGTTCATTCTTCACAAGCTCCACAGACTACCCTCTGGTCTGGCCTAATGATACATTTTAATTTCATTTGTACACAGGTGAAGGATCAAGTGGAGAAACAAACCAAACAAAAGTATGTGGTGTACAAAGCAGTGAAATACCGGGCACAACTTGTGGCAGGACAAAACCTCACCATAAAGGTAAGGAATATTGTGATTTATGAAGAAAAAAAGCGTGAAAGCCTCAGATAGCGTGTTTGTCTTTATATCATATACAAGATTAATCAATTAACCAAATCAATTTGGGGGGGGGACGCACGGACAGAAACTCCCTCTGGAGGGAAGACAGGGATTTTAGCCTTTGCAGACTACATGCACTAAAACCTATAGAACACACAGGACAGAGACAAAAAGCAGAATAGGGCTCTTTAAATCTAATGCCAGGTTGAATTCATTGCAGGACAGTTTACTGCAGTTTGACAGAAGCTTCACATGAATCAGATTTATAATTTCAGATGTGACATTTCCCCTCTCTTTCCTGCAGGTCTTTGCTGGAGAGGAGGACTACATTCATCTGAGTGTCTTCCAACAACTTCCTTGTAATGGAGGAAAGGTTGAGCTGCACAACGTTGAAGTGGGAAAAACCAAAGACGACCCCCTCGGCACTTTTTAACGTAGACATGACCTTTTTCAACAGTGTAATACTTAAAGGCAGCAGTCTGATATTAAAATGCTCTTCTTCTTTATCCTGAAATTATTAAAGAATGATTTTGAATCAGATACACAGAGATACAGATATTTGGTGTTGGGTAGCAGCAAGTTGAACTCATTTCCTTTTTAAATACATAATAAAGAAAGCATTACAAATCTCAAAATATGTCCTCTGGTTCTTGTGTGTATTTGATTTTCTTCAGTGAAGTCTGATTTCTAAAATAGTTGTAATCTTGGCTGGAATAAATCATTACCAACGATAAAAAGGTAACCCTTTTAGTTTTCACGCATCTTAAAACAGATACAGATACTCATGTTGAGTTTTGATTTCAAAAACCAGGAAGCATGTTTCACTGTCAGTTACTTGATATGTGCCTCTAAGGAGAAAACAGGTTTCACACATTGTTCAGATATAAGAAAGTGACTGCCAACTTTCCTGAGTGAAGCCAAAGATAATGACAGAGGTGTAAACATTACTGATTAAATATTGGTTACCTTCAGACTTCTGTCACTGACAACATCATCCACATTCAGCTCTGATTGCACACTTTACCTGGAGACAAGGAAGGACAAACAGATCAAATGTTGATGACTGACTAGTTATTTAAATATGGAATATATTAAATGTATTGTTGCCTAAAAACAGCTTGTATAACTCCACACACAAAGATATCACCTGGCTGTGAAGATGTATCATATTCTGTTACAACACTACTAGAGGAGAGAAAGAAACAAATAAATACAAATAATAATAATAATAAAAGAAAAAACTTATTTGTTATTGATTATTTTAATTTAATATAAAACTATGTATAAGGAAATACTTCTACCCTGGAGAAAGAAGTGCATTTTATACATTTATTTGTATTTTTTCCTGAAAAACAATTTGGAAATGATTTCTTCAGAAACGAACCAAACTCATCAGGATCATGAGAGGGTTTTGGATTCACCTGCAGCTCCAGAGGCTTTACTTGAGCACCAAAACATTATTGACAAAATACTTCATCACAAGTAGAAAGTCCTGCATTCAAATGTTACTTTGATAAAAAGAAGAAAGGGTTATCAGCCGAATGTATTTAAAGTATAAAAGGACAAAGTAATCATTGTGCAGACAAATGTCCTTTATGTGTATATCATTATAATTATACATTTCTGGATAATATTGTTGCATCAAGAAGCCTTTTACTATTGCAGACAAACAAAGTTCTGATTGACTTTTTGTAAAATATGAACTCTTTTGTGACTCAAAGAGTTAGTCCACTAGTTAGATTTTGAGAGATGCATTTTGTAGCTAAAGCTGTTAAATACATGTTGTGGAGTGAAATCACATTATTTGTACCTGATAACCTGTTTCAAAAGTGCAATACTTAAAGGTGGGGTAGGTAAGTTTGAGAAACCGGCTCGAGATACACTTGTTGTATTCCATGGAATGCTCTTAACATCCCGATAGCAATGAATATCTGAAGTGCTTTGACAACAAATTGCCGCCCTGTCTGTCAGCCTTCCATCTCGTGCACGCACAAATGTATCTCGTGCCCTCATTGGGCGTGCATTGCGCGTTCATGTGTGTTGGAGGAGGTGCTCTGTAAGGAAGTCTGAAGGAAGAGGCAGATTCTTTTCGGCTGTGTACTTTCAAATTTTAGTGCACTCGAGCCGGTTTCTGAAACTTACCTACCCCACCTTTAATGGTTGCATTCTCATATTGAAATCTGTCTAAAAGTTTATGTAAAATTCAATCTGTAAAATAAAAATTCTCCAGAGTTTCTTAGACATCCCTCATCTCCCTCTATTTCAGCCCTGTTAGAGAATAGCTGATCTGGGTCCTGAGCTTAAGCTAATGCATGCTCAGAATTCCAGGAGACACTCAGCTAAACGCCATCATGTTCCAAACCACATCAAGGAGTATTTCTGAAACAGTATGGAGCTCAAATGCTTTCTCTCTCAGGTTTACCACAAGGTGAGTTCCTTTTTATATTTCCGGCTTTTTTACACATACTCTCTCCAGTACAGGTTAGCTCTGAGTGTTAGCATGCTAATGTAAACAAAGACAATATTTTGTCCAAAACAGCCAGGCATTGTTTCTGATAGTGCTGTCGGTCCACATTTCAGATATTACGTCATATCGGACGCAAATCTGGATCAGCTCCGTTGTTCCCCCTTTTTAGAGATTTGGGTACGGAGGAAAAGAGAGAGGGTTTTATTCTCTGACGCTGCGTGAGTTCCCCGACACACCGGGGACACATTGATGTATAAAAGACATCAAAAAGTGCATTTTGCATGATAGGTCCCCTTTAGGGTTGTGTGTTGGTGTTCGGAACCCTAACAAGTTCAAACCCCACTGCAGTCAGCATGCCGTTGTGTCCCTGAGACACTTCGCCCCAAATTGCTCCTGTGGGGATTGCCCACAGTATTGAGTATGTGAGTCGCTTTGGATAAAAGCGTCTAACACGTAACATGTGATGTAATGTTTAAAGCATGGAGACATGTCCCAGTAGAGACACTAAATACTGATATGAACCCGATTTTCCCTACATGGATCAATAAGCTCTATCTCAGTTCCCCCAAATGATTGAAATCACAGACAACACATGGCACTTGAAAACATTTCATTGTCTTTTTAAAAAAACATCTTTTTTTTATTACAATTGCTCCCTTTGGAGAAGCACAGGCATGACTGTGTTACAGCTGTAGTAATGCACACATGGATCACATGGAATATAGGTGTGTTGGAGGTCAGAGGGGTGTGTGTGTGTGTGTGTGTGTGTGTGTGTGTGTGTGTGTGTGTGTGTGTGTGTGTGTGTGTGTGCTCCACAGCAGGACACACACTCTCAGCTCCAGTCTGGACTTGAACCTCGAGTAAAGCATCGGGCGGAGCTTCACTTCACCTTCGGAGGCGTGTAGTGGATTCTGCACCTCTCACTGAAAACCTGAACACAGGAAGTCAGGAACGTCAGATAATGACAGAGCAGTGGAGTGTGATTATGGGATGTTCTGATTATTGTGAGCTTACCTTCAGACTTCTGTCATTGACAACCTCTTCAACGTTCAGCTCTGATTGCATAAGCTTTAACTGGAGACAAGGAAGGAAAAAGACGTTACTAAATGAAGGTCAGCGCAGATTCATTCACAAGTCTCTCTCTCTCCCCTCCAATCAGTGATTAGATCAGCGTTTCACTCTCTTAGCCAATCATAGCGCTACTGTTTAAATCAGCTCTCTTCTCATTTCAAACTGTTGTATATATGGCAATACGTATGATAATAGTACCCTCAAAACAAAGTCTCTCCTGATTAAAATGTATTATTTTCACACAAAGTACGATGATCAACTTTTATCAATTATATATTACATTTTTTTGCCTACAAATTAGTTTACATAACTAGTCCACACACACATCTATTAAAACTGTATCCAGAAGTTTGTTACGGAAGGTAGTAATATCCCGTTTTCCTTTTAACTCCTTTCTTCTGAAGAAATAGTCCCTATGAAATCTGTCCACAGTGAGTTTAGAGGATTATCCTGACCAACTAGGACAGTGGTTCTCAAATGGAGCTACGCGGACCCCTAGGGGTACGTTGGAGTACTGCAGGGGGTACGGGAGATTTATTTTATGTTAATGAAAAAAACAAACATAATTAATGTATTTAAACAAACTACTAATAGTAGATTAACTACTTTATTCAAAGGTTTACAGAAACTCTGGATAATAAAATGGGAAAAATAAACGGGGTGCTCTCTTTTCCTCTCCCTCTCCTGACAGCCCGTCAGTCTCCTGCAGCTCGCTGAACCTGTAATAAGTGACCCGACAGTAAAGAATAAATATAGTTTAGCTAGTTCCAGAGTAGATCAACTAGCTTAGTGTCTTAGGTCTAACTCTTAGTGTATTTTGCTCCACTCAACGGTCCGTCACAGCGGCGGAGCTGTGATCATGCAGAGCTGCGTGTTCTCCGTCAGCAGCAGCTGATCTGATCTCTGATCTCTCTCTCGCGTCCGGTTAGACTTCACTCGCGTTTATGTCCAAATCTATCAGATCTAGCTAGTTCTAGTTAATTATATGACTGCCTGCTTATCAAAGGACACCTAAACAATAAGCGTTGCTTGGCAACGGCGTGTGGCCGCAAAGTATAGCGCAGCATTATGCATATGTTTATATGAGGGGTCAAAATCCCATGCTCATAAAATGCTCATATTTTTTTTTCTCTTCATTCCCCACGCCCCAAAATAAATAAATAAATATATCAATTTTAGGAAAAGTAAGGAAGTTTGAGCAGTGTGAGTTTTATATTAACAGAGTTTCACATATTTCAAAACGCGAAGTGTAATAGCTGCAGTTTGCCTCCCTGTCAGAATGACAAAGCTCCTCAGTGAAGCTCAAGCCCATGTTTCTCACTATGTAAGTACAACTTATTAAAAAGATCAGTTCAATGCAGCTAATGTCATCTCTGTGTTATTGCATGATGTTAAAATTGGTTTGCCATGAATTTGGTGATGGATTGTAAACATTTGAAATGTAGCATTTAAGTGTTTCTCAGTTACAATGTTGTTGTTTTAATAACTCAGACACTGATGGTGCAGCGCTGTGCTGTACCTCTTTATAGGCCTTTTGTCCCTAACAAATAGTTGTTGCGCTGATCAGGGGAAACGTGGCTGACATTGTTTTTTCAAAGGGGGTACATTATTGAAAAAAGTTTGAGAACCACTGAACTAGGACATGTTTCCGTAGATTATAGTAAATTAAATATACAAATATATTGAGAAAATGTTCGTTTTTGGTGATTTGGGTGAAGCGCCACTGAGGGAGACTCCTCCAGCTGCAGATGTCTCTCAGCTGCTGGTGTTTGGAGCCCTCTAACGTCAGGAACAGGACTCACTTTGGTCTGCTCCTTCCTGAGCTGTCTGAGGAGCACCAGGTTGTCGCTGTCCTTCGCTCTCTCTTGTCGCAGTTGTCCCATCACCTCAGATGTTTGAGCGATACAGGACTTGATAGCTTTATCTCGGGTCAGATGGGCCTCCATCATCTGTGGAACACATGATATAAATAGTTGATCATCAGTGTGATGGGCAAAAGCTACGAGGTTTGGTTTTAGTCATGGCTACCACTCACAGTTTCATAGAGCTGTTTGCATGTTTCTGAAGCGTCCACTTTGCCTGAGAAGGACACTGTGGGCACGGTGGTGTTCAGGGAGTGCACGATGCGGTCGTCTATGTTTCGCATCACCCTCAGCACCTCCTGAGAAATCAAATCATGTTTTATTTATAGAGCACATTTAAAAACCATTGTTGGTCGAGCCAAAGTGCTGAATATGCAATAAAAACACTTTACTACAATAGCAAACAGAAGACAATAATTGACTACAGCAAATATAAAAACAAAACACGGGGAAATGTCACGAGTCGTGCTCCGCTCTGACTAGAAGGCCAGGGAGAAGAAGTGAGTCTTCAGTGAGGATTTAAAACCCCCGAGGGTCTGGGCCGACCTCACAGGGCAGAGTGTTGAGAAACACACAGCGGGGGAGGAGACAGAGTCAACCAATGACCTTCAAGGCAAGGAATTAAAGGTCACACAATGGTTTGCTGTGGTTTTAGTTATCAGAGAATAGTCTGATTCCTACAAACTCACTAAACTACATACAAAATCTGGCTAATAGTCGTCCAATCATATTTGTGTGCAGTGTACTTCAGATTAAATATCAGAATAGGAACTCATGATTGTTTCGCAATTGGTTAATAGTTCTATTAAAAGCTGCAACTAATGATTATGTATATAAACAAGTGAAAATGTCCATCCAAGGTGCACAAAATCCAAATTGATGCCATTAAACGTATCGGTCAAAAACCCAAACATGTTCAGGTTAATATAACGCACACCTCAAACAGGATTCACACAGAAACACTGACATATATGGATCTCTGTGAACCCTACAGAGAAGTTACACAATATCTAAGATGTGCAAAACTCCTGCACAAAACAAGTGTTTCAAACCTGTGCTCAGCCTGCACCCAAACATGTTGCAGCTTAAGAGCCCAACACGTAGGCCAGTTTAGATGGATGATAACACGATTGAGGCGGTTAGGTAAATTATCTAAACCCGTGACAGATTTTAAACCACATGCTGTTTGTTTTCAGTGATCAACTGTGGCTCCTTGAACTCTTCCCAGAGCAAACCGTGTTCACTCGTGCTCTGTCTGAACACTACGCAGAATTATAATCAAACGCGGGTATGATTTACATCGTTACCGTGTCTTGTTAAGTTAACTCGTAAGTATTAATGCTGCGTTTATTTACCTGAAACATTGAGAAGTCCTCACAGTTTAAAGTTCTAACGGGCGCAGCCATGTTGGACTGCAGGGTCCTGAACATACACAGCGCGTGAGGGCTGTTCAAGGCAGTGCCTGAATAAAAAAAACATTTAATCAAATTAGATAAATATTATTTAAATATTTAAATTGGTTATCAACACAATAATACACAATAATACTTCAATTGTAATGGAAACATTGTTTTGTATATTTAACAGCAATTTTAAGCAAGGGAAATGTGTATTTTCTACTAGCTTTTAATGTTTTTTTGTAGTTTTTGTTAAAAGAAATGTTGGATAACTAAACATTGGATGAATAAAGTATATATATATATATAAGTCTGTCTGTCTGTCTGTCTGTCTGTAACAGTTATATAACTTGTGACCACATTTCCCCCATCGATTCCCCCTACTTTGACCTACACTCACTCATATATTATGATGCCTTTACATAATTAAACAATAACCCTATTAAAGGTGGGGTAGGTAATTCACTTCAGAAACACTTTTTTGGTATATTCCATGGAATGTTCTTAACATCCCGATAGCAATGAATACATTAAACGCTTTGACAATAAATATATACAAACATTTCATCCGTGGAAGTCGTAGCGCTGTAAAAAGCTAGTCCAATCATCTGCCAGATCAGATGATTGGATGGCCTACCTGCCTGTCAGCCTTCTTGTGTGTTGGAGGAGGGGCTCTGTGAGGAAGGGGCAGATTTTTTTCGGATGTGGACTTTCAAATTCTAGCGCACTCGTATGGGCTCAGAACAGTCTCATAATACACACATGCGCACAGAAGGATGCACACTTGTATTTCATGATCCGCAAAAGGATTCACACTTGTATTTTCGGATCCACACTTGTGTTTTTCAATGCACACACAAATGTATTCCGTTTCATATACATGTAAATAAAATCCAAATACAGAAAAAAGTTTTACATGTGTATTTTTGATCCTCACATATTTGTTTTCCGTTTAAAACTTCTGAACCTGCAAACACAAACAGCTTTCTGTGCACGGATCGCTGTGCATTCGTGTGTGGGTTTTTTGAGACTCCCCTGACGGTCAGCCGATTCGTACTTGTAATCTTTTCTATATATAGCCAATCAGATGTCTCCTCAATTCTAAGCCAATCACATGAGCGCGCCCCCACAAGGGTAGATTTATTGCGTTCATGACGTAGCGCTTCATGTACGCATTTTGCGCAGTCCGGAGCTGACAGCTCCATGGAGCCTGCCTGCAGGCGCTAATCTCAGGACACCCTCCACTCTCAGTACAGCGCCACTTTCCGAACAGGAAATGCACGCAAATACAAGCCTTTATATTATTAAGGTACAGCGCCACTTTCCAAACCATTGATGAATGCTTGTGTACACCGTTTTAAATGTATGTATGTATGGCGAATACAGCTGCTTTATTTATGTCTGTATGAAGTTGTTGTGAGTGTGGAGGGAGCAGTTACAGGTTAGCTTAGCCTAATCGATCAGTGCACTATAGTCAGTGCTAGACAGTGACCTGTTAACGGGGGGAGCCCCGCCGGTCATTATCGGCCGATATTCACTCTTAATAGTTTGATCGGTGCTCTCTATAAAGGTCGATCAGGAGAGCTGGATCTGATCGATATGGACATAAACGCGAGTGAAGTATAACCGGACGCAAGAGAGAGATCAGATCAGCTGCTGAGTCTGACTGAGACACGCTGCTCTGCATGATCACCTGATGCTCCGCCCTCTGTTTAGCGAGCTGACCGGACTGCGCAAAATGCGTATATGAAGTAATCTTACCCTCGTGGGGGCGCGCTCATGTGATTGGCTATAGATAGAAAAAATTACAAGTACGAATCGGCTGACCGTCAGGGGAGTCTCAAAAAACCCACACACGAATGCACAGCGATCCGTGCACAGAAAGCTGTTTGTGTTTGCAGGTTCAGGGGATTTAAACGGGAAACTAATAAGTGAGGATCAAAAATACATATGTAAAACTTTTTCCTGTATTTGGATTTTATTTACATGTATATGAAACGGAACACATTTGTGTGTGCATTGAAAAACACAAGTGTGGATCCGGAAATACAAGTTTGAATCCTTCTGTGTGCATGTGTGTATTATGAGACTGTTCTGAGCCCATACACTCGAGCTGGTTTCTCCAAAATTACCTACCCTACCTTTAATATATAATTCAACCCACTAAAGTTAATCAATATTCCATTGGGGGACATGTTTTAATTAAAGATCTGATTTTTTAGATCAGGCAAACAGCACAGGCAGCTCATCTAATGTGATGGGTCCTTCTGGTGGTAGCGGGTAGTGACTTTCAGCAGCTGACGGAGGACTGCTCTCGAATGGCTTCAGAGACACACTGCTCCTAATTTACTTGTTTTACTAACAAAACACAACATGAATTTCGTCAGAACTCGCCTCTCTCTTGGCAACCTCATTGGTTCGTATCTAACCTTCATTCACGTGTTGTTTTTGATGTGTTTACCTGGCTGTAAAGTGTGCCTCTTCTCCCACTAATTCCAGTAAATGGTGGCTTTAAAGGTGTTTGTATTGATAGTTGCTATGAACACGCCTCACTAAATTACTTTGACTTGGTAAACTGTGTTGTTTTTGATATAATTATACGATACTTCTTCTATGATTTGTCCTCCTGACACACCCCTGTCTTATTAAGAAAGTGCGCAACACACTGACATTTCTGCTTTATTCTATTTCTTATTGGATATCTCGCGAGAACTCATTTGCTATGTTTGTAGAATGTGTTATTTTTGGTGTGATTAAACCAAGCCATCAGCTATTGTTTAAGCATTTTACCAAAGAAAATACACATATTTTGCAGTTACAGCCTCTCGGATGTTATGGGGTTTTTTTTCTTGTGAAAGAGTAAACTGAATATCATTGATTTTTGCCAGTTTAGTAAATTCAGTTGGGCTTTCTCCCTTGTTGTCTGACATTTGAAATACTAAATGATACCAAAAAATTCCTTGAAGTTTTCCTAATGTTTCTGTATATATTGTGAACAGGTCAGAGGTGCAGACAGGTCACTGAAACATGGAGCCACAGAGGGATGTGCAGCAAACCAGAGGTGGTCAAAGCAGAGCCCCCAGCAGCCCCAGCAGCACCAGTAGCCCCAGCACCAGGTACAATTTAGGATCATAAGCAGATAGATATACTATTCTGTTACCACCCACTAATACAAATAACATGTAAATATGTTTGTGGAAAGAGAGTTAAAATTCCCCCCAGTGATTGTTGCTTCAGTAACACACCCCACAGGAGTGTGTACATCACAGGACACTTGTTGCCGTACGAAGTGTGTGAAACAATTTCCTTTGTCCCAGAGGAAGGAGGAACACAGGAAGTGGGGTTACAATCCGGGGTGATGGAGCGAATCACTAGGGCTTGTGAAAGTGAACTGTAAAATGATGATTCTGCCTGCTTGTTTTTCATTTTCTAACGTGCGTTTTCCTTCCAGTTGCTCGTGCCTCGTTCAGGGTCCCAGGCTACAAACCGTCGAATATGGACAAGAAGTTTCTTCTCTGGTCGGGACGCTTTAAGACAGAAGACCAGATACCAGAGATTGTGTCGTGAGTAGCTTCTTCCTGTTTACACCAGACCTCCCAGCGCACTGATTGGCTCTCTGTAATTCAGTTAACATACATCACAAGAACAGAGCTCGCTGCAGAGGCTGGCTGATGTTCCCGAGATGAATGCCCTTTAAACAAGGCGTCTGTTTTGAGCTGGAGGTAATGACTGATTCTTAAGTCATTATAATCAGATCTGCTGCTGCGATAGAAGTCCTGATTGTCACGTACACAAACTGCAGACCTCCCACCCTCACAATAAACTGAGATTTGGTGTCATATTGACGCTGCTGAAAAGCATGATTAGCAGGTTATTGTCGATGATTGCAAAGGAACATGCAGGATATGTAAACAAACCTGCGCGTGGATGTGTTGCGTTTGATATTTGTTGTTTGTCCACCTGCCCGTGCCTCAGGTTTGAGATGCTGGATGCTGCCAGGAACAAAGCGAGAGTGAAAGCCTGCTACGCGATGATGGCGATCATGATTGTGGCGTGTTTGATCACGGTGATCCTGGGCAAACGGGTGAGTGATAATGGACGGCCGCTTTGTGATTCATGCTTTTGTTTTCTCCAGTTTCTGTTTTAAAAAGGAGGATAATCTCGTTGTGCTTTTACACCTGTAGCTCAGTACATTTGGACCAGACAACAGACGTGAAAATTAGACATTTTTAACAGATCCTATTTCTCCTTTTTCTCAGGCTGCAGGCAGGAACGAGTCTCTGACAGTCCAAAACATGGAGAAGAAAGCAAGATGGAGGGAGGAAGTACAGAGAGAGAAGGAAGCTGCTGTCGCCATGTCTGAGAAGGCTCAGTAAAAGATCACGTCCCTTCAAACCCTCATATTGGGCCCAGCGTCCCCCTAATCCCTGTATTCATCACAACTTCAGAGCTCTCCACTCCCATCCTAAATAGCAGCCAACAGAAATCACAGCAGTTGTTGTTTGTGATTCTTAACTTTTTTTTAAGCCTTTGTGAAATTTTATCTTCAACTAACAAATACTGTGGCGTTGTGAAATCCGTGTGAGACGCACCAATAACGTTTTATCTATCAATGCTTCTAGTAAGCTTTCAACATATACCTCGAAATCTCTCAAATAACTGCCTTAGTTTTGAAATTAGCCGTCAAGGCAACGGTCCGACTTGTGATGACAGTTCAGGTTTAAAATGGTGTTCTGTTTTTCTGTAAGAGAACGTCAAGAAGTGGATCAGGCCTCTGCACGAGGGTCCGTTCTGGATCATGTGGGTTGTTCATGACTTGATGCAGCATCTGTGTTTGTATAAAGTGAGCACTAAAAAAAGATTAAATAAATATTTCTTGAGGATTCCTGTTTGATTGCATTTCACTTTCATATGAGATGTTATCATGGCATCACATCACCCCAGTCCTCAGACCTTCACTGGCTTCCTGTCTCCCATCGCATCAACTACAACATTCTGGTCCTCATCTACAAAGCACTCCAACATCTGCCCCCCCCCCCTCCATATCTCACAAACCTTCTCGCCCCCTATCAACCCCCCACGGTCCCTCAGATCCACCGCAGCCGGGCTCCTCACTCAGCAGCTTTGGGGACAGAGCCTTCTCAGTGGCAGCTCCAAGGCTCTGGAATTCCCTCCCCCAAGATCTCCGTGGCCGTTTCTCAATGTCGAGTAAACCTGCTGCAGAGCCTCTATTTCAAGTATACTACGTCATCGAGCGGCGCCGAAAGACCGTTTAAATGCATGTTAAATGCCCAGCATCCGGCGTCCCTCGATGACGTGGTATACTTGAAATAGTGGCTCTGCAGCAGGTATACTCGACATTGAGAAACGGCCTGAGTCCCTCAGTCTTTCAGTCCCGCCTCAAAACCCATCTCTTCAACTCTGTCTACCCATAAGCCCCCCTCTCAATGAATAATAATGCATTACATTTTTTATTAGAGCGCTTTTACAGGTGCTCAAAGCGCTTTACACATTACACATATTAGACATGTAAGAGTCATTACTGCGGACTTTACCCACAGGAGCAAATGTGGGTAAAGTGTCTTGCCCAAGGACACAACGGCCTGACGCAGTGGCGGCCGAGGCGGGATTCGAACTGGAGTTCACCAACGCCCCTTGATCTGATGACCAACGCTCATGAACTTCCTCTTGACTGCCTTTTCTGGGTTTGTTTTGCCTGTCCTTGTTTGTTTACCCTCCCTCATCCTGTTGAGTTGTAGAAAAGTGTTATTATATGTAGACTTCAACTCGAAACCAAGTTATTTTTCACCTTTTTTGGACCAAGCTATCCCCGATGGAAAGACTCACCCTGCACACAGACTCCAATAACACTGAGGTTCATGAAACAGCTTTTATGCAAATGGCATAACAGGGGACAGTTGCACAAACTCAATACAACAAACAGTAATTAACACGTAGAGCTGGTCATCTCCGGCAGAGATTTGATAAAAGTAAGCAATGTTTGGAGGACTTGGTAAACAAACAAGCTTTGCTAACTAAGGTGATCTCCAGTGTGTTTTTCATCTGGAGTTGTCATCAGATCATCTGGAAGAGTTCCTGTAGAATGAGGATTATGGCACCATGACAGATGCTAAACCCAACTTAAACAAATAATAGCTTTTTCTTTAAAAGACTAATTTGAGACCCAATAGCTGGTATTGATGATTTGGCATGATCAAATTGGAAATACTACCTGAACATGTGTTGGAAAGACATTTAGACTGCACAGCTAAACAGCCCATTTTCCAAGATGTACTTTGTTACAATACAGTTCTTCGAGCTTTGCCGAGGCAGCATGATCTACTGATTGTAATTAGTGTGCGAGGAGTTTTCAGTCCACAACGAGTCCTTCCTGTGGGAACAGTCGGCAAAGTACATTGTAATCCTTGTGAAACCAGAAGGGGACCGAGCATCCGGACTCCTTTACGCCTGAGGAGGGAAGAGCCGCGTCATCAACCAATGAAATAGTTAACGCAATAAAACGACGGTACGTTCTCGAAGAGCAGGCGTCAGTCCAGAACTAAAGTGCTGCAAATGAAATGCAATTATGGTAAGATAATAAAAAATAAAATATCCCGCTGCTCTGCTGCTGGACAGATCCCGGGGTTAAATAGTCTGTTTTGTCCAAGTCTGTCTAAATGTCTCAGTGCGAGGGAAGACTCCAATTCCCGTGAATCCACAGGGCTAATGACGTCACATGAAGTGGAAAGACCAACTACTGGATCAAAAGAATGCATGATATGGTTTCCAAGAGGGAACGCAAGCAGCCAAACTCCGCCCCTCAGCGACAGTCAAGTTCCTAATTCCCTGTGGTGGCTTATCCAGAGGAGGCGAGGGAAAACAGCTCCTTATGGGGTGTCTAAGTGCCTTTAGTAGAGGTCAGTTGAGTCCGTGGGTTGTACTGTGGGCAGCTCAGTCCAAAGACCACAGTCACATGTGGTCAACGTCTCATGGTCAGTCCAGTGTTTAGGTTACATCGTTCTTCTCCATGTGAGGAAGGCGGGGTAAAAAAAAAAATCACGTCCATGTTTGTCTGTCTTGTGAGTCATTAATGCTTCAATCAGACAAGCAGTGCAGTCCTACGAACTCCCACCGGGTCAGGAAGAGTGCTTTTCATTTAGGGGGGGGGGCTGAGGGAATCCTAACAGTACGACGGGAGAGGGGGGGGGAGTGTTACGAGGACAATCAGCTGAGCAGGAAGGTGAGGGTTCAGGGTGACGTGAGAATGAGTGAAACCTTCACAAACTGGCTGACAGGACTGCAGAACTCCACCCACGTCAGACGTACTCGCACACGCTCCTCCAACGTCACATAATCATGGTTATGATTGGATCTCAGGAGGGGAGGGGTTATCCAAACCCCTTGATCGTGGCAGTGGGCAGAGAGAGAGAGAGAGAGATGAGGATGGAGGTGGAGCACATGGGGAGGAAAGGCTTTTTAGCATTATAGCTGGAAGCCTTCCATGGGGGCCTCGCACTGCTGGAAGAGGAACTGCTGCTGCTGCAGGTCCACGGCCGGGGCCAGAGCCGGGTCCTCGTCCTCGGTGTTGAAGTAGCGCTCGATCAGGTCGAAGGCCTTCTGGTAGATCTCCTGGTTCTCGTGGCCCTGCAGGAACTCCAACTTGTCCAGGCCTGCGAAGATGGAAGGATCAATTTACTGCAAGCTATTCATTCTTCAGGTTTGTCTTACTTCTGGTTTCCAGGGTCTCAAATGTCAGGTTTATATCCCTGTAAATGGAACCTCTTTGAATGTGCGAGTGATGGCACTTTGGCTTCTGGGAAACGCGTAATTTATTAATAATACTAAATTCAATCGATTGCATTAATTGTACTTGTATGTAGACTTACCGTAGGCCTCTTCGATGAGGGCACAGTAGGGGTTGATGCCCCCCCCCCTCTTGGCCTCCAGCTCTCCCAGTCGCAGGATGTTCTCCAGGCCGTTGAGAGCCACCTGAACTATTTTGGAGTCCATGAGTGTGAGCAGGTCACACAGAGGTTTTATACAGCCGAGATCCACAATGTGCCTACAGGGGGCAGTGCACACAAAGACACAGAGTTACACTTTTATTCAGAGCTTATAATTGTCTTTTGCTCCACGATGAACACAAAGCATATGCAGTAAATGACAAATATTGCATCAAAAGATAAAACTAAACTACAGTCAATATACAGGCTAAAGAAGACTACTGAACTAATGTTATTAAAGTGTTTCCTTGCCTAATTTGCTCTGCAGAGCCCCCTGAGGTGGCGTTGGTGATGGCCCAGGCTGCCTCCTTCCTTGTGCGAAACTCTGCGACCTGCAGGATGGTGATGAGAGGAGGCAGCAGACCGGCATCCATCACCATCTAATGAGAGGGAAACTTTATTAGAGGAGGAAATGCTCAACTTTCTAACATCAAGCTGTGTTATTCCGTCAGACGCCACGCAGAAGTAATTCAGAAGACTTATTTATCTTCTCCAAGGCAACGCACTTTTTTGAGGCGTCAGCAGCTGAAAGATCTTAAGACTGCAACTTTTAAAAATACTTCTGAAAGGCTTTTTATTCATATTAAACACACACACACACACACACACACACACACACACACACACACACACACACACACACACACACACACACACACACACACACACACACACACACACACACACACCACACACACACACACACACACACACCACACACACACACACACACACACACACACACACACACACACACACACACACACACACACACACACACACACACACACACACACACACACACACACACACACAGGGATGGGTATCGTTTGAAATTTATCGATTCCGATTCCGATTCTGCTTATCAATTCCGGTTCTTATCGATTCCCCGTTTCGATTCCAAAATTGTAAAATAAAGAGGTCAAACGTTTAGATAACAAAAATATCTTTATTCTTTTCAGCTTTAACTGAAATTGTTACAAATAAAAAATATACATGCAATACAAATGTATTGCACAATAGCTGTGCTTTATTTGAACTGAGCTATGCCTGTGGCAAGCTATTAACACTGTGCCCAATTGTCTTTTTATTTTTTAGTGTAGTGGAGCCTCACTTCAGAGCGTTTACCGCGACCCATCTTTGGTGTTATGAAGTGACTGAGCTCGTGAACTGTCTACGGGAGGGCGGGGGAAGCCTCGCTGCGGGGCAACTGTGGACCTCTGTCGCCTGTCAGCGCAACTTACATGATGCCGTTTAAAAAAATTAAGGGCGGTGCCGGCCATCAGCGTACCGAGCCGGCCGTCAACGGCCCGCTGACGACCGGCCGTTCTGTGATTCTCCAGGTCCGCCCTGTATTCCACCGGGTCACCGCAGCACCGCGGTACAGACGGACCCGCTGGAATACAGGGTCTACCGTGTTTAGGAACCGTTAAGCAGAACCGAAATTGTGTATTTTGTATGGGTACCCGGTACCCGGCATTTTCTTATCGGTTCTCATCTGGAACCGAGTTTCGGTTCCCAACCCTACACACACACACACACACACACACACACACACACACACACACACACACACACACACACACACACACACACACACACACACACACACACACACACACACACACACACACACACACACACACACACACACACACACACACACACACACACACACACACACACACACACACACACACACACACACACACAACACACACACACACACACACACACACACACACACACACACACACACACACACACACACACACACACACACACACACACACACACACACACCTGTATTTGTGCTCGGTTCCCTGCGGTGATGTTGGAGATTGTCCAGCAGGCTTCCTTCTTGATGGACTCCTTGGGGCTGCTCAGGAGGTGCAGGAGGGACTGCAGCGCCAAACAGTTCAAGATCACCTAGACAATCGTAAATTACACACCAAGTTAAAACACTTGTATCTAGAAATATTGAATAAACTTCAACAGAATGACTTGGTGTGCTATTACCTGTGTCTGCAGATCATCTCCTGTGACTATGTTCCCAACAGCTCTCAGTGCAGGAGATACCACCTTATAGTCAGAGTGCCTGGAACAAAGCAGGATTGTAATTTGGATCAGATTGAGAAATTCAAAACTAATACTATCTTCTTTACGACCTGTTTTCCCCACATGATAGTAGTAATAAATGTTGAACCCTATTCTGTGCTGTCTTTTTTACGTTACAGTACTACAGTGTGTCCTCTCCTGACCTTTGCAGTTTCTCACAGCTGGTAATGCATTAGTGAAACTCAAATACTGTAGCCGTGAAGAACATGGGAGATGATGTACTAACTGACGGAGAACCTGGCGCTTCTCATACACTAAATATCTATCTTTTAGAGTTGGAAGTGTACAGTATGTGTTTAAATACTCACAGCAGCAGCTCCACCAGCCTGCGACAGACTCCCGAGTCAATAACAGCCTGGATTTTGTCGTTGGGGCCGTCAGATAGGTAGGAGAGTGCCCAGCATGCATCAGCCAGGATGTCTGTGTCATTGACGAACAGCAGCCAGGACAGCACACTGAGACACGGGGACACCTGGGGGAAAGAGAGACATGGTGGGAGGGTGTTGGTGTTCCATTCAGTTTTCCAATTCAGATTTAAACTGCCTACAGCGTGTGATATGATATACTTTAGCAATGTGAGAGGTGTGCTGTTGCTATAGCGATGTGTTTATTACCTTAGCGAAGTCCGGAGGTGGGTTTTTTCCTCTGCACAGGTTTGAGAGCGCCCACACTGCATTCCTCATCATCGTTAGACGGTTCTGTTTGGCCAATAACCTGCAGAGGGAGAGTGTCTCACGGGGTCAAAATCACTCCAGTGTGATAACGAGGTGAGGAAGACATCGTGTTGCTACTTACTGCACCAGGGAAGGCAGGATGTTGCAGTCTATGACAAAGTCTCTGCATTCTGTGCTGTCTCCTGCTATGTTTCCCAAGGCCCACACTGCCTGCAACACACACATCAGGTCAGTCAATAGGATTATCAAACCAGGAGGGTTCAATAAATACATGTTGTCATACATTGTACTTCAGTAAGTTAAAGACAAGGAATGTAATGAGAGAAGCTTAAGTGATAAAACTGCTTATTTCATACAAGAAATGCAGCAAAAAGTGCTTTAAAGAAAAAATACTTAGAATCAACATAAATGCCAGGATTAATGGTAAATAAGACGGAAAATGAAACTCTTATACAAAATAAGTTTATAAGAAAGAATACATTGCATAAGATTGAAAATGATTGTGTGGAAGTTTGGGGGAACACATATAAAACAAATACACATCGTATCTTCATCCTGCAAAAAAGAGCCATACGAGTTATACATAAAACTACAAGACCTGGTTGACTATTCAAATGATGTTCAAAGCCGCAAATCAACAATTACCTCATAATATCCAGGGACTTTTCACACGGAGAGAAAGCATGCACATGTTGAGAGGAAACTGCATTTTCAAAAAACCACCCGTACGAACAAATGCCAAACTTCATTGCATCTCATCCAAAGGTGTTAGTCTGTGGAGTAACTGTAACGATGCACTGAAATATTGTACAAGTCTATCCAAACTGAAAGTGTTATTTAGGAGCCAAATCATGAATGGTTATGAACAGGACCTGTGAAATCTTTCTTGTAATTGTAAAAGAAATTTCTTTCCGATTGCTTTGTAAAAAACAAACCTGTCGCTGATGAGATGAGGGGGTAGAAGCTTCTTCTTGCCCCTGCTGAACATGACAGAGACTATTTGAGAAGTTATTTTTATTTTTTTGTACTTTGTTATAATTATTATTATGAGTGAGAAAAAGAAAAAAAGGAATATATATATATATATTATTATTATTGTTGTATGTTTGTTTCTGACATGTTCAATAAATTGAGAAAAAAATGAAATAAAACCTATTTAATTCTAATAAAATGACTTCTCATATTTATATATCAATAAACACTGCAGCGTCATTTAAATGTTTTTTTATTTTTATTTATTTATTTAAGTGTGAATTTTGAATGTCCATTTTTGTACTAGTGTTTTCCTTCTTAAAATGTTTTTTAAATATTTTGAGATTTGGTTGAGCAGGGTACTTTTACTAGTCCTTTATTAGAGATGTGTCTGTTGTTGGTTTTTAGTGTCAGGATGGAACCCGTGCCTTTTTCTCTGCAAACAGAATCTACCTACGGGTACAAATAAATAACCTGAACCTGAACCTGAACCTGAACCTGAACCTGACTGCCAGCTGGAAGAACACACACAGTTACTTAGGATTCCTCCCTACCTGTTCCTGTACGTCTTCGAAATCCGAGCTGAGCATCTCTATGAAGATGGGCACAGCTCCGGCCTGGATCACCACCCGAGTCTGATGGGATGTCCCCGATGCGATGTTAGTCAACACCCACGCAGCCTCAAACTGAAACATAATCAGAATATAGAACATTTATTACATGTTTATCACTGTGGCTATTTTTGAATTGCTGAATGTTATCCCCCCCTGCACAACACAAACATAATCCAAATCTCCCCAGCTTGATTGAAGTTGTGCACACACACCTGCAGACTGTGGAAATGTACCTGAAGTGTACAGTTTTCTTTCCTCTTCAGGAACTCAACAAAGCGCTCCACCACGCCTGAAGTAGCGATGACTTCATCGATGGGTGGGTTGGGTTCTGTGTGAGACAATTTTCAGAAAATGAGTATAGCAATTATCAAAGCATTATCCTGAAATCAATGCATTAAAAACAGATGAAGTTTTACCTTTCGAAAGCAGTTTCCTAAAGCGCTGAGTGCCTATTAGCTGCTGCTCAGGACTACTGGAGAAGATCATCTGAGTCATGTCTTCAGAGATCACTCCACCCTGTACGGATCAGGAATGGAAATGTGATGAAACACAATGTTGTCTCCATATGTGTTGGGAATGACGGTGTTGTGTCAAATGATGCACCCCCGTCGTGAAATGCACCCCTTGACATGGGAACGAGCATTTGAACGTGTAGTACGCTATTCTATGTTGTCTTTTTGGTTGGGTCGTCGAATCCTGGATTTTGCATTCATCCCTCACTTATCTTTCAGTTCATTTTTTATTTAAAGGTGGGGTAGGTCATTTTGGAGAAACCAGCTCAAGTGCGCTAGAATTTGAAAATACACAACCGGAAAAAATCTGCCACTTCCTCTCAGAGCCCCTCCTCCAACACACACGAACGCGCACATGACCAATGAGGGCACGAGATAAGTTTGTGCCCAGATGGAAGGCTGACAGGCAGGTAGGCCATCCAGTTACTTTAGCCGGCTCAGATGATTGGTCGTGCTTTTTACAGCGCTACGACTTCCACAGATGAAATGTTTGTATATATTTATTGTCAAAGCGTTTAATTATTCATTGCTATCGGGATGTTAAGAGCATTCCATGGAATATAACAAAAAGTGTATCTCGAGCCGGTTTCTCAAACTTACCCACCTTTAACATATGTTTTTATTTAATTGTGACGTCCTGTCTGTATACTTGTGCTTTACAATGTATTGTTTATTTTTACACCAAGTGCTTGAGGGTGGGATTAATAGAAACATTTTTATTTTGGGGGTGCTTTTTATGAACAGCCTGGTTGCCACGATATGCACCCCTTGCTATCTCTGACAATAAACGTGTCACATACATGAAACTTGCTCCATGTATTGGTACGAGTCTTACAACTATACCCTCCAAAGTGCTTGAGGGTGGGATTAATAGAAGCATATTCTTTGGGGGGGGTGCTTTTTACGGCAGACCAGGTGTCATCATTTGACACAACAACGGCACTGAATGCACATGGATAGCAGGATTTGTTTCCTACCGTGTTTGGATCCATGTTGTTAGCCTGGGACTCCAGGTAGCCGCTATCGGCCATTCCATCCTCGTCGGGGAGGCCGTCATCCTCCACTGTGGCAACATTCCTCCTCTTAAAGAGCTATAAAGATTCAAAGAAAATATTTGTTCAGTGTACTGCATCATCAATATTACACTGATAGGAACAGCATGGGTTCAAGTGTACTCACTGACATGAGCAACACTGGCCGTGCAATCATTAAGTCTGTTTAAGTTTGACCTACCTGGAGGATAATTCCACATACACAATAATACATATGCCCACTGTGTTCACCTGTTCATCCTTCTTCTGTTTCCGAAGCTGTAGGCCTTCCTCTTCCCTCCTTCTTCTCATTTCATCTGTGTTGAGGGACTTGTTCTTGTAGCTCTTGAGTCGTGCATTGTCCTTACCCTGACTCATTGTGTAGCCTGGAGAGATGCAGAAATACATGTTATTTAGACAGACTTAGGTAAGATTTGGAGAACATTTTTTTAAACTTCCTGATCTGAATATGAATCTTGAACTGATAGATGGCCAAATCCTCTTTTAAAATCACCAACAAAATAACTTGCAATGTTTTTTGGCACTATTTTATCTATATTCTGTTTTTGATATTTGATATATTTATGTTGCATCTTTGAAGGAGCCTGGGGCTTTTCATTGCAAAAACTACACTATAGCTTCTGTGCATATGACAACAAAACCTTTGAATCTTGAAACAATGCAAGCATATATCATGTGTGTTTAGGCATTAGAGTTGTCTGTATGGCACATCCCACCAGTTTCCGCGTGTGTCATTTATAGGAATCGTCAAAAACAATCAGTAAATCATGTAAAACTACGTGGCATCATCCTCAGAAAACAGTTCAACAAACCGGGACATCTGAGGATACTAGCTAGCTAGCTGGTTAGCTTTATTGACACTGCGTGGTTAATAAGCAACAAAACCTATAGTCATCTAATGACCGGGTGTGCTGCTTCCCCGTATCGATTCACAAGCTAGCAAAGCCCAAATAAATATTAAATTATTGAAGCAAATGTACACGGGAGCAATCGATAGCTAATGTCATAGCCGTTTTTAACACAATACACTCCAACCGTTGAAGCAGATTTTGAATGACTGTAGTGGCCAACAATGGTACTAAAACTCAAGTGACGTCATTTTTGGCACAAAAATACTTTTTCTCATAGTCTTTTTATAAACACGTTTTAACTAAAAGGTGATCTGAGAAGTAATTTAAGACAAAATACCCTGCAATCACTCTATTTATTTGACTGAGCCTAGAGCAGGAGACGGGGCTTAGGTAAACCTCCAGTGCGCATGCTCAATGGGCCCACATACGGGTACTTTCCGACTCCTCCAGCCGCTCCTTTTTTTGGCTTCAAGCGCCACTGAGAAACTCTCATAGGAATGAACGGAGTTTCCATGAATTCACTGCAGAGAAATAGCTAGCTAACAGTGGCTAACTGAACTAGCTCTGACATGTAACATTATCTCAAGCGACAAGCACAACGTTATTCAAATGTTGCCGACAGAAATAATGAAACAGCTTCTTATTATAAGGCTAAAACATACGAAGAGTCATCAATACATGTAATTATTATCAACTGACCTGTCAAATTGGGCTCTATAATACACTTTTTATTCGCTAGGCCACCGTGTGTACAGCCGTCACCGGTATGACACTGCGCATGCGCGATGTCAAACTATCCCCCCCCTCCGTCCCACCTACGCGATGCTTTATAAATGGTTCGAAATTGAGTCCTTTCTTCGTGCAACTTGCTGAACATGACGACGCTGAAGTTGGCTTCCGATTCAGAGCATCCGTTTCGGCAGTTAAGGGGAAAGTTAAGGGACATTTAATTTACAGCGCTGAGCGAACAATCCTCCGTGTTTGAACCTCTTAAATCGCTGCATAGCCGATTTATTTGGACTGGATTATCCAAGAAAGTCTAAAGATTCTTTATAACCCAGTTTGAGATTTGTGAAACCTTTATTCTATTTGTGAAAATTAAAAAAAGGGAGATTTCAGTGCTTTTTTGGCATCCTGACCACATTAGACCAGGGGCCTCATTTATAAAGCGATATACGCTCAAAAAATGGCGTACGCCAGTTTCTACGCAAAGTTTGCGATTTATAAAATACTAACTTGACAGGAAAACGTGCGGTCCTCCACGCACACTCTAACCCATGCATACGCACTAAGCACAAACACGGGAGAGACGAGAAACTGCGACACCGTTGGCAGAAGGAAGAATGGAGAGAAATATGTGGAAATAATACCATAAATAAAATGTTACCTCTCATTTATCATATATGAAGAATTCATTTTCAAACATTGATTAAAGCCAATCTTAAAATGATTAAACAAACGCCTGTTTGCGACTCCTCAGTGCACACAAAAACATAACTTGGAGAAATAAATAAATACGGATATGTTATTTAAAACCACCTGGAATATGTTGTGTTAATGTTATGAAATGTTTTCTCATAAATGATGCGGTAAGCAGGAGGACATAATTACGTCTAAACTGACGCCGTGTTGCATTTCTATAGGTTGTAGATACGAGCATGGTTTATACTATCACGTTTAATCGTGTTTTATGCCGTTTGCCAAGACTTGATAAGTCGCTCGTAAAACACAGGAGGTATGGAAGCTAAGAACACCATATGTGGTAAATTGTACAGCTAATATAACACAACACATTAGTTGTATTTCCTTTAACTGGTGGATATAGGGTTGCTGCGGGGGGGTTGAGATGCACAGCATAGGCGGCGCGTGAGGCTCAGGTTTGGGAAGGCTAAATAACTTTGTTTTCATCTTACGCTGCCCGCCTCCGGCGTCTATAGAAAAAAGATCAACTCAGTGAAAGCACTGCCTGCTGACCGATCAGAGCTCAGTGTGCGGAGTTTAAATCTATCAAGTCATATTACAGGAAAAAGGAAATGCAGTTTGAACTGCCGTATGCAGAGAAGACGCCGACGTGTCGCACTTATCATTCATATCACACTGACATCACATCATCAATCAGATCATCGATCTCACAATATTTCCTTATCTGAGTCAGCTTCTCGAGCCGTATCTGGCAGTGCAACACTTAGTTACATTGTCATACTGTATGCAGACGTATTATTTTAAGCAACACGTTAAGTTGACGAAACACTCAACTCAAATGTAATAAAGTCAGATCCCCTCGTGTTTTAGATGGGCAGTATCATAAAACTGTTGTACGCTTTCAAACACTCGGTAGTTTATTTTTTAACGAGTTGTTCTGTATTCTCCTTGCAGGTGCAACTATGTGGCTTGTATCCTGGATTATATGTTTAAGTCATCATGGATGTTTAAAGTTAATATTTGTCTAATATTAGTTTACTTTTCATTAATGAAGTAGGCCGAGGCTATATACAGGACGGTCCTGTACACAACGCCAAATGGCTATATATACAGGACCGTCCTGTACACAGCTCTCTGAAATGGCTATATACAGGACGGTCCTGCACAGAAGCCCTGAAATGGCTATATACAGGACGGTCCTGTATATAAGGTCTCTGAAATGGCTATATACAGGACCGTCCTGTAAACAGCTCTCTGAAATGGCTATATACAGGACGGTTCTGTGGATAAGATATCTGAAATGGCTATATACAGGACCGTCCTGCAGCTAACGTCAAATGACTATACAGACCGGGCTATTATAGCATGCTTAAGCAAGTTTCGCGGGTGGTAATGTAGGGATAGGATTCACAGATAAATATTCTCACGACAACATTATTTTCAATGAGTTTCCCCTCAATATAAAATTGTGGCAATTAAATCTCTTTCCATGCCAATTGCTTAGCTTTTTATGCTGATTTCAGTCTTTTTTTTGGCTTATCTTTTTATGTTGTTTCAATCATTTTCTACTTTATATTTTCCAATGCACAATGTTTTACTTGTAAAGGATATCACTGCATACTTTAAAGACTACTCGGTTTTATTAAAACTGAAGGTTTTTTTTAAAAGAATACGCCGACATTTCGTTGACGTGAAGTGATTTTGCATTGAAAGCAACACAAATCATTTATCGGCTACGCCGGCATTTTTATTTTAGAAATCGGAGAAACCGTATTTTGAATTGTATGTAGTATGCTGTACATTTTTGTAATTGATCCTGCTGTAAACGTTAATTGTACGCCAATTATATCCATATTTCTGTAGACTACATAAAAAGCGACTCGATTTTTCTGCCGATAAAGACGTGAAAATCCCATGAAATGTCAGGTTTCATTTCTAAAATTGGTGAAGGTCACCCTCTGGTTTCAAACTAGGGCTGCAACAAACGACTAATTTGAGAATCGATTAATCTATCGATTAATCGATTATTCGGATCGTTAAGGTTTTAACTGTACTACTACTTATATCGATAGCCTACTGCTTATCGATCCGGTCCTTTTAACGATAGTATTAACGGTTCTTTTGACAAGAAATAAGGTAAACTAACTAAACAAATTGTGAACAAAACTAACATTGCTTTTTATTTTAATTAAATGCATAATATTTCACGTCAAAAGAAACAACAATGTTTTAACAAATCATATTAAATAATGTGATGACAGAACTGTAAACAGAATAGCTGAAACTTTAACAAAATAAATAACTCAGTTACCTCTAATCATTAACCCATGTTTGTATAACTGAGTTAACTCTGTGTGTTGCTGCTAGCATACATAACACCTGACGTGGAAACGTTACTCGTGGACGGGGCTACAGAGCTGCTAGAAAGACAGTGGAACCCGGTGCATTCCTCCGTCTGGATGTGGAGCACTTTTGATAAATGTTTAGACAAATTGCTCGTGTTACCGCCTTACATGCTAAACTGTTATTGCACTTTTGGTAACGAGCATTGTCCACATCGAGACGGCTAAAGTTTAACCACACCTCGGAGCGCGTTCTCTCCGCCATCTCCTCCGTGTGTGTATGTTGCTGCATGTAGCAGCTGCGTGTGTGTGTGTAAACTGCCCCGCCCCCTCGCAAGCAGGCGGGGGAGAGATCTCTCGTCTGAATTGGGAAGATCGAAAATACATTATAGACGCATTTTATAGTCATATTGCATATTAGAAACAGAGTTGGCGACACTAAGACTGCGATATAATGTTTATGTAGCAATAATATATATGACATATGTTTTAAATGTCTGTACGGTCCTGTATATAGCCATTTCAGAGACCTTATATACAGGACCGTCCTGTATAGCCATTTCAGAGGGTTGTGTACAGGACGGTCCTGTATATAGTCATTTGGCGTTGTGTACAGGACGGTCCTGTATATAGCCACTCCCAATGAGGTATGATGTTGCACTGTCAGTACACTTGTCCCTGTTTGTGATTGGTCAAATGTAGCTAACCCCGCCCCTTTCACGTGAACGCGTTCTCAGCCGGAGAGAGAAACCCTGGCTTGATTTACCGAGTTGATAACCAGCGTCGTACCGCTTAGCGAGATCTCGTTTGTTTGGGTTAGTTAAGATAACTCAAACGTATCCAGGGTATGTTGAACTGGCTTCGTACAGGGCACAGGTGGCTGCATAGCAGCGCTAATGTCAAAGACACACACATTAGACATTATATTTTTATTTTACCAGGATGCAGTTACACAAATATTTGGGAAGCCTTCCCTAGCCTAGCAACCGCCGCCCCTGATGCACAGGCTGCATTGGAGAGGCTGCGCAAAGCTGATCGACAGCTGGGACACAAACCACCAAAGAATACAAACAAATACTTCAGATCCAGTCGTCATGACTCCACACCGGGGGGATTCCCCGTTCACTTCTTACAGTTTCTCATCAAGGGGGTGTCTCCTGTCCCCGGTACAAACACACTGCCTGAGGAAGGCTATGTGTATTGTTTTTGTCATTAACCTTTTTCGGGCCATTTATTTATTTATTTTGGTGACGATCCGACCTCCATGCTGCTACTCTGGTTCAACCGGCATCCACCAAACAATATGATTTATCTCGACCTCCCCAAAATAACCCAAATCTGACACGGTGTGAGATGTCTTTTTTAGCTGTTCTGTCGTCATTTCCTGCGATCTTCTTCATAAAGTCAGTCAGAATGAATTAATGGGCGTTTCTTTTACTATTTATAGGCAAATATGGGCGTTACGTGAAGCCCGCAAAAGCTGCACCGCATTTCGAGTCGGTTGTGATTTATAAAGGGAAACAGGCGTAGGAAGTGCTGTACGCACTTTCCTCGCCGGTGCGCAATGTTTGGTGAATCGGGAAGTGGCGGGAAATGTATGGACCTATTTTTCGGATTTCTACTACGTAAGCAACCTTCCCACGTGAATCCTACGCACGGCGTTATACATGAGGCCCCTGGTCCTGATCTAAAACCATTATACCTAGACTCATCAAATCTGGACTGGATTATCCCAGAGGGTCTAAAGATTCTTTATAACACAGTTTGAGATTTGTGAAACCTTTATTCTATTTGTGAAAATACAAACAAGGGAGATTTCAGTGCATTTTTTTTACATGTAGACCACATAGGTCCATACATTTTCCGTCACTTCCCGATTCACCAAACATTGCGCACCGGCGAGGAAAGCGAGGAAACCTCAGATGCACTGAGGTGCTGAGTCATTTTGTTCTGGAACCGGGCCTGTACACGGCCATATACTATACACCAGGGGTACTCAAATACAAATCTTAAAGGTCCAAAATAAATGTTTCAATAAGACAAAGTTCCGTTTATCACGGTCATTCAAACTTTTAAACTATTACAACAAGATTCTTAACACGAGGTTGCAAAAACAAAAATAATCTGTATGCAGCAGTTTTCATTGTTATTGTGTCTGTGCTTGACCCCTCAGAGTCGCAGTGTAAGAGCTGCACAGTTATGAATAAAGGCAGCTGCACCCTCTTTCATTCAGCATTCCCATTATTGCTTTATAAATGTATTCCCCCTTGTGTGTCCACTGAGGTTCGTCAGGCCCAACACATCTTCAACAAACTCCCCCTTTGCCTCATCATAAAAACTCACAAACACCAGCAACTGAGCATTGTCAGTGGTGTCAGTGGACTCACCCACAGCTAAGGAAATGCACTGTGCATTTTTTATTCCATCACAAAGCTGATGAATCAAATCACCAGCCAGTATTTATGTTCTTCTGGTTGCTGTGGAATCTGAGAGGGGATTTGCTTGATTTTACCTGTTATTTCCTCTTTGTGTTTGCCTTCAACATGGTCTCCATCACTTCAGTCATGCATTCTTTTATACTGCAGTTATTATCCAGTGGAAAGTCCTTACCTACTGGCCTAGTTCAATCAAAGTGGTTACTTTTTTTTGGCTGGGCAGTGTAGTTTTACACACCGTCTGATTTGACTTTCTCAGGACTTAAAACAGTTTTTTGGGGGCAGACCCCCTCAAAGAAAAAAATATATTTACACACGTAAGGTCATCATCTTAATAGTTGTGTATGCTCATCCGTGAGCAGAGCATCAAGTTGATATGTCTATTACAGCTGAATGCGGCGATTACCATTTTGTTCAGCGAAACGCCTCACAAACGTATTAAGATCAACAGCTTTAGTGCGTTTTGATTCAATGCTGAGTACAGCCACACTGACAGTCTCTTCTCTGTCATTGTAGACCGCAAATACCTCATTCCTTCAGTGCTTGGGTCCGAATGCTTCTCGTTTTGCGCCGTCCAGTTCAAAATGAAATCGCCGCCAATCGTATGTCCACGCTCGCGCCAGGACCGGGGGAGGGGTTACATGACGTGCATCTTGTGCTGCATTCACTTGCACTCGGACATTAGAGACTTTCTCTCATAAATGTCCGATGAGCCACAACTTTTCTTTCAAAACAAAGCTGCCAACTGGGGTGGCAGCTGGGGTGGCAAGGCTTATTTTTAGGGTGTCAGTTGCCACCCCGGTAGGTGAAACTAGGCTACTAGCTACAGTACAGATGGAACTAGATGAGCTGTTAACTCTCGCTCTGAATTTATTTATTTTTAATTCTCGCTCTGACTTAGACAGGTTGAAAGAGACACACACATTTTTCCCACCCGCATTCCACGAAGACCCGCCCTACTGTGCCTCTGATTCGCAGATTGTTTGGGGGAAAAAAACGCTGACTGGATGCTGAATGTGATTGGACCAAAGCGTTGACACACACAGGTGGAACACAGTGGAACAGTCAGACATGCAGAGCGCTGTTTGCAGTGGACATAGCGGATAATTTTGACTCGTTGCGAATGCGTTGTGGCGATGTCTCACATATAATACAGAGAGATAATACATATGAAAAGTATAATTTGCTCAGAGTCCGGAGACAGTGGTGGTTCGGTCCGGATCCGGACCGGAGTCCGTAGTTTGAGGATGCCTGCTATACACACTACAGAGCCCATTCCGTGTCCTGTTAGTGTTTACTTCCTGTCTGCCTTCTTCTGGTGATTTATCTGCGTGGGAGGCGTGTGGCGCAGTGGACTAGTGCGTTGGTGTTCGGATCAGGGGAGCACAGGTTCAAACCCCACTGCAGTCAGCATGTCGTTGTGTTCCTGAAGACACTTCACCCCTAATTGCTCCTGTGGGGATTGCCCACAGTATTGAGTATGTAAATCGCTTTGGATAAAAGCGTCTAACAAGTAACATGTAATGTAATCTGACGTCCAGCGCTCCGTCTTTTAACCTCTTTTCCTTTCTCTTTCTGGATCCTCCTTAGCCACCTTCATTATAGTCCTTGACAGTGGTCTGTATTATCAACGTGTCACATGTTAAGAATTTACAATCAGAATCGAGTATAATACAAGTTGTTAGTATCCTTAAGGGCCAGTTGTTATGCTATACCACATTGCCCTTCACATCCAGTATAATGAGCTGCACTAAACTACATTTTAGCATTTAAAATACCTAGCCATTCTTTTGCGGTTATTTTGGTGAAAGTAACTAAAAAGTAACTAAAGTAGTGTAACTCATTACATTTCAGAGACAGTAATATTGTAATGTAACTTATTACTTTCAAAAGACAGTAATAAGTCATATGTAATATATTACATTTTGGAAGTAACTTGCCCAACACTGGCCATCAGTGGCCCATCAAGACCGATGATCACTTGCATGACAGGCAGAAAAAAACAATCATATTTCTAATTAATTATTAATAATAATATATTTTATTTATAAGCGCACTTTTCATTTGCGTAAACAAAACTCAAAGTGCTATATTATCCTTTCTTATGGTTTCATCATGCAAGGCTTGCATGATCTTGAAAACAATGACCAACATATTCACAACATACACATGGGCCTAATAGAAGTTAAAACACACACGTAAAACAGGAAAGAAGTAAGGAAAATAATATAAAAACCAAAATAATAATAATGAAAGATAATAAAAACGATAGTAGCTAATAATAATAACAGGCTAATCACAACAGAAATATAAAAACAAAACACGGGGAAATGTCAGGAGTCGTACTCAGCTCTGACTAGAAGGCCAGAGAGAAGAAGTGGGTCTTCAGTGAGGATTTAAAAACCCCTCGGGTCTGGGCCGACCTCACAGTTTCTCTCTGTTCATCATCTAAAGGACTTTTATAACGATCACAGTTTCAGTAATATATATTTCTTTATTGACTATGTCTTTTAAGTTTGGGGTAAGTGTTTGTGTGTCTGGTGTGTGTGTTGGGTGGACACGATATTAGCAATCGAGATCAGAGAGTGTCTGCACTCTGCCTGACCTCTCAGCAGGTGCACCAGTCAAAGCCATCAGAAATGAACTTGTGCCCCTGAGATAAAAGAACCCCCAAAGACCGCGGCAGACACCCTGGCGCCACCTTGCACATCCAAACATTGTTGCACTTTAGAGATCTGTATAAATACGGCTCCAGCATGGTGGACACACTCTGCGTATTTTCCCCAAAACTGACAACAATGCAACGACAGGACCAGAGCCGCTTCGACATGTGGCATGACTACATGAAACTTGGCAGAGTGCTGGAGAGGCTACGGGACAGCACCCGGGATGATGGGGGACGCACACACACCAAGGGCCCCAAGAAGGAAGCAGCCTCCTCCTGGAGCCTTGTCCGAAACACCTCCCGGAGAGGGGAGCGTAAAGACTCCACGGAGTCCGGCTCAGTGAGCAGCCAGTCGGACACCAGCTGCAGCACCGGGACCCCCCCTGGATGTTGCCGCTTCTGTAAGCAGAACGGAGAGTCTGTGAAGGTGTACGGGTCCCACAGGCTGAAATCAGACGAAGGGAAAGTGATCTGCCCCATCCTCTGGAACTACACCTGCCCCCTCTGTGGAGCCAGTGGGGACAAGGCACACACACGCCGCTACTGTCCGCAGAGAGAGGCGGCGGGAGAAGCCGCCAGGGTGGTGCCGGGCTCCCGGTTCTAGAGACAGAAGACACGGTATATATTTAAACATGTTTATGAATTCATGTTTACAGAGACTGGTGGTGGAGGTTCCTAACAAGTTTGAAGTTAAGTTTTTTATATTGTCGTATTTTTCAGCGATGATTTGCAGACATTTTAAAAACTGCGAGAGCTGTTTTTGTATAAAGTGTACAAATGTTCATCAAACATTGGACAAGTGTCAGTTACAGGAATTTAAAAACTGCAAAACTAAAGCATTTTGATTTATATTATGCTTCCTAGTTTTTTAAAAAGTTTTTGAGGAACTATACAGAAATATTTCAAATCAACATTTGATTTACCAGATATGTGTTCGTGTGTTCATGTTCACAAAGAAAGTGTTTGACGTTGCTGCTTTTAAAAGGATGAGTGTTATTGTCAACACACTTTTAAGCGTTGGGAAAGTGTTATCAAAACTTGAGAAAAAGTGTAAATCATAGACTTTTTAAAATTCTTGTTTGTTTCAATTTTGAAGGAATAAATATGGGAAAAGTTACTCATGCTTGTTGTTTTTGTTAAAAGTGTCCAAACTGTGCATGGTTGTTCAGCTACATATTTAATTTCCCGTTGACATACATGGATAAAAAGCTACAGACATATTTCAAAAGTAAATATATATACTATATAGCTTCAATAGACACAATAAATAACACGTGGGTTTGCTGTCCTGGCTCCAAGATGGTGGAATGAGCTCCCCATTGACATCAGGACGGCAGATAGCTTGCACATCTTCTGGCGCAAACTGAAAACTCATCTCTTTCGACTCCACTTCGAGCGATAGAATTATTAACGAAGCACTTTTATACTAATAAAGGACTGGCTTATCTAAAGCCAGTTGAGTAGCACTTGAAATGTTTGGCTCTATGAAACCTGATGTACTTATATGATTCTGTTTTCTTCAAGGTTGTGTCTTCCTGGTCGAATGTACTTATTGTAAGTCGCTTTGGATAAAAGCGTCAGCTAAATGCAATGTAATGTAATGTAATAAATGAATGTGAACTTGACCGATGATCACATGCACCTGCAGGATGACACGCAGAACAAAACCATCATATTTCGAATCAATTCTTCTTCTGTTATCATCTTCGAGCCGTGCATGATCTTGAACACATTGACCAACATATTCACAACACACAGATGGGCCTCATAGACGTTAAAACACACACAGGTGAAACAGGAAAGAAGTCAAATAATGTAAAAATAATAATAAAAACGATAGCTAATCATAATAACAATAGTAATGATAATGCTATAAATCACAGCTTTCTCTTTTCTTGAAAACGATTGTTTCAAATATGTAACAGGAATATAAGGGGAGATAATAATACAAAAATAGTTTGAGCTTTTCCACACTGCACAGTTTCTCTCTGTTCATCATCTAAAGGACTTTTATAATAATCACAGTTTCAGTAATAGATATTTTTTGGATGATTTCTAATTCCTATTAGATCTGGCCCGCCGGTATATTGCACACACACCTTCACTCCATCCTGAGGGTCTCCTCCGCTCAGAGCCTGACCCCAAACATTGATGACCTTGCACCCAAGATGAGATGCCAAGTGTCTGAGCTAGCATCACAGAGCAGCTCACTGAGTTTAATGGATGCTTCCTTCTGCACTTTCTCTCAGGACAACAGGGCATGTTTGGTTTTCTCTTTGAGGGAAATAGTTTTGTTGAAGCTGTTGTTGGCCTGTGGAGAAATGTACTCATAAGAAATGACTCTGGAAAAGCTGCAGATAGAGCCATAAGAAATGAATGCAACTAATTATTTAATGTTTAATGTTGTTTTTATAGGAAATCATTTAAGCTTTGTTAGTTCCAGGTTTAATATGTGCAATAAGTTCATTTCAATAAGTTCTGCAATAAACATTGAACCAGTCCGGCCCTCCACTAGTACCCATTTTTTAATTTTGGCCCACTGTGTATTTGAGTTTGACCCCCCTGCTCTAAAGGACTTTTATAATAGTCACAGTTTCAGTAATAGATTTTTTTTTTCACATTGACTATGCCATTTAAGTTTTGGGTATCAATCGAGGTCAGAGAGTGTCTGAACTCTACCTGACCCATCAGCAGGTGCAACAATCAAAAGCCGTCAGAAATGAACTTGTGTCCCTGAGATGAAAGAACCCCCCCCCCAGACAGACACCTGCACCGACCTTGCAGCATCCAAACATTGTTGCACTTGAAAGACCTATACATATGGCTCCAGCACACACTGCGTATTTTCCCCCAGGACCAGCGCTTTTTAAGCCTTGAAAATGTTATCAAACCTTGCAAAAAGTGTCAATTACAGGCATTTTATTTGTGAAATTGTGGTTTAAAAAAGTAAACTAGACATATTTTCAAATCAAAATATGCAAATATAGCTTTACTAGCCATACATTGAATTGAGGTCAGATGTAATATACAGTTGGATAACGTCTCTAAAACTGAAAGCAAGTCATCGTTTCATAACTCGATAATTCATTATAATAAAAGAGCATACTCTGATCTCACCTGCTGCTTTGATAAGGCCATACATTGCTGTTACTAAACCATATGAACCATGACCCCTCCTATACAGAGAGTTATATCACTGACCTTATTTATAATTATTATAATGATGCTTAGTGTAAAATGAATTACAATGTTGAGGAACAGGTTGTTTTACAGTCTTCATACACAGAATCCTAAACTGTGACGCAGCTCAAATTCAATTAGAGTAAATACAAATACAACTTGCTATTAACAGTACCTTAAATACAACTAAATACAACACTTGAGCACATGTATTAAGTTCATTTCCACTGTTGACAACATATAGAGAAGCACCAGCCCGTAACTTGGATGGAGATAATATGTAATGAAAACAGTCGGGACATGACTAATGTCTGAAGAATCTGAATGCTACTACTGTATGATGCATTTTTCTCCAGCAGAAGAAAGTTAGCTCATTGGCTGTTCATAAAACACCCGGCCACACCTGCCGGCTCACAAAGCGATGTGATTGGCTGATAGCACCTGTTACCAAACACTACTACACAGGATCAAAGTGCAGCTTTCATAATTCAGTTATGAAGCAGAGTCATCAATCCAAGGTCAGGTCTTTTATCTTTTCATTCATCCACAGATCAAAATGTCCATAATTTGAAAACAAAGAACACCATAAAAGGTAAATGCCAGCAGGTGAGTTTCAAACACGTGCTGACAGGCTCAGTGTTGCACAACGAGTTCCTTTAAACGCCAGGAAAGCCCTTCCTCGACAGCAGTCTTTGACTTTCTGCCATCAAAGAACAACATAAACGGTACGTGAAAAGCTTCTCTATTCAACACATTTTAAATCTAAACCTTGTTCTTTACTGTATAAAGTGTGTTTTATTAATAATACTTTATCTTTGTTTTAGATAACTTGTCCAAAGATGGCCAAACACAGCATCATCCGTGTGATTGCCATAGTGCTCTCACTGATATTCTTCATCATCACCATGGTGTTCACTGCTTTGGCAGGACCAGGAATAGGTACGTTTTAATGCTTTAATTATATATATTACTTTGTGAGATAAGGTTTGTTTGTTTAATGTAGAAATGTTGAAGTAATCCTTTGACTTTTTCAATGAGTCAAAATAACTTCATTTTGTACATTTTTTTCGCTCAAAGATCCCTTTTTGGAAAGCACCAAGAACATCTCAGATGCGTTTGTGACGGAGATCACTCCGGATGGATGGACGTTTACCATTTGGGCCATCATTTACATCTTCCTGGCTTTAGTGATGGTCTACGTCATCTCCGGCATCTTTAGGAAGTAGGAACCCGCCTACTTTGAGCTGCTTTAATTGTATGTTTTTACCAACACTTACCTGCGATTCTGTCTTCAGGAATGCATACGGTCCGGTGTACTGCAGCCCGGCCGTTCTGCCTCATGGATTCTTCGTGACTTGGTGTTTGAACCTGACTTTAAACATTGCATGGTTGTTCCTGTGGGACAGAAAGTAAGATTTCATTATTTACTTCTACTGAAATCAATCAGCAATGTATCTAATGAGAAACCCTAAATTACAGGCAAACAATTGGCTTTAATTGGTTGTATATTTTTAAGGATAAATACCTGGACTGCATGTATAATATATCTAGGATTAAAAGACTAATGTCACAGCAGGATCTGGAAAGACTTGTCCATGCTTTTATCTTCAGTAGACTCGACTACTGCAATGGTGTCTTCACAGGTCTCACTAAAAAATCTATTAGGAAGCTGCAGCTGATTCAGAACGCCGCTGCTCGAGTCCTCACTAACACTAAGAAAGTGGATCACATCACTCCTGTTCTGAAGTCTTTACACTGGCTTCCTGTGTGTCAAAGAATAGATTTCAAAATACTGCTGCTGGTTTATAAAGCACTGAATGGTTTAGGCCCAAAATACATTTCTGACCTCCTGCTAAATTATGAACCATCCAGATCTCTCAGGTCTTCAGGGACTGGTCAGCTTTCTGTCCCCAGAGTCAGAACTAAACATGGAGAAGCAGCGTTCAGTTATTATGCTCCAAATATCTGGAACAAACTCCCAGAAACCTGCAGGTCTGCTGCAACTCTGACTACTTTTAAATCCAGCAAGAAGACTTTTCTTTTTGTCGCTGCTTTTAATTGAACTATTCATATCTTAAACTGCACTGTAACTTGTATCCATGTATTTTTTCTTTTAATGTTTATTTTATTAGCTTTTCTTTTTAATGACTGATTTTAAATGCCTTTTTCTTAATGTCTTTCATTTTTTGTAAAGCACTTTGAATTGCCTTGTGTTGAAAGGTGCTGTATAAATAAACTTGCCTTGCCTATGTGAATGAAGGAGAGGCTTATAGGTCATAGGGTCAAATACAGGTCATCACCTACAATCAATCAGCTCATAAGGCATGATTAGTGCACACATTGAGTGACATGAACATTGGCAGGATACTGAATATTACAGACATCCAGCTACTTTAAAAGGATGTGTGTCTCATTCTGACTTTACATATTCAAATGTTGCTTTTTATGTTTTTGCCTATTCTGGAGTTAATTCTTGTTTGAACCAAGGGTGCCATAAGCAGTAAAACCCTAGAAGGGAAATGTGTGATGAAGATTTATAGTAATATATGTGTAAAAAAGGAGGATATTATACAATAAACATGTGAATAGTTGCCGATTGGACAAGATTACGCTAAATGCAACAACAACTGTTAACATGTACTTTGTTCCCTATCAAAGGTTGATGTCTGCTGCGCTTGCCTTCCTCATCCTCATCGTCCTCACTAACTACCTCATGATATCCTTCTCCTGCATCGGTCTCAACAACTACGGAGCGTGGCTGGCAAAGTACCACAAAGTGGACCTGTGGCTTCACCGAGTGCTGGTGAGTCCAGCAGCTGTTCACCTCTCAGAAACACCTGCAGCGTCAGCTCTGCATGCTGAGTGTGTTCTGTTTCTCTGCTGCAGGTTCAGAATGGGATCGCCATATACGCAACATGGACCACCATAGCATCGCTGGTGAACCTGACCATCGTGCTGACTGCAGACGCTAAGATATCCCCGACGAACGCTGCCACCATCTCACTCTCTGTCCTCACTGTAGTGCTGTTAGTGTGGTGAGTGCAAAGTGGTGGACACAGCACTCATATTATTGTAAATAGAGATACCTGTCCAATCCAATCGATCCAGCGTCCTGTAAAACTTCCAAATCTACACAAATATCATTCAAATGGGCCTCCTAGGTGGACATTTCTGGTTTAAACTCACATTTTGGCTCCTGAAGATGTCAGAAATTGATTAAGCTTCCTTAATAAAACCCAAATCCAACCCAAAATTGTATAAATGGGCCACGCCGTTGTTATAATATACAATGTGCAAATTGGCCAACATATACTATGAGTTTATATTCTAACATAAAATGTACGAGTACACAGAATTGCTGGGTTCATAATCGGACAGGCTTGAAAATATAATGTAAAAGACAATTATTGATGCATTAACTTCGATGTATCTTGTGAATTTTACTTAGGGATCATCCTATTTTAACGTATAATAATACTTGATAAATCCTTGAGATGTTATTAATCTGAATGGTTCAAAGTTATCAAATCAATTTAGTGGGATTTGCTCTGAAGTGTAAATGCTTAAGTAAAGAAACACCACTGCCTTTACTAAGTTCAAATGTGTTGTGTTTCTTGCAGGACTGTCCTTGAAAACACCATCCTGGATAAACACGTGAGGTACATCCTGTCCATCTACCCCGCTGTGATCTGGGCGCTGACCGGAGTGTTCTCCAAGAACTACAACGCTGCAGACCCTTCACGAAACAACACCTTCATCGGTGAGGAACACATCTCCCTCTCTATCACCAGGATGTTTGTCCTATAATCAATCAATCAATCAATGTTTATTTATATAGCCCAATATCACAAATGTTACATTTGTCTCAGTGGTCTTCACAGTTTGTACAGAATATCAGTAGACAATACGACACCCTCTGTGTAACGACTGAATGAACACAAGTGGAGGACTCAATAGCACGACTCAGAGACAGAGGCTTAGGATGCAAAAAAGGTCTTTATATTTATTTATTCATTTGTTTAACAGGGACAGTGCACATTAATGAACATTTCTGTAAACGTGCCAGAGTTAGCCAAGAGGCTATTTTTCATCTGTAGTCCCTGGACAGATTTTAAAAGTCAACCTAAAACACATTTCATTTTAAACAAGTAAATACAATACATTTAAAACATGCAACAGACATTACTGGGATATTTAAATAAAACAATTTAAAATACAGAACATTAAAACAAAACAAATAAAACAAAAGAACATGTTAAAACACAGGCGGTGGGTTGTAAGGAGCAGGAGATTGGGTCAGTGTTGGCAGAGCTGATTCCTCACTAACCAGGTTTTGAGTTGGGATTTAAATCAAGTGAATGTGGTCTGGTCTCTGATTGGAGGTGGGATTGAGTTCCATCGCTGAGCAGCTTTAACAGAAAATGAGGACTGACTGAAAGAACTTTTTCTGAGTGGAATAATGCAATCTCCTCTCGCTGCACCTCTTGTTACCCTAGTTGCAGTTGTGCGTATGTTAATAAACTGTCTAAGAGGAGGCGAGGTAAGGCCGTTGACAATCTTGTAAAAAAGGCAAGCATTTGTTTAATGAGGTTTTCCCAGCTTAGCAAGTTGTATGTTTGGAGTATTGGGCAGTGATGCGAAAAAACAGATTTTTTGTCCAGTATTTTGAGTGTTTGTTTGTACAATGACTCCAGTGGTTTTAATGTTGTTGTACTGGCATGTGACCAGGTAGTTAAACAGTAGGTGATGTGTGAGAGAACCATAGCCAAGGTTCGGTACACGGGAGATCAGTCAGTAAGGCTAACAACACAGACGAGGAGTAGACAGGGACCAGGGGCCTATACTACGAAGCCGGTTCAACCTAACCTGGATATGTTTGAGTTAGCCGGTTGGCCTAATCCAAAACATACGCGCTCTCGCTAAACTGTACTACGACGCTGGTTATCAAGTGGATCGCTCAAGCCAGCCGTGTCCTATCTAGTTAGGTGCGCGTTCACATGAAAGGGGTGGTATTTGGAGCATTCGACCAATCACAAACATGGAGAAGCGTAGCCTACTGACAGCGCAGCGTCATACTTCCTGAATGAAAAGTGAACTGTAATACTAGTCAAAAATGAAGAAGTTAAACTTTAACATCCATGACTTAAACACTTTATCCAGGATCAAAGCCACAGAGCTGCACCTGCAAGGTGAATACAGCTGGTAACAGAACAAGTGTTTGAATGCGTACATTAACAGGTTTATGATATCACTGCCCGTCTAAGACACGATCTGACTTTCATTACATTTGACTCGAGTGTTTCGTCAACTTAATGTGTTGCTTAAAATAATACTTCTGCATCCAGTCTGTGACACTGTGAGTGTTGCACGGCCCGATACGGCTCAGCTGACTCAGATAAGGAAATATATGATACATTATGAAGTGATATGCTGTGGACTGTACTTAATGTTACTCTGATCCGGTTACTTATGTTGTGGCAGATATTTAAGTAAGCTTTCTTAACGCTAATGTTATAATAGTCAGATTGCTCTGAAGATGGAGGTGATATTCTATTAATGTTCACGTTCACACGGTCGGTGATTTTTGCCGGCCGTCTTTCCTGCAACGGCAGCTTTTCTGTATTTCCTTTCTCCTGTAATATGACTTGATCGCTTTAAACTCCGCACACTGAGCTCTGATTGGTCAGCAGGCAGTGCTTTCACTGAGTTGATCTCTTAGCCTGCAACCTAACCTGGTCCCGACCAGGTTAGCCGCTAAGCATAAGTTACCATGGAGATCGAGCCTGCTAAAAAGATAACCAGCTTCGTAGGACCGGAAAGCCGGAGTTTTCCCTGAATTTAGCCGCTAAGCGAAAATCCTGCTTCGTAGTATACCCCCCCGGGTCAGGACACGAAGCTGGGTCAGGTACACGTGGAATCAGATACTATGAAAAACACTGCTGGAACGCTAGGAATAACTAAGACGCACTGAAGGGAATGTGGATGCTAAGTAGGCAGAGGGAGAGATGATAATGGGGCACAGGTGAGGCTAATTAGGGATGGGAAGCAGGTGGAGTTCAATCAATGGCAGGAAAGCTGAGACTGAAATTAGAGAAACCACAATGAAAACAGGAACAATAACAACAACATCAACATGCTGGCTAGGCGCTTACACTCTGTCCTTTGACCCTCACATCGTACAAGGAGAAACTTCCAGAGAAAAACCCACAGTTTAAAGGGGAACATGAGAGAATTGAAATATAAAACATGCTGTGGATTGATTTTAACATGCAGTTACACAGACAATGTGCACACTCATGTATATGTACTTATGTATATATAATAACTTGTACATTTGTAATTCAACATGTATATTTTCTACTTTCTTGTTTATTTCTAGTGTTTTTCTTTGAATGTTTATTGTACAATGCCTTGTCTTTTTATGCTGCTGCAACACAAAAAAGAACTTCTTATCTTGTCTTATTTCTGCTTCCCTCTGACATTTATATATATCTTCTTTCCTCTGTAGTCGTGCTGTTGGCTTTGGCCTGCACGATATTTGCAGGTCGGATATGTCTGGTGGTCTGGAGACACATCAAGACGCCCCTTTATGAGCACATCAGCCCGGAGAGCATGACTCCAATGGAGATCGCAGACAAGCAGAAACATATGTTTAAATAAGAGGTTCTGATCAACCTGTCTGTATCGATGCAGTATTGTCTCTGTCTGAGGTGTCTTTTCTTAATGCTTTGTATATATTGTAATCTATGACTGATTTGCACTGCTGCAACATATATAATGAAGCTTCTTATAATAATGGAAATGATATAACACTGAAGTCCAATCTGTCAACACGTTTTGTACTCCATGTTCTAAAGACAGGCTTAATTTATTATTCATTTTACATCTCGGTTCATTTATCAAAAAGGGTATAATGTTTGTGTTTCCTCATGCATTTTGACTTGTATTTTGTATACTGTTTAAAATAAATTATGCTTTCTCAAATTGTTACGCTTTTGTGTGATTTTTCTGGTTTATAAGAGATAAGAAATACTACAAACAAAGCATAATGATTTACTTATTAAATTGTGAATTCTCCTCAATCAATCAATGTTTATTTATAGCCCAATATCACAAATGTTACATTTGTCTCAGTGGACTTCACAGTTTGTACAGAATATCAGTATGACAATACGACACCCTCTGTCCTTAGACCCTCTGTCCTTAGACCCTCTGTCCTTAGACCCTCTGTCCTTAGACTCTCTGTCCTTAGACCCTCTGTCCTTAGACCCTCTGTCCTTAGACCCTCTGTCCTTAGACCCTCAGCCCTCAGACCCACTGTCCTCAGACCCACTGTCCTTAGACCCTCTGTCCTTAGACCCTCAGCCCTCAGACCCTCTGTCCTCAGACCCTCTGTCCTTAGACCCTCACATCGTACAAGGAAACACTTCCAGAGAAAACCCACAGTTTAAAGGGAACATGGGAGAAACCTCAAGGAGAGCAACAGAGGAGGGATCCCTCTCCCAGGACGGACAGACGTGCAATAGATGCCGTGTGTAAATTGAAAAGATAATACATTTGCAACATAGGTAGTCCAAATGTTTGGAAATTCATGTGTCTGTAATAAGAAGATGAATCCACGAGGATGTCAACAATCCTGTGGAAGCCATCAGGGAAGTAGTGTGATGAGAGTCAGGCAGGACCACAGAGACAGGTTCAGCCACGACTCGAAGTCCAGGACTCAGATCAGGACTCAGGATAGAGGACACAGGACCGCAGCAACAGGATCATCCACGACTCAGGATCCCGGCGTAGATAGACACCAAAAAGACATTTGGGGAAGCTGGGTTAATCGGAACATGAGAGTACACAGGTACAGACAGAGAGAAGGAAGAAGTCAGGTGTCCCCCGACAAACTAAGCCTATATCAGCAAAACTAGGGGCTGAATCTAATCAGCCCTAACTATAAGCTTGATCAAAAAGGAAGGTCTTAAGCGCACTCTTAAAGTAACCATAATAACAACACATTGTCAGAGGTGGAAAGCACATTTACTCAAGTACTGTACTTAACCCTTGTGTGGTGTTCATATCTTTGTTACTCAGCCAGTGTTCGTGGGTCCGCTGTCTTTTTGGGTTTCAATTCAACACAAACAAACTATTTAATGCTAAAATACTCAACAGATGTTTACCACTACAGTGGGTGGTCATTGAAAATGTGTTCTGTTCTTCACAGAAATTGAGCCAAGGCCATTGAGTGGTTTGAAAAAATTATTAATCATATTTCTTTAGCTAAATAATAAACAGGGGGTCCCACAGACCCGAACACCATACAAGGGTTAAGCACAATATTGAGGTACTTGTACTTTACTGGAGTATTTACATTTTAGGCTACTTTATTTATACTTCTAATCCAGCCTTTCACATAAATAACATGGTGTTTTTAAGATATACACACTACTAATGTACTCAGTAGTGCACAAAATATATTAAATGTTCTCAACATTTATGAATTACAACTCTTATATGTATCTGTCAGGGATAAAAACAGGAAATTATAATATTCCATAATGAAATAACACTTTTAAAAGAGCCATTCTTCACGATGAGTACTTTTGCATTTGATACTCGAGTACATTTGTCTTAAATAATACTTCAATACTTTTAATTAAGTAACCTTTTACACTCAGGACTTTTAACAGAGCTTGTTTAGAATGTGGTATTATTACTTTGACGTAAGTAAAGGAGTACTTTTTCCAAAACAGCATGCTGCAAAGCTTTATTAAAGGGCAGTTCCCTTTGAAATCCATACTGACAACACGACCAGATCTTTAGACTTTCATATCCCAGAAAATGTATTCGCTGACTAATGTCATGCCCTTTATTTATGACAAATATGCTTATGACAATAATAGATTAGAGCAGGCCTATTCAAATGGCGGCCCGCGGGCCAGATGCGACCCAGAACCAACTCCCGAGTGGCCCAGCCTCCCGTGGCCAAATTCCTACACTAGTACAGACCTTGAACGCAACACTCCGCATTGCATAGAAACCACCAAACTACAACGCAACACGTTTTTTGAAAGTGCATCTAGTGGTGCTAGTAACGGTGGTCCTATGATAGCAACTCTAAAACATGTCTCTCTCAACTCTGAAGCGTAAACAGAGACAAAACGGTCATTGATCTTGTGGAGCAGATGCGCGCATTCCAAGTCAAGCTGGACCGACTTGAGTACGGGTCGGATAATGCATTTTCCGACGCTCCACAAACACATCACATCCCCGGCACAAATCACGGATGTGATGACAGATTTCATTGCGAGGTTGAAAGAGAACTTTGCCGGTCGATTGGATGGACTTGCTCTGCCCACAGAGGTGATGGGCTTTGCCAGAGACCCCTTCACTGTTGCAATAGAGGGGGACGTATCAACCAGAGCAAAGGAAGTGGTCCCCTCCATCGACGAGGGGAAATGTACACTGGAACTTATTGACATGCATTCATCCGTATCCATGGCACAAGAGCAGCGCACTAACGGGCCAGCGAAGTTTTGGAGTGATGTCAAAAAACAGCAGTTCCCTAACGTTCAGAAAGTAGCGATATGTGTGCTCAGTATGTTTGGATCAACATACAAATGTGAATCAAGCTTTTCACACATGAACTCAATAAAAAGTAGCACTCGTGACTTGAGTCGCTGACTGACAGCAGTCTTGGATTGCATTGACATCCTATGAGCCAAAGATCACTGCTCTTGTTCAAAACAAAAAATGTCACTTCTCCCATTGAGAAAGTCAGCGATGACAAATCACAAATGAGGTGATAGTAAGCACCTAGTTTACTATAGTAGACGTGTAGTGTAGTATTCATTCATATGTTAGTTACCCTTATCCCTTGTTATGGGTTTGTGCACTGAAAGGTTTGACAGTTCTTTTTGTATTCATTTAAATGCACTTTGTAATGTGTCTGGTCAAATGTGACCAAAACGTATGATGTTTTTGTTATTACTTGAAAAGTGAAAAAATAGTAGGCCTATTGCTAGAGTACTACCTCTTTTTGTTACATTGGAGCTCTTTAACTGTTTGTTAATGCACTTTTTGATGTGCATGTATGTATCCAATTTTATTTTGTATGTGAGGACATTTATTAAGACTTCTATTATTGTATTCAGTTAAATGCACGTTGTGATGTGCCTGGTTCAAAAAAACATAACCTGAATATTTGACTTCTAAAGCAAACAAATGTAATGCTACAACTGTGCACTTTTTTCCCCCGAATGCACTTTGAGATGCCTCAGATTCTGTTAAATTAATGCAAATTTGTTGTGTTTTTATGCACTTTTTGACGTAGCCTACCTTTGTTAGATGAACAATGAATACAAATGGCATGTTTTTCATCGCAGTAATATGTGTTGGTTTAAAATGTGTCATTACCCGCTTTTTACAGGCCGCTGAATGTCTGGCCCAGCTGAATTTTATAGTTATAAAATCTGGCCCAACTGAATGTGTAATTGAATAGCCCTGGATTAGAGTGTCCACACCAGGGGTTTCAAACTCAAGGCCCGGGGGCCACATCCGGCCCGCGACTTCATTTCATGTGGCCCCACAAGAGCTTGCAAAGAATATATGTTATAATATGTTTATTATACGGTTACATGCCGCTTTACAGAAGCACATTGCCCATAAACTACATGTCCCACAATGCATCTCAAATTCGACTTTTTTCTCGGAATTTGACTTTTCTTTCAAAATGTTATTATTTTTTTAAAATGTCACTTATTTTTTTTACTTTTTCCGGAATTTGGCTTTTCTTTTTAAATCATTTTGTGACATGTGCACTGAAGAGACTTGCAATTGTTTGCCCTAGACTTCTGCTTTCAGAGTTAACTATGAAGTTATTACCCTATCCGATAATAAACCAATGCAGAGGCAATAATGTAATTTAATACATTATTTTATATATATATAAAATATTTATATTTATTCTTATATAGTCTTATATATAAAACTGGCCCTTTGAGTGCAACCATGATGCTAATGTGGCCCGAGTTGAAATTAAGTTTGACACCCCTGATCTACACTGTCGTTAGTGTCACCCATAAGAAAGACTGTTTGAGTCCTTTATTATTTACCGCACTGGGGCAGAGTATATGTATACGTGTATGTATACAAGATAAGAGGAGCATGTGTTTACGAGTGGTCATAAAAACCTCGCTCTTACACAACGAGCTAATATATAAAAAGCCAGCCGTGCGTCCTCAGGTACTTCTTCACACACCCAGCGCACAAAGAGAGCGGCCCAGAAAGGTACGTCGTGTTTGCTTTTAGAAAGTCTTCATTGTGTTGGAGGAAGCTCAGCGTGAAGAAGTGGACCTTTCTGAAGTTATGAAAGTACTTTCAATCGGAATTTTTAGAAGGATTTTGCTTTGAATGACAGGATTTTTGAAAGAAAAGACAGCTAGTGATTCAAGAGGATGGTACAACTTGGTTTAATTGCCTGAATGGCTGGTAAGGTGATTGATAACTATCACTAGCAAAGGTCAGAGGTCAGCCCTATCACGTGTGCAGTCAGAAGGTATTACATATCTTCCTAAAGGTCACATTTATTTGACTTTATTCAGTATAAAACAGTAGGATGTGACACCTGTATTAAATACTGTATGAGATGTATGTGGTTAATTGCACATTTTAAGCTCTAAAAAGTGTTTATTTCTTTTCAAATAATTGTCATTTATCACAGTCGACCACAATGGGAAAGCATAATCCTGGCCGCCTCGCTGCCATATTGGTGTCTGTTGTCAGCTTTGCAATCAGTCTGGTGTTCAACGGGCTGTCTGTCGTCGGACTCGGTAAGTCTGTGTTTACATATTTCAATTGTTGATTCAACATGCAAGTAGGGATAAGATTGGGATTGGGCTCTGTCATTTTGGTTTTTATTGATATGTTTTCATTGTTCTCCCCTCAGGTCCTTATGACACCACGATAGGCAATGTGTCCGCAGTGTTCGACACGCAGATCACACCTTCAGGATGGACCTTTGCAATCTGGAGCATCATCTACACCTGGCTGATAGCGATGATGATCTACATTGTCACCGGACTCTGCAGAAAGTACAGACAACTTCTTTTACTCTCTACTTTAAAACCTTTTTTGTCATTTAAACCTGTGTAGAATAGAACGTGCAAATAGTATCTAGTAATGGTCTTTGTCAGGGAGTATCGTGGGCTTCAAGAGTCACAGAAAATAATAGATGGTCCCTGTTCTGTGGATGTTTTCACCGACTTACTGTGGTTCTTTTTCTCTTGTAGGAATGGTTATGGCTATGTTTACTGCAGCCCTGCGGTTCTGCCGTATGGATTCTTCATTAGCTGGTGCCTTAATCTGTGTTTCAATATTGGCTGGCTAATTGTTTGGGACAAAGGGTAAGTGATTATTCCCTAATAAATGAAGCTACCAAATTTGAACGATCATGGTTAAATTCATGTTTCTGCTTTCTGTTCCCTTCATAAGAATAATGATCGTTGCGCTGGTGTTCCTCGTGCTGGTCATCTGCACCAACTACTCCATGATCTGCTTCGTCTGCCATGGACTTCATGTTTATGGAGCCTGGCTCAAGAAATACCACAAGGTCGACTTGTGGCTTCTCCGTGTGCTGGTTAGTATTATTAAAGATAATAGTGTCTCTTCTGGGACATGTCTCCCTGCAGCACCTCTTTTCACCCTCTGTCTGAAACCAGAGCCTAGTCTGCTCTGATTGGTTAGCTGGCCGGCTCTGTTGTGATTGGTCAGCTGCTTAGAGATGTCCCGCCCCTTATCCTATCGCCATAGTGATGTCAGTAAACGAACTAAACACTACAGGAGGGGCATCTGGCATCTGACGGGTTATACAAGTCTACTTTTTTACATAAAAATAATGTGGCTTAAGAGTATGATCCCCACCTGCGTGCAAAACTAAAAAACTCTCTTTCCATTTGCAGGTTCAGAACGGTGTGATGATCTACACAACATGGACGACCATTGCAACCCTGATCAACCTGACCATCGTGCTGACCTATGACGTGGGCATGTCCCCGCTGGACGCTGCAACCATCTCATACGCTTTTTTGACCGTCGTGCTGCTCGTGTGGTAAGTGTTCTTAACTTATGATACTTATTAGAGAAGTAATGCAAAGCTATTGTGAGATTCTGAATGTGTTTGCCCACAGGTTTGCTTTGGAGAACTTTGTGCTTGACAAACACGTGCGGTACATCCTCGTCATCTACCCGGTTGTGATCTGGGCGCTCACTGGGAACCTGGACAAGAACTTTGATGCTGAATCACCCAACCGTAATGGCTTCTTCATTGGTAAGATACCGAAGGGAGCTCCATATTAATAAAATATGGTGCATGTGTATGATACAATAAGCTTGTCCTGCCATGTCTCTTGAAACATGGCAGGTAGAGAGAAGTAAATAAGCACAATGACGGACAATAATGACGCTTTTTTGTACTGTTTTTGAGTAAATTCTAAGAGAACATTTCAGCCATCTTAAGTACTAACCAGGTTTTCCTCTCTTAGTGGCCCTGCTGGCTTCGGCCTCGGTGCTGTTCCTCGTCAGGATTGTTTTGGTGATTTGGAGGCACATCAAGCAGCCGCTCTACACAGACGTCAGTCCTGAAGCCATGGAACCGACGGACATCGCTGAAAAGCAGAAAAAGATTTTCCGTTAAACCTTTTTATAAAACACTGGATGTCATGTATCATAGTAAAAAGTGGTGCCATTGTTAGGCATTACTACGTTGATTATCAGGAGAACACATTTTTTTTTTTTAGGAAATCAGTTCACAATATTACGTTGAACTTTGGCTGACTGATCTATGGACCTTTTATGGCTCTCTCTAACATATGGATTGCAAACACAAGTCAGTAGGCTCTGATAAGGAGACTTTTACAACACAGAGGGGCAACACCTACCTTACAGTATAGACTATATGTTTTGACATTTTGCTACGTTTTTCAGTTTGTTTGGTATCAAATATAAATGTATTTTATAATGCTAATTGTAATTTTCTGAATTTGCAATTATTCTTTATTTATTTGGAATACATTATTTATACAATTTATCATGTGTGACACCTATTTTTACAACTGAGCAGTGTGGGCTCTTTTGGCAATATGTGGCAGATGAAAGAGAGTATTACAATTCAAGTAAATATGCGTTGCTAAGTCCAAATATTATGATCATACAGTATGAGCTTGTTTTTTTAACTATCATTCTGCAAGGAAAAAACAACTTCATGGGGAAACAAGACATCATTATTATTATCCTATATGTTCAAGTATATGTTTAGTCATCTGCAATCTGAGTAATTATATTTTGTAGGGGGTAAGACCTTTATATATACAGTCTATGGGTAAGACATAATATACATTCTGGTTAGAATAAACCCTGATTGACCTGCAGGGGGCAGCACCGCTCAGCACAAAAACAGAATGTAGAAGAAAAAGAAGAAGAGTGGAGTTATGTTTTAATTCCCTGATTATAGTCTTTCAGGCAACAAGAATGAATCCATATTCCATGAATATTGAAGGTTTTGTTAAATAGCAACACTTTCAATGAGTGAGATGGTTGTGTTTATGGTTGAATTTGACTACACTGAAGTTTAAATGGTTGCTTATTCTACAGCACATACTGAAGATAAGCGTTTGCCAAGGCAGCAATAGTGTTGCCTGCGAGAATTTACACGGGGCCGGAAGTCGCCTTCCATTTCAGAGTGCGCGGCCCGCGGGTTATTTACAAAATGTCAACAGCTTCATTGTTTTGCTAGCGCTAACACTCAACACTGGTCATCACATGGGCGATATAGCTGGCTAAACAGTTATTACTTGATATAAAGTCGGGCCTTAGTTGATTTTAAGAGATTAAGATTCACATGCATGAATTCCTGGGCACCAACTGAATCATAGTGGAGCAGGAAACAACATGTAAGGCAGCTAACGGTTAGCACAGCAGAGGACAATGGAGACAAAGTTACCTACCTTGGTAAGTTATTTTCTCCTTTTTGTGTTGCGTTACTCAGGGAAGAGGGTTGAAACCATAGACTTTATATATAAAGGTTGAAACACATGTAACGTGAAGGACAACAGAGGGAGTTTTCCAGTACAAATAACGTTATGTTAACTGTGAGAAGACGTAAAATAAACCAATACAACAGCCGTTAAATGTCCTTCGTCGTCAGGCTTCAGTTTGGGATCACGTTAAATGGTACTGCGCAACACTGAGGGGTGTTTCTATTATTTTGTCCATCCCATGATGTAACGCTAATTACAACTATAACTGTTGCATTAAGTGCAGTGATTAAAAGTAACTAAGTAGATTTACTCAAGTACTGTTCTTAAGTATAAGTACAATGTTGATGGTCGTGTACTTTATCACTGGCCCCACCATTGTAGCCACTGGCCCGGAGCATTCGTCCAAACAAATCGACTAATAATGAAGAAAATGAACACATTTGTTGCAATAGTAATTTATGCACCAACTACATTACTACTTGTACTACAACATTTGAACAATCAGTTCTTCCTCATTTTCCTCAATTGTTCATATTTGGTTTATTAAAATAATGATATTGTGCTCATTGTTTAAAAATGTCTGCTATTATGAGTATTATTATTTGTATAATGCGCTTCCTGTCATTAGGAGTTAGAAATGTAATGGCTATGTAATAGATTAGATTAGAACCTTCATTATCCTAAACTGCTGGGACATTTCCATACAGCCAATACCTTTTATATTGTCTACTCTTCACTTACTTGTCAGCATAGGTCGGCATTGATGTACAGAGCAGACAGAAGACCTTGTTTATATTGGCATCATATTGAGAGGTGCAGTGACGCGTCCTGAAACCAGGAAGTAAGCTGCTGGTTCCCTCGACAAAAAGCAATGGGATTTCTCCACAGGGTTTTGGAAAATAGCTGGAAATAAGATCTGTGGAAAACAAACCTGTTTGATAAATGCACGTTTTGTTCAGCCGGATAATCTCCACATATCTACCCTACTTTTATCATTTTCGAATCATAAATCTAATCGATAGATTATAAAAGGGTTTTAGGACGCGTCACTGCACCACTCTATAGAAGCCAACTCCATCGATCAAGCTGGCTGAAACTTTCTCTCCCTCTTCTTCTCATACTCCCTGTCACTCTCCTTTAACTCCTCCGGTGACTTTCTTTGATTTTAAGATAGTTTTTTGCCCAGTTACCGCTGGTATTAAAAACATTTTGGCGAATGGTAAGGTGGCGAGATAGTCTGTGAAGAAGGAGCGCGCTCACGGGAGCCTGCTCGCGCTCCGCAGCAAACAGCTGTTTCTTTTTTTAAAGCAATATTTGAGTGGCCCGAGCGGGCAAGTGGAAAGTACGTTATGCTGGCCCGGGGTGTCTAAATAGTGCTTGCGGGCCATTTATAATGTCGAGCCCTGAATGATCAATCATTATAAAACATCCTATATATTATTCTGAAATGGACCAAGCTGCACAATGACTACTTTTACTGTCGCTACTTTAACTATATTTTGATGCTGATACTTTTATACTTTGAGTAACATTTTGTAGGACTTTAACTTGTGACTACTACACTTTCCACCTTTACTTAAGTACAAGATCTGAGTACATCTCCCACCGTTGATATTTTGTAACGTTTGTTAGAACAACACATATGGCATTTGGTGTTATCAGATGTGTATCTTCTTTTACCCCTAATTCAATTCAATACTAACCATTTACTTGTATTTGTTCAGATGAGACCGAAGAAAAAACTTTGCTACTTTACAAAAAAGGAAAGGTGAGTTTGAGAAGTGTTTTTTATTATGGCCCTGTATGTATTGGCCTTTTGATGTGTTGTGTAATGCAGATTTTCAAGTCCCTTTTGAACCTTTGTGTTTTCAGTCCAACTGAAAAAGTGGAAGGGCTGCTGAGAATGGAAGACATTGATCGGATGTTTGATGACTTGGGTGAGTTTAATTGTTTTGCTTGAATCTTGTTTTAGTTTGCATTTTCCTTATGTTAACTTCTACTTCTTGTATTCTGTTCAGATCCAGCCTGCGATGACCTGTTACCCTCATCTTCTCGGTACATGACCTTTAATGTTGAGGCAAACCAGAGGGAGAGGGAGGCTTCAACAGGCCCACAAAAAGGGAAACTAATGGGAACAATTCCAAAAGGTCACATGGTAATGAACAGTCCATCACTACAGTGACTTCTGCTGATAAAACAATGACTCTTCACATTGGAAATGGCTGATGAGCCAGTAGATACACAGCTAGTTAGTTAGTTTATACATTCAGCATGCGTTATCTGTGTATAGGCTTTGTGTACCTTTCTTGAATTACACAAGAACTGGTGTCTGAAGACAGAATGAGTCTTTAAATATATGTTTCATAACCTTTCTAGGGTCCCAAAGGAGATAAAATACACCCCTCACGGTCACCCAGTCCTGAACTAGTCTTCGGTGAGAGACTCAAACCAACATTTTACTTATTCTTCTCCTCTGCACCTTTTCTGTTTCTTCAAGTATCCTGATGTTGTTTTTACAGATCAGGACATCCCATTCAAAGCACACATGCCAGCGAAGACATCCAGCCCTATTGAAACAAATATGGCTGTCAAAGCGCTCAACATTGAAAAAGACCGAGCTGTGTCTCCACTTCTGTTTGCCTGTGAGGATGAGGGAGACGCAAAGACAGAGCCTCCACCCAATGGACACGTCACAGAGGAGTGAGTTGTTATTAATCATGCTTTTCGTATGGGAACGTTGGTTTTATAAGGTGTAGGATTCTAGTGTCTAAAACTAAGAAAGTATTTTATCACTTGTTTAATTCAATAACTGTCTTTTCCTCTAGAAGTATAGACTTTGAGTTTGGGTCTCCTCCAAGCAAGGTGGTACTAAGCAGACCTAAGATGTCCAGTCAGCAAAAAAAGGTGGAGGAAGCATGGTGAGAGCATTTTCATTATCAATATAATTAGGGATGCTCCGATCGTCAATTTTGGGGCCGATCGACGGAATCAGTATCGGCCGATACCGATCCGATCGAGTGGGCGATCTATGCGGATCTTCCATTTAAAGTGATGTTTAAAACTCAGTTAATGCTCATTCACTGGAGCTTCCACAAACAACAACCAACATAATTATTACATTCAAATGAAGTACATTATTCAAGTTTACATTCACTTTGGAGAATAACACGGGAAGAAACGAGCGGAAGCGCTCTCTTTTCCTCTCTCTCTCTCTCTCTCTCTCTCTCCTCTCTCTCTCTCTCTCTCTCTCTCTCTCTCTCTCTCTCTCTCTCTCTCTCTCTCTCTCTCTCCCCTGACAGCCTGTCAGTATCTCTAGCAGCTCACTGATCCAGTAATGAGTGACCCGACAGTGAAGAATAAATATATATTTAGCTTGTTCCAGAGGTAGATAAAATAGCTAAGTGTGTTAGGTCTAACTCTCACGGCCCCTACACACGGCGGCGTGCTTTGCCGCTTGGCAGTGGGCGTGTCTTGAGCTTGGGGAGTTTACGAGACCAACAACCAATCACATGAATCTCTCCTCTCAATTGCATAAAAGGTTTTACATGTCACACTTTATATGATGAACATTTATGACATTAATGTCTATGGTGCTATTTTACGCAACATTCCATGCTGGCTAAATACTGTCTATGCTTGCTAGCTGTCCATTCAAACGAAGTAAACTGGATATAAAATCCCCAAACAGGCGAAAACCTACCAGTTTCACCCACTGTCTCTGCCACCCCCCCCCCCCCCCCCATGCCTGGCTCCTCCGGTTTGTATCCCGGTAGGTGAACAGGGACTGGTCGTAAAGCACCGGGTGATTCCCTACCACTACGATTATTTTCTCCTCCATTTTTTGGCATATGAGGAAATGAACTGCGGTCTGGCTCTCCCAACATACACGTGATTTGATTGGCTAGCGCTTGTACTGGCAGATTTGCATAAGCGGGATTTGATTGGCTGACGCCTCCGTCAAAGCGTCAAAAGTAGAACATTGCTCTACTTTTGTAGCGAGCACCGCGAGAGAAGCTACGCTTTGCTCCCACAATGCAGTTCGGCGAAATTGCACACTGCCGTGTGTAGGGGCCGTTAGTGTGTGTTTCGCTCCGCTCACCGGTCCGTCACAACGTTGCATACCGCTATTTTACTGTCTTTTTCGGACACCTTAAAATACTGCCAGACCGGTGAAGCCATTTTGGCGAGCTTCTTTTGTCGCCGACATATTATATATATTGGGAGGGATGAAACCCTCTTCTAATGGTCACACATGCAGAGCACACACAGTGAAATGTGTTCTCTGCTTTTAACCCATCCTAGTACCAGGAGTCTAGTACTAAGAGCAGTGGGCAGCTATTGTGGGGGGGGGGGGGTTCCGGTGCTTTGCTCAAGGGCACCACTGCAGGGCAGGAGGTGAACTGGGACCTCTCCAAGTAGCAGTCCACACTCCATTTTTAGGTCTGGTCGGGGACTTGAGCCGGCTCACAGTCCAATCCCCTACTGACTGAGCCACTGCCACAGAGAAAAGTGTCATGTATTTTACGTCATGTGATCGGCTCTCCTGATCGGCATTCATAGAGAGCACCGATCGATCGGCAGAGAGTGAATATCGGCCGATATCGATCTGCGGCCGATAAACGAGTCACATTACCATCTCTATAGAGAGGCGAAGTCACGCCCTTCTACTTCTATTTCGTATATGTATTGAAGTCAATGGCGAGAGAAAACGTATCTTTCGATCCTGTTTGAATTACACCAGGGACGTGCACAGCTACGGGCTAATGTTGCCAGGGCAACGGCCTTTTTTGGGCCTTTTTGGCTGACCTGCCCCTCTGGAGAGAGCGAGTTTGTTTTTCTTTGTTCTGTTGTGGCCGAATCAACATGATAAGCCCACAATTAGTATGGTAGCGTCTCGCTGCGGGAAACACACTTTGTCAGCGCTGTCCTCTGCCGGTGCGTTAAGACCACCTCAGTGTCGGATTTTGGAAACTTGATTTTGAGTTGTCTCATGGCAGTTAGGGTATAAGGGACAAACCAGGGGACTTTACTTCCTCTTGATACCGTCGGTTATTTACAAAAAAACACCTACACATAGCTACTTGTTGTGATTGTGCTTCTGTGTTTCTGTGTCTTCTCATCTGTAAACTCCTTCAACGGGGCCGCTCGCTCTCTTTTCTTGATCGCCCTCTCACGGGAGAACAGTTCAATGTCCCGCTTCATTGTAGGACTTCTGCTTTGTCTCTACCACTTTAGTTTGACCATCTCTGTTATTAAGTTATGGAATACTAAATAAGTAATTAGATACCTTACTTTTACTGCGCTCATAAAGAATGAAAAGAATAAGAATAATGCGTCTTGAACTGGTTTAATTAATTAATTAAGTGAGTTTATTTAAGCTAATTAGTTAGAAGCCCTATTTTATCAGAATGTCACAGCAGTTACAAAGGTCAAACTACATTAAAACAGGATTGTCCCCATTTTGTCTTTAATAGTTACTAACATTAGATATTTTAAGGAGATGGACCGCAAAACAAATGTCTCTGGTTTTAATTTTTAAAATCAAGTCACTGAATGCAAGTAGTCGCCTTAGCTTATTTTGTTATGAGATGTGAATCACTGTTCAATTTAGTTGATGTAATAAACGTTTGGTTTCTTTACATTAAAAACAAGTTACAATTTTCAAAAGGTCTTTTTCCAGTTTAGAGCAATAGCCCCTCCAAATGTCTGCACGTCCCTAAATTACACATATAATGTTTGTCAATCTTAAAAAATCATTTCCATGTCAAAAAAGTCAGAGTTTGTCGTAAAACTGTTGAAATATAAGACTATGACAAATACGCAACTAGAAAGACTACAAATCCCAGAGTCGCGTAACGCAGCGTCCACACGGCGGCGTGCGTTGAAGCTTGCCGGCGGGCGTGTCTGAAACTACCAATCACATGAATCTCCCGCCCCGGACACACAAGCACGCGGTTTGATTGGCTAGAGCTTGTACTGGCATATGATTTGATTGGCTGACGCTTCCGCCGAAGCTTCAAAAGTTGAACATTGCTCAACTTTTGAAGCTTCGGCGGAAGCGTCAGTGTGGAATTGTTTTCCTCCACTAAATATAAGAGATAGCTAAGATAACTTTAACAATATGCCTGTGTGCTTTGTACCAGGCTGTAATCATACCAACAATGGGTCTTTCGCTTCCTGTCTGATGAAAGGACCAGGAGTGGCTGGATCAAGTTATCTACCTAGCTCGTAGCAAGCACGTTAGTTAGCATTACAGCGGCTTAGCCTTGTTATTTGTATTAGCCTTGAAGTAACATTAAGTTAATGTTAGTGTATTCTAGAACCCCGAAGGCAGGAGAGACTGAAAAGAGTAAAGGGAAGCTTATAAAAATTAACAGCATTTAATTACACAAAAGATGCGGTGGTGTACAAAATGAAATTGCAAGCAGAGACCCTCTCCCCATCTCCCGTCAGCCCAGGTAAGCAGGTAGAAGCATGGATGTATAGAAGAGGTCAATTCTTGGCTTGCTCTTCCTGTTGTCATCCGAGATCTTCTCCTATTGGACGGCGTCGTCGGGGGCGGGTCCAATGCAATTCCTGCTTTTTTCTGTTGTTAAATTACATCATTCTGGTGTCTGTGGTTATTTAAATATTCCCTGATAAACGTTATTCAGCGGTAATAAATGAGTGCTAAACCCAGTGTGCTCAGTGTACAACATCACATGTCATTTCACCTTCGATTCACGGTTTGAAAATGTAGCATTTCGCCACATGCTAATGCTAACCAGAAGTGAATAATTTTCAGAATAAAAGTATTAAGTTAATAGTTAGTGTGACCTTTCGGTTTTTCAGAATAAAACTGATTTAAATTAAACAGTGTATTTAATTCAAATTACGCCATACCAACATTGATTTTAATTTCTAACATTAACCAAAGTGTTAAAAATTAGAGTAGTAGTCATATTTCGTGAACCCTTTGAAGAGTACTGTCACACCGGTGTGATCATTCTATAATACACCGTTTAAGCCCGGATGCCCCCGAGGGAGACATACTAACGCTACATTAGCATCGGCGATCTTTTATTACTTCATGCTATCTCTGCACGAATGGTTAACATTGAACATTAAAAATATCAGGCAGAATCGAAGGCAGGCAGGCAGCTTGGCATGACATTCTTCTGGACGTGTTTCATTGTGGTGATAGTGAGGGTAGTCAATTCCTTGTTTGGCAAGACAGTAGTGACGGCCATCTTGGTGACGTGTGTTGTGCGAGACCAGAGATGTAGTTCATTGAGCGGTTTCACACACAAAACAATTTGTTACTTCAGTTTTACGGCAAAACATTTTTTTTATACTTTTAAATTGACAATCATCATGTGTAATTCGTGGCACAATTCAAACGGGATCGAAAGATAACGTTTCTCTCGCCATTGACTTCAATACATAATTTTTCGAAAATAAGGTCCCATGGAGGTCCACCGCAAAGGGAGGGACTTCGCCTCTATTGCCGTCTCAATGGTCAATTTTGTTATGATATCTGATATCTTAATTGCGTGCTACTGAGTTACATTTGTGGATGTTTGCCTTTTTAGATGACTGTCACTTTTAACTCATTTACCTGTGATGTATTGTTACGTTCCCTTCTAAATCTAGGGGGTACAAAGGGAAGTAACAACACACCAGGATGACCAAGCACGACAAAAAGGAGAGAAAACCGATCTCTGAGTAACGAACCAGTCGTTTAATGAACAAAACATGAACACGGCTCACCAGCCAACTTGCAAAACAGCTCTAGCTACAAAACTATATACTGGAGACATGGACACCACGCTGCACACATCCAGCCCGGGGAGAAGGGGGGAGAGAGACAGCAACCTTCCTCCTGTCCTATATGGAGGCCCTGATTGAGGATTGGGAGCACCTGGGGAGAGGCTGCACCTGGGGACAATCAGGCTGCACCTGGGGAGTCAGAGGGAGAGAGAGAAAAACACACACACGACCACACAAACACTACGGCACGTAACACTTCCCCCCATAAAACCAAACAAGTGTTTGGTCACAGTTACCAACAACACTCATTACCTAGTTCACAAGCATACTATTGGATGCTTGGAAGCTGCCACCTGCTGCTTCCAAGCCACACACCCCGGCACGTAACATGTATATTCTCTTCTTTCCTGCAGCAAAAAGACTCGAACTCTAAATAAAAACCCACCGCAGAAACCTCAAACACCTGTTGTGGAGGTCCAAAGAAAAACTCCAAGGTAGGAAGTGAAGAGTGTTTGATGAGTAGTTACTATTATGCTTTGGTGATTAAACAATACTGGAGTTGGTACAACGAAATATGTAATGTGGCAAAAATATTTAACAATTGTCATACAATATACCAAAAAATAACATTAAGTTAGTCATACATGTGCAGCTCAAAGAGATGTTATTAAATAATGTAATTCTCCAAAATCACACACAATATTTTATCTATATAATCTAGCAATAAAGCCTATTGTGCCAATTTAGAACTTAATTTTGTTATTTGAAGAATATTTTGGTTGTTTATCTCCAGGATAGAAATGGTAGACCCCCCCGCAGCAGCAGTGAGACGAGAGCCTGAACTCGCAGCTCCTGAGAAAACAATTGAAACTGTTCCAGAGCAGCCGTTAGTGGAGCCCGTCCGCGTGCAAAAAAACATTGCGGCTTTTATTCAGAAGCTCAGAGACGCCGCACAGTCCAAACCTGCATGGTGAGTTGGCAAAACCACTATATATATTTACAAAGTAATGGCTCTACATATTCATTGAAATGTAATATTAAATAATGCTTATTTTTAGTACGAGGAAGTCTGCATCACCCGTGAAAGTACCCACTCCTCCTCCTGAACCAGAGGATGATTTCCTGATTCTGGAGGACGACGCTGCTCCTTTTTGGGTTTCCATCCGGAGTAAAACTGCCAAGAAACAGAAATGGAGCGGAACGACCAGCATCGTCAAAGGCAGCGTGACAGATAAAAGCACGAAGGGAAGCTCAGTTGAGACACAGCAGGAACCTGAAGAGACGGAGAGAAAACCAAGAGGGCCCAGTGGCAAACGGAAGACCAAAGAGAAGAAGAACGAGGTGACCGAGGCTGATCGTGCTGAGGAGGAACTACCCGGTCCTGAGGAGCCTCCTGTGGACTCGATAGACGAGAAGAAGCCAAACAAGAAGAAGAAGAAACAACGACTGAAGAAGGTACCGTCTGAAGACAGCGACGAGGAAGAGGAGCCGCCGAAAACAAGCAAGGAAACACGGGAAGATGAACCCGCTGTGAGAATAGATAAGAAAGCTCTTAACTCAAAGACTTTAAAATATGCCAAGATGATCAGAGCTAAGCCGATGAAGAGGGGCAAAAAAGTGCGGCAGGGATCTGATGGAGAAACGGACAAGGCTTCAAAGAAACAAGGTCCGAGCGGCGAGGAAGTGGGGGCTACAGACCTGGGGGCTCTTTCAGGTAAACAACTCCTAAAATCTCTTCATACGTGTTGAGTACTTTTCCCGTTTAGTTCCGATAGTTCCTGGAATTTTGCGTTCATACCCAAAAGAGTACTTAGTTCATGAGAACTTTCCCCCCTTTTCTGTCCCTGCTAGAGAGCAGGTACTTTCCTGGGGAGAAAAAGTTCCAATTTCTGATTGGCTGGGCAAATTGCAAACCACGCCCCGTAAAACCCGGAAAAGTTTTGCGAAGCCGCTGGCATTAGCATTATTAGCATTAGCCCCGCGCACCAACGGAGAGAGACTAACTCTCCGTTGGAGAGGAGGTGTCGGCGTTCTGGCGATTTACTCGGAAGGCTTCAGTAGAAGCTGCTGGGAGTCCCAGCAGCTTCTACTGAAGCCAGTCCCCAACTCCGGGGACTTCCGGCCAGGGACTTCGGGTGGCAGTATACGCCGTGAAGTTGTTTGCGGCCTGCCAGTAAACCCAGAGCAGAAGAAGAAGAAGTGACGTCAGCGGCTTCATTTGCCTAATCTTTCCTTAGGGAAGGCGATCTGCTCTTTAGTTCAATGGGGGAACTAAGTACGGGTTTTTAATCCTTCTGCTACTTGGTTAAACACATGTTCGTTAATGTTTGTGCTGCTGATGTACCCCCCACATTTAGACAGACAATTAAATATTTGTGAATTGAGACGGGTGGAAACTACTGACAGATATTATCAGTGTTTTATACTTTAGTGATTGTTCTTTTGTGAGGGATTTTAATAGTTTTCTATTTATTATTTTAACTCCAGAGTTGGTTAAGACGCTTTTTTTTTTTCATCTGTCGTCCCTGAACAGATGTTGTACGTCACCCTTAATTAACAAATTAGAAAAATGTGTTAATTAAAAATTACAATCAGTAAAAACATGCAAGATAGATGTGGGAGGCTGTAGCGCAGTGGACTAGTGCGTTGGTGTTCGGGCACAGGTTCAAACCCCACTGCAGTCAGCATGTCGTTGTGTCCCTGAAGACACTTCACACCAAATTGCTCCTGTGGGGATTGCCCACAGTATTGAGTATGTAAGTCGCTTTGGATAAAAGCGTCTAACAAGTAACATGTAATGTCCAAGCTTATAGGGATCCGTCCTTTTAAGAATAGGTAGACCCTAGGACCTATAGAACATTTAGACATCCTTTTTAAAATGCTTTTCTTATTTCGCACAGACGAGGATTTAGCAGATGCTAAAAGGGATCAAAATAACAAACTACCTTTGGTGTCTGAAGGGAGTTCACCTGACGACAGTTTGACTCTGAGGAGGAGGAGGAGGCCGCCTGGAGAGTGGTGGATGAATCTGAGCCCAGAAGAAACAACAGGTAAATGCAACCAGCCGCCAGTGAAGGAGGCAACGCGGCAAAACACAGAGCCAAGCGCAGCAGCAGCTTCACCTGTTAGGCCTAAAAAGGACAAATACGATCAGCTGACTATTAATAAGTACAAGAAGCCCAACCAGGAGCCCTGTGGAGCTTCACCTGTAAAGGACAAAGTGTTGAAGAACATAAATCCGACACAGCCTGCTGCACCAACAAGTCAGAAGACGAATAAAGGAAATAAACAGAATACAGGAGGAGAAACTCAGGGGGAAGAGAGTCATACGACTGAAGCAGAGCCTTTTGAGGAGCAGCAGGAGCAGCAGGAGGAGGAGGAGGAGGAGGAGGAGGAGGAGGAGGAGGAGGAGGAGGATGTTCAGTCTAGCCCGTTGATGTTCTCATACAGAGAGCTCAGTGACAACTCAGGTGAGTGGAGGAAGAACTGGGTTCCTTTACTTACAGAAAAGTAGTCCGGTTCTAGTTCGGTTTTAAAAGTCCATAATGAAACTATTCCACAGAGACAGCAGGAAAAACAATATACGAAGAAAGTGGAAAAGAAAACAAACACAGCCAGTAAATAACAAAGTAAACAAAATATTAGCTATTAGCTCTCCCAAATGTATTTGAGTAAAATAGGGCTGCAGATTTAGGAAAAAATCAATTCACATATCTTGAATATAACAGCAAGATGCTCCATATTGCGATTTGAATGATATAAATATATTTTGCAGCCCTACAAACAGACCAACCAATAATCTCTGTTTCTTATTAAAATGTGATTCTCAAAGTCCTTTTTTATTAAACTATTGCACAGTGAAAACAGTATACCGAGAAAGTGTAAAGAAAACCAAACACAGCCAGTAAAAGACTAACAAAGTACTAGAAATGAAGGTCTTTGACAGAAGCACCAATCTGTGTGGTAATATGTGTTGGCAGTAAAAGTGCTGCATTTAACGACGTACTTGGCAACATGTATCTGTACTCTGTATTTGAGTTTTGTAAACAAACAGATAGGGCTGCAGATTTTGGAAAAAATAACTATTTGTGATCATTTCGACTGATATAGCAATTAAGATATGAATAATCCTTTTTAAATACTACTCGAATTTTAATTGAAAAAGTTATTAAAATGATCATGGTGTAATTGTTTTAGGAGGATCTTTACCTAACGAAGATTTTTTTAAACAAGTCTATAAAATAACATGTATGCAGGGACATCTCTGCAGCTTCACAATACTTCATTTACATATGCAGCCCTACAAACAGACCAACCAATGATCTCTGTTCCTTAGATTGTGTTCCTTTCTGTTAGAGGAATAGTTTCAGCGAAAACTAAAAGGTACCATGGGGTCAGATTATAATGTTCCAAAGGGGGGTTCGTTTAGCATGAAACACTTGAAATAACTAAAGGATAAGTTAAACAAGAATGTGAAGTCATAGAAAACTGTCTGCTAAAAAGTGAGCAATGATTGAGAGTCAGAGCTAAACATTTCAGATGTGTGTATCTCACACGGCTGTGACTTTAATTCATGTACCTTTTGATATTCATGTTTTATTATCTTTTATATCTTTGCTTTTATGAGTGTTTTTAAATGCTATTTTATAATATGTTTCCTCATGTCTTTCATTTCTGTAAAGCACTTTCAATAGAGTGCCACAGTGACGCATCCTAAAACCAGGAAGTAAACTCCTTCCGGTTCCTTCGACAAAAATGCAATGCAATCTCTCCATAGCATTTAAGAAAATAGCTGGAAATAAGGTCTGTGGTTGAGACACATTTAAGTATGTAAGTTTGAGAAACCAGCTAGTGCGCTAGAATTTGAAAATACACGACCGGAGAAAATCTGCCACTTCCTTACAGAGCCCCTCCTCCAACACACACGAACGCGCACATGACCATTGAGGGCACAAGATAAGTTTGTGCCCAGACGGAAGGCTGACAGGCAGGTAGGCCATCCAGTTACTTTAGCCGGGCCGGCTCAGATCATTGGTCGTGCTTTTTACAGCGCCACGTCTTCCACAGATGAAATATTTTATGGATTTTTTGTCAAAGCACTTCAGATATTCATTGTTATCGGGATGTTAAGAGCATTCCGTGGAATATAACAACAAGTGTATCTCGAGCCGGTTTCTCAAACTTACATACCCCTCCTTTAAGAGACGGGTCACGTTTTGTTCAGCCGGATAATCTCCACATGTCTACCCTACTTTTAGAATGTTCTAATCATAAATCTAGTCGCCAGAAGCAAAATGCTAACGTTATGCTATAAAGGAACTACAGCAGGGTCGCTGCTTCAACGTCACGCCAACTTAAGATCCATATTCAAACATACAGATTATAAATGGTACGAGTTGAAGTGTTTGTTTGAACAGTTTGCAGGAGGACTTGCTTTCAAGCAGATGATGGGAAAAACAAACTTAGAGGAGTGTGTACGTGTTCGGTGTAATGACGTACAACAGCCTGGACAACTTCTGTAGTCCTATTCAGCCACTTGGTAACAACCATCGTTTTTCAGACACGTCAACTCTTCAAAACTCACCAGCGGGGTCACTGCTGATGGATTTAATGTCGTAGAACAAAACGTGATCCGTCTCTCTCAATGTGTCTCAACCACAGACCTTATTTCCAGCTATCTTCCAAAATCCTATGGAGAAATTGCATTGCTTTTTGTCGAAGGAACCGGAAGTGGTAAAATGCTATCTTACTTCCGGGTTTTAGGATGCGTCACTGCGGCACTCTATTGCCTTGTGTTGAAAGGTGCTTTATAAATAAACTTGCCTTGCCTTCAACAGGGGAGAAGCCGTTTCCAAAAGTATACCATCGTGTCTCCAGTAAGAAGAAAGCGCCTCAAAGGAAGGAGCCTCAAAGGAAGGAGCCTCAAAGGAAGGAGCCTCTCAAGGCAGTGAGGCAGGGCAAGAGACCCCCCGGGAGCTGGTGGGCGGTGCCGGACGTGTGTGAGGACGTGGAGAGCGTCTCCCCTCAGCAGCAGAAGCCCAAACCTCGGAAAGAAAGGAAGAAACGCACCAGATCTCCTCCACCTCCCAAAGAGAGTTCCTCCGTGCCGCTCCTAAACCCACAGTCTCCAGTGAAGAGATCTCGGGCCGCCTCTGAAGACATGTTGTCTTCAAACGAGACCCCGAGTGTGGGCAGAGGTCGGATGAAGAGATGGAAGGAGCCGGAGTATCCTGTGGAGGAAATCCCTCCCGCTGACGGTTCCATATTCAGGTATATAGCAGGATATATTTGTCAGAACACACAAAATATATATATATATATATTTTATTATTTATTCTACTATTTCAACAATTTCGACATCTAAAAAAACGAACAAAATGAGTTGAAGCGGAGGGCAGAAAGCAGAGTTTATAGAGAGGTAGCCCTCCCGTTAAGGTTAAGTAAATAAAAGATAATTCTGTAATTAAATACTCACACAGATAAACTAAATTCTATATACACATACATATGTACACTAGGGGTGTAACAGTATCCGTATTCGTCACGGTTCGGCACATGCAGTCACACGACGAATACGCCTTTTTTTTACGGGTGTGAAAAAAAGTCTCATTCAGGGCAGTATCCATTACACTATTTATAATCCAGGGGGCGGTATTGCGCCTAAAAGCTGTTTGCTAGCCGCCCTTAAACAACAAATGAAGAACAAGAAGAAACACAACAACAAAACGAACTAAATACAAGAAGAAGAAAAGTTAGTATGGCGATTTCAGATAACACACAGGAGCCAGAACCAAGCCCCCAGGAAGTGCGCCGGAGTCTGATGAGAATATTCGTTGTGGCCAAACGGCGGTACTACACTTCCTTTAGGTTGCTGGGCCCGGAAACACTTTTTCCCATTGACTTACATTGGGAAAGAGTGGTCTGTAACTCGTTGGATAATTTTTTTTAAACTAAATAAACAACCCAGTATGAACACTTGTATAGCCCTTATTAAAAACATTCGTTCCTCAAGTTGTAAAAATGTGCTAATAACGTTATTCTGAGAGTTATTTCCCTCTGCGCCGCCCGGCACGTTCATGTTACGTGTTCAGCACTACATGCGTTTGTCTTTACCATAGACTGGTCTTTACCCATGGATGCTCAATAACAACGGACCATATCGCCTTACTGCCAGCCCACGGAGCTGTAATAATGGATATATTGCACATGTTTGCTGTAATTCATCATTTGTAAAATATTATACTACATGGGCTGTATGATTAAATCTTGTACCGTAAATGTTGTATTAAATAAAGTTAATATTACCGACGTTAGATTAACGTCGCTGTAGCTTATTATTGCGCTAAGAAGCTTATTGCACTGTATATATATATATATATATATATATATATATATATATATATATATATATATATACACAGTGCAATAATTCTTTCATGCTAAATGAAGCTCTGTTTCTTGGATATCACTAGATCCTGTTACAGCGTAATATAAGTACATAACGATTGATGTGTACATTAGCATAATTACTAGCTAGCTGCTAACTGCCGCCTCGTTAATATAAAATCCATCATAATAACAAATCATTACCATGCTGTCATGAACGCACGTGCTGTTACGTGTACGCAAATTGACGTGCTTGATGTGAACGAGCATTGTGGTTAAAGTTGCGCATGCGCTATGAGCGCACATACGGGTACTTCTCAGGCATGCCGGGTAATCTGTGACGTTTCGCTCTCTCAAAAGTTGGGTCATTTTATCATCATGCGCTAATGAGCAACTCTCATAGGAATGAATGAGGCCCCTTCTCCCACGCTGTATCCAGTTCTTATTATACATCCATGGCCAGAACCCACCTGCTTCTTTTAAATCAGCTGTGTGGGAACATTTCGGGTTCCCTGTGGACTACAATAACGATGGAGTGCGAGTGGTGGATCGGACGAGGACGGTGTGTCGGCGTTGTTCGACAGCGGTGCGGTATGCTAATGGTAACACACGCCAAACATGCTCAATCACATCAGAAGGCATCACCCAGATTTGGCAATCACCGGAGCCCGGCAAAAGACAGCAGCAGTTCAACAGCTGATCCCCGCTGTTTTTAAGAAGCCAATAGACATGAAAGCCGTGAAACCAAAATAAATAACGGAAGCTTTTGGCATATGTTTTTCAACGACTTTGCGCTCTTGAAACACTTTCTTATTATTTATGATGTCATATTTTCAAGACATTATTTTTAGTTTTACAGCTTGATGAAACCTTTTTGTTTGACATCAGCCATTATAGACAATATGGCCATCTGAGTGTGTGTGTTACTGTTTGTGGTTTGTTTTTAACTGTTTAATACAGTTAATTATTCAAAATGTCAGAGTTCTTTATTTTTAAACTGAAACTTGCTGTTCAAACATAAATAACAACAAACCTGGAATTATGCATTTGGGACTTTTTTTTGCTTTTTCTTGTTGTACCTAACTGTGACCCCCAAACCGAGGTACGAACCGAACCGTGACTTCTGTGAACCGTTACACCCCTAGTGTGGGCCCTTCGGTTCGGTACGGAACGAATATAACGTAAAAAATTGAGAACGTGAACAACTTTTTGGAAGTACTCTCAGGTGCTGCGTCGCAGCGTTCAGTGTAATTTGCTCACATTGGGTTCAACGCGTCAGAGCGACCAAGTAATTAAATTGGACGAGAGGCATACTATGAGAGCTGGGGCCTCATTTATAACGCTGTGCGTAGGATTCACGTGGGAAGGTTGCTTACGTAGTAGAAATCCAAAAAATAGGTCCATACATTTTCCGCCACTTCCCGATTCACCAAACATTGCGTACCGGCGAGGAAAGTGCGTACAGCACTTCCTACGCCGGTTTCCCTTTATAAATCACAACCGACTCGAAATGCGGTGCAGCTTTTGCGGGCTTCACGTAACGCCCATATTTGCCTATAAATAGTTAAAGAAACGCCCATTCATTCATTCTGACTGACTTTATGAAGAAGATCGCAGGAAATGACGACAGAACAGCTAAAAAAAGACTTCTCACACCGTGTCAGATTTGGGTTATTTTGGGGAGGTGGAGATAAATCATATTGTTTGGTGGATGCCGGTTGAACCAGAGTAGCAGCATGGAGGTCGGATCGTCACCAAAATAAATAAATAAGTGGTCCGAAAAAGGTTAATGTAAAAAAAAATACACATAGCCTTCCTCAGGCAGTGTGTTTGTACCGGGGACAGGAGACCCAGGGTCGGCTCTAGAACAAATCGAATGGGGGGGGCAATCATTTACCAAGGGGGGGGCACACACTGCCGTCAACAACCAACACACAAACACCAACGCAACTTCAATTTTAAAAAACATGCTGTAAAGTCTATTGTCTTTCACACACATTGCAGGGGTGTAGTGCTATTTTATAGCGCACCATGACTTGTGTGGGGGAAACTTCTGTGTAGCAATGCAGTGGGAGTCACCGACTCATGAAGGAGACACGGGAAGAGCAGGAGCTTTGATGTCAAACACTGATGGTTTATTTGGAGCTTCGGCCGGAGGATTCACATCACAAGTCACAGCAGCCACGATCTGACTGCATGGTAGAGTTGCCACGTCAATTCTGGAGCGCCTCTCTCTCGTTAGCCCATTTAACTGGTTTCACAGAGAGTAATCAACATATTTGAGAAGATAGCCTAAACAGTTGGGAACACTGAGTGACTTGCGTCTGACACTTATGGCCTCGAAGATTTCACACCTTGGAGTCCACAAACACAGAGAAGGAAGTGTCCCAGTGTACCCACAACAATAAACCATCTGTGACCTAGGGTTGCCCGGTCATAGAATGGGAACAACAACATCATGGCTGAAGCAGCCGATCTCCTTAAAGGAGATAACAGACGTCAGGGTTGGTCATGCACGTCATATCTAGGAGTCTAGGACAATTATTTCCCTAACAACTTGTGCATACATGCACGGTTGTGGCACGACCACCAAAACAGAAACATATGGACATAGGCCACCATATAAAAAGTGTGCAAATGTATTTAGTATCCTATCCATGTGAACATGTTTTAGGTGGGGGTGGACCTAACCTCCTCTAGGAGGGTCTGGGGGCAAGCTCCCCCGGGAAGATTATTTTTAAAATATTGAAGTTAAATGCATCAATCTGGTGCACTTTGAGAGCAAAATGAAGAGATCTATGGATAGCCTACATCTCTCAGCAGCACCCATATGAAACAGAACTGTAAACAGATTTACTTTTTCTTTATGGATATTTTACTAATCACTCCCCTTTAAACTGTATTCTTGTGTTACTGTCCTATAGTATTTCATACCCGTTTTTCATTTATTCTCTTATTTTTTTAATAACTATAATGATCATATAAAGGTGTTCCTCGCAAATACTTGTTTACATAAATGGTGACCAAACCGTTTGAGACCCACTGAGATAACTTACACTAAAGTGAACTATCTAAACACTGAGAGAGTCCTTACCTCACTGAGCTGAGGTTATACGATCCTCTCAGTCTGACAGGAGAGGACTCTCCTCCACCTTGGTGTAGAAACAGCTCTTTATATCCGTTAGCATAGCTAGCTAACCAGATGTGAACAACAACATTCCACGTTACCGCTCGCGCACTCACAAAATGCGCTCGTGCCACACACACAGAGCCGAGCTTGAATGAAACACAGAGACCCAGAAGTAGGCTACTTGTACTGTACTGTATATCATATTATTTTCGATGGCTTTACTGTATAATCAGTTTAACAGATCGCCACTGGGCTTTCATCTAAACACACAGCCACGTAATGATAACAAAACAAAAGTCGGGGGTCATTGGTCAAGCAACACACCAATCAGAGAGCAGCAGTGAGCACAGCTCAGGCTGTGTTTTATATTTGTATTCTTTATTTCTGATGTATTTCACACAAACAACCTTTAGTGGAAACGTTTTCACAAAAAACAAAAAAAACGGCAAAGTGGTAAGGCTTGCCCACCCTGCGTTGGGGGGGCACAGTGACTCATTTGGGGGGGCATGGCCCGCGAATGACCCCCCATGACGCCGACCCTGAGGAGACCCCCCCCCCCCCTTGATGAGAGACTGTAAGAAATGATCGGGGAATCCCCCCGGAGTGGAGTCATGACGACTGGATCTGAATTATGTTTTCGTATTTGGTGGTTTGTGTCCCAGCTGTCGATCAGCTGTGCGCAGCGTCTCCACTGCAGCAACTCTATATCCACCAGTTAAAGGAAATACAACTAATGTGTTGTGTTATATTAGCTGTACAATTTACCACATATGGTGTTCTTAGCTTCCATACCTCCTGTGTTTTACGAGCGACTTATCAAGTCTTAGCAAACGGCATAAAACATGATTAAACATGGTAGTATATAAAACCATGCTCGTACAACCTATAGAAATTCAAAACCGCATCATTTATGCGAAAACATTTCATAACATTAACACAACATATTCGAGGTGGTTTTAAATAACATATCCATATTTATTTATTTCTCCAAGTTATGTTTTTGTGTGCACTGAGGAGTCGCAAACAGGCGTTTGTTTAATCATTTTAAGATTGGCTTTAATCAATGTTTGAAAATGAATTCTTCATATATGATAAATGAGAGGTAACATTTTATTTATGGTATTATTTCCACATATTTCTCTCCATTCTTCCTTCTGCCAACGGTGTTGCAGTTTCTCGTCTCTCCCGTTGTTGTGCTTAGTGCGTACGCATGGGTTAGAGTTTGCGTGGAGGACCGCACGTTTTCCCGTCAAGTTAGTATTTTATAAATCGCAAACATTGCGTAGAAACTGGCGTACGCCATTTTTTGAGCGTATATCCCTTTATAAATGAGGCCCCTGGTCACAGGGATGCGTTCAAATTTAGTCAGTAATTTGAGGAACTGTCGAAATGGCAAACGCAGATAAAGTTCGTTTATCTGCGTTTGGGAACATTTTGGTTTCGCAGTTACGTACAAGGATGACGGACAAAGACAGGTGGACCGAACCAAAGCTGTTTGTCGGCATTGTTCAACTGAAATTGATTACGCGGCTGGCAATACATCAAACTTGCACACTCTTGAAAAGGCATCACCCGAACATGAATATCACCGGTACCAAAAGAAAAAAGACTGAAGTGCAAACCCAACTCCCGCTAGCATGTAAGCCTCCACCACTCGCAGACAGATCAGACCGAGCCAAAGCTATTACAAACACCAAATATCCTTATGTTGCCATGTTAGCAAAGCGCTACCTGGCTATATCTGCTACCTCTGTCCCTAGAGAGGGTGTTCTCCACAGCAGGAGACATTGTTAGTGCCAGCAGATCTGCCCTTTCGGCAGCAATGTGTACAAGTTAATCTTTCTTTGAAAAAACAATGACAAGCAAGTCATAATGTCAAACTGGCTGCTTAGGAACTAGTACAGTTCAAATACAGATTATTTCAGTTCATTGAAATGCTTCACCTTAATGTTTATTTTATTACATTTTGTATTTATTTGAGTGAATACATTATTCACAGTTTAATAATAATTAAAACCCCCCAAAAAATATTTTATGCTATACCGAACCGTGACCTAAAAACCGAGGTACGTACCGAACCGAAATGTTTGAGAACCATTACACCCCTAATGTACACATATACATACAAAAACCCATTTACAGGGTTAAAATAATAAAGTAAAACAAATAGCAAATAAATTCCTACAAGTCCATATTCAGATTCCATTTCTCATCCTATTTTTATGTAAACTGATAATAATGATATTTCAATCAGGAGAGACAGTTTTGATGTAAGAATACATATTTATTGCCAGAAATAAACAAATGAATGTAATGGAGTTTTGGCGATTAGGCCCCGTTGTGCAGGAGTATCATTCGGGAGGGGAGAACCCCCCCGATGAAACCCCCCGGGGGTCTAGACACTGGTGGTGGTGAATGGATGGTTGGGTTGGTCTGAAGGGGAGGGGCTTAGCTTGACCCTGGTGGTGGTGAATGGATGGTTGGGTTGGTCTGAAAGGGAGGGGCTTAGCTTGACCCTGGTGGTGGTGAATGGATGGTTTGGTCTGAAGGGGAGGGGCTTAGCTTGACCCTGGTGGTGGTGGTGGTGAATGGATGGGTGGGTTGGTCTGAAGGGGAGGGGCTTAGCTTGACCCTGGTGGTGGTGGTGAATGGATGGTTGGGTTTGGTCTGAAGGGGAGGGGCTTAGCTTGACCCTGGTGGTGGTGAATGGATGGTTGGGTTTGGTCTGAAGGGGAGGGGCTTAGCTTGACCCTGGTGGTGGTGAATGGATGGTTGGGTTGGTCTGAAGGGGAGGGGCTTAGCTTGACCCTGGTGGTGGTGAATGGATGGTTGGGTTTGGTCTGAAGGGGAGGGGCTTAGCTTGACCCTGGTGGTGGTGGTGAATGGATGGTTGGGTTGGTCTGAAGGGGAGGGGCTTAGCTTGACTCTGGTGGTGGTGGTGAATGGATGGTTGGGTTTGAAGGGGAGGGGCTTAGCTTGACCCTGGTAGTGGTGGTGAATGGATGGTTTGGTCTGAAGGGGAGTGGCTTAGCTTGACCCTGGATTCAGAGGGACAGGAGGTGAAAAGGGGTGGAGGAGGGTTGCGTCGAGTCTCCTGAAATGACAACTGTCAGAGGGGGAGAGCAGATTTTAAAGGTTTAGCGCAGCGCTATGATAGGCTTGTGAGAATAGAGCGAAGTGATTGGTTAAGCTGGGGAGTGACGCCCCCGATCACTTATTGAGAGGAGAGAGAGTAGTAACGTAGCACAGTACATGAATGAGTAAAGACGGTCTTCCTGATTGAACTTTCGCTGAGCTTCATTTCTCATTATAATTGTTATAGTATTTATAAATATTATTATTATTGTCATATAATGATATATCTTGTTTTTATCTATTTTTAAGTTAATCCAAAGACACAATGACCGGATAAAGATAAAAAAAAAAAATTATTAGAAGACAAAAAAAAACGCAGCTAGGTATTCCCATGTTTTGGTTGGTTAGGGCTGTGGTTCTCAACCTTTTTACACCAAGTACCACCTGAGAAAATAGTTGGCTCTCCAAGTACCACCATATGACCAATGTTAAAATACAGTCGTCTATGCACAGTTCATGCAGGACTCGGAGGCAAATGTATTCATAATAACATTATTTATTGTCAGCCACAGCTACATGTACAAAGGGCAGTGTCTCTCTCTATCTCTCTCTCTCTCTCTCTCTCTCTCTCTCTCTCCTCTCTCTCTCTCTCTCTCTCTCTCTCTCTCTCTCTCTCTCTCTCTCTCTCTCTCTCTCTATCTCTCTCTCTCTCTATCTCTCTCTCTCTCTCTCTCTCTCTCTCTCTCTCTCTCTCTCTCTCTCTCTCTCTCTCTCTCTCTCTCTCTCTCTCTCTCTCTCTCTCTCTCTCTCTCACACACATACACCACAAGTAAGAACAAAATAATAACTTATTCTCACACAACAAATGACAACTGTACACACATGTCATTTCCTATACCAAAGTGTGAATGTAGGCCTCCTGCAACAACCTACATTGTAACAGAAAATGTTCCACAATAATAATGAAGCCTCCAGGAGCAGATGAGCCTAATAGCTCATCTTCAGTCTGCTGATGTTTGCTATTGCCATTTTTGTGGTGGCAAAGTAAAAAAGAAAAGAAAAAATATAACAATTAAGGACAAGTGTGTGCTTTTTCAGCGTTTGACCTCGGTCACAGCCTTCTCTCCATTCTTTGCGCAAATGCCTTCTTCCTGAGTCACTTCTCTCCTCCATCACAGCGGCTGTGCATCACTTTTGCGTTGCTTGCGGAGCCTGCGCTTGTGCTCGGTTGATGACCTCCTCCTCATTCACATGTTCGCTTTCGCTGGTAATATTCTCCTCTGTACCCCCTCCCACCCTGGACACAAACTGTTCACCCCCTGAACAGTTTCTTCCCCTCCGCTACCGGCCTCTTAAACAAGGCCCGGCCCCCCCACTGACACTTTACCTCTGCCACATCTCTGCATTGCATTAATGCATACAATGTTCATACTCCTTTCTGCACATATTCTTATTTCACATTTCATAGTTTATATTCTAAAATGCATCCATAGCATTCTATTTACATGTAAATTACTGTTTTATTTAATTTGTATTGCTATTTAACTGTATTTTATTATGGTGTAAAAGGTTTTTTGTTTTATATATTTCATGTATGCGCCGTGACATCAAGTCAAATTCCTAGTAGGTGCGAACCTACCTGGCAATAAACCTGTTTCTGATTCTTCTGAATACCTCCCGTTTTGAGCCATGTTTTTAACATCATTCAGCTTTCTTCTTTCTTTAGCTTACTTGCAACGTTCGCTAATCGTTCGCGGGGTAGTATGGTCGTCATTAGCAACGCTAATACGCTTTAAATTTGTTTCTAAATCTAACAACAACAATAGCCAATTAGAATTTATTTAACCCACAGTTTCAATTATCTCAAGCTTATGTTCATTCGTTGTAGTATTTTGATAGTATGATTTATTTTTTAATTAATGTTATTCAATCAAGCCTCAAACTGATGGCACTTGTCCCTATAGCCTGTTTTGAAATGGAAGTTGTCTGAGGCCCTTCGCACCAGCTGCTCTCGCAGTAATAAGTAGTGTACCTTTCTTACTGTCCTAAGTGTGCACAATGTAGTGACTGCTTTTCGTCTTTTGTTTACTTCGTTGTGTTTTCTGTATTTTTTACGTCTGTGTTATGTGTAAGAACCGTTGCTGCCTTCTTGGCCAGGTCAGCGTTGTAAATGAGATGTTGTCTCAATGTTTTCATCTGGTTAAATAAAATGTAAAATGTAAAAAAAAAAACGCGTACCACAGGTTGAGAACCACTGAGTTAGGGTATTCTGCTAATAATAGTTTTCGGAGTCTTGGAATTCTATTACAACACTTGTGATATATAAACCATCTTTATATCTCTCTGTCTGTACACAGCACTCCTAACGACCTCATACACCACAGCACCCCCGAGGATGAGGGGCCACAGCGTTATTCAGTGGATCGGTGAGGACGAGTCTGAGTCTCTCTTAATATCTCCCTCTTACTGTCGATATACGTTTATATTTCCCACTATTTTCCCACAGGTCGAAGCTCTTGAGAAGTGGGCCGTCGTCCATGATTGTTCTGGACCAGCTCGAGTATGAGGAGGACAGCTCGAGTATGTTTTTAAACATTTAACAATATACTTTAATGTATACCAAATGTTCTTGATAGATATTTACCTAACCTAAGTTTCTTTCCCCACACAATGTCCTCCTTAACACCAACCCTTATCTCTTTGAAAATGTTGTCAGGTTTATGATGGGGATCCACGACTATTGGTATTAAGGAATGAATAATAATCACACTTTGATAAATCTAGAATTAAAAACGGCAAGAATAGTGATCAGTGTTTCCGCCAGACCGCGGCTGAGAGGGCGTCCACCCCGAGAGCGAGGGGTGATGTCACGTGACTTGAATTTTGAATTGAGCCGTCCCTTATAGATACTTTCTCTTTACGTATTAGTGATGGGAATTCTGGCACTTTTTTAGTTTGACTAGTCACTAAGAAGTGCCGGCTCTTTAGTTTATTGTAAAATGCGGCCATATCTCCGGCTAGGAAGGTCGCATCAACGGGCTCCCGTCTCTAGCACCCCCGCAGCCCGAGCTACGAGTGAAAGAACTAAACTTACATTACATTTCCGTTGGGTTGCTTTAAAGTCAAGCTTCAGTTTAAGATTCACCTTGTAATAGAAACATGTGATGGAGAATTACTAACCTGACTCAGAAACCATCTAGGAAAGCTCCATTTGGAAAAGTATTTCAAAAATACTTGGCAGGTGGTTGGATCAATCTATCACCTTCTATCATGGGCCACTTCTGATTGGTTAACAATGACTGGTACATGTGGAGCACAGCACGTTTGATTGGTGTGGATGACTGACACACAAGAAAAAATTGCATCATTTAAAATTGCATCATTTAAAATTTCGATTTAAAATCGCGATTTCGATTTAAAATCGATTAAACGTTCAGCCCTAATGTCCTTTTTCCTTTTCGTCATTTCAAGCGATAAAAACTCTCGATCTTCTCTCGAATTATTTTTATTTTTTTTGGACGCCCTCGGTTCGATTTCAAGGCGTTCCGAGCTGAATAAGGGCATCGAATGACGGCAAGACCCCTGGCGGAAACGCTGATAGTGATACATTTCCCATATCAGGCCTCGACAGTGGACAAAGAGAACCATAATTCAAAATATCCACCACAGTATTCATTAAATAATCAAATATAGCCTCAATATGTATCTGATGCTAGCAGTACAAACGGCTCCACCTGCTGGTTTCAGCCACCCCATCCCTCTTTAATTTTATATAATGGTATCTTCTTTCCTTTGTTCCAGTTTTGCAGAATTCCACAGTGCAGGCGGCTCTCTCTCTGTCAGATCTGTGCGCTCCTCCGCTCAAACCGATGACCCTGCTGACCCAAGACAAAGTCAACCTGGCCGAGTGGTTCACGAACCTCTGGGCGCTGCCTGTCAAAGGTGAGGAAATAATTCTGTATACATGTTTACTTTTTGCCCAAGTTTGAGCAGCCGTTTTCTCCCTTAACCTCTTTAGCCCCACGGACCCGCCGAAGGGGCCGAAACCACAACATCTGCAAGCAAGTGTCTGAGGGTTTCTTAAGATTTAATAAACTATGAATGTTTCATATCCATGTAACGGGAAGAAACTCAGCTAACTGATGATTTATTTATTTTTTAGCAAAGAAAACCTCAAAGCTAACGCTGAGCCTCTGAATTAGCCCTGAGCGAAAAAATCTTAACGCCGTTAGCACAGAACCCTAGCTATACCGATCAATGTACTTATTGGATCTGCACAAACAATCTTAGATAACATCCTGAGATTCCACAGATTATAGAAATATAAGGATCATCACTGAGCGATCTGAACTCGTGACAGGGGAAGCAAATACAGACAACACACGAGTAGCTTTAGGTAGCAAAACACGGCGATATGCTCACCTTAGCTGTTATTCTGATCAAAAGTTGTGTTCAATGGCATTAAAACGAGAAAAAACGCGGCTGAAGGTTAATCCATAGGTTAATCCAATGTGTCGGTCACTTTGAAATGATTACTGATAATCCATCATTCAATTTTTATGCAAAAATCGGAAAATAAAAGTTAGCTGCTAATGGTAGCCACCAGAGTGTGTCGCAGCTCCGGTTTGGGCTATGCGTCACTATCACTCCTTATTTGGTAACCTGTGTGTGTATGTGGAACTTTCCCTCGATTCCAATAGCCGCATTCACACCGCAGGACTTTCCCTGGTACTTTGGTTCTTTAGTTCCGTTAGTACCAATAATGTCACGTTCACACCGCCGGGACTACTCAGAACTCTTTTGGCCATTTTTAGTCCCTGCTAGAGAGGTGGTACCTACCTGGTGATAAAAGAGTGCCAATTTCTATTCTATTTATATTCGCTGGGCGAATTGCAAACCACGCCCCGTTAGACTCTGAATTCTTTGTTAGGCAGCCATTTTTTCCTCGCTACAAAACCACATCCACACCTGAGCGAGTCGTTTTTTTGTACTTTAAAGCAGTTATGACCACACGTACTACAACACCGGAGCGGTGGAATGATGAGGAAGTGTCGACGCTTCTGGCCATTTACTCCGAGGACGGGATGCAGCAGCTTCTACAGAAAGCAGTTCCCAACTCCAAATGTTTTGAGCGATGTTCACAAAAGCTACTTGAGCTGGGAATCGTGCACAGTGCACACGGATGCCGGGTAAAAATAAAGAAACTCAGGCAGGACTATAAAAAAATTAAAGACCACAATAATAAGAGTGGTAACGATTTTATATTGTTATTATATATATATATTGCCACTGTTTTTTAATACTGACACCTAACTTGCACTAAGGTGTGTCTGCTGCTATATATATTGCCACTGTTACATTGTTTTGAAACTACTTACACTTTATTTTATATTTCACACTTTTATTTAACTTGAATGTACATGCATACGACACACCTGGAACAGCGTGATGCCGTTAATGTTATGTCTTGACTGTGCAATAAAACAAACAAACTGGCGAAGCTTTATTTATTGTGTCCCACCCCAAATGTGCAGAATAGAAGAATGTGAGAGCAGACAGGTGTCGGTGGTTGAATTTATCTACAATGTTGCAACCTTGTGCAGCAATGGCAGAAACACAAGTCTTACACACATAAACACAAGTCATTTATCATGTCATTTGTTTTAGATAAATAAGGGAAACACACCAAACAAGGGTTAATGTCCTTTTCCAAAATCAGCCTGAGGGGGTAATATATAATAAATACATAAAGATAAAGTCCATTGTTATAATGGGGTATTTTATTTGTAAATTACCCTTATGAACTCCATCATGTCTGAGGTCGGAAAGTAAACAAACGCCTCATACAGCGGGTGGGCTTTATACCCCCTCCCCCGTGTAGTTCTTCTTCTCTCGTTTTTTTTTGTACTCGCCGTGAAGTGGTTTTGCGGCCTGCCAGTAAACCCAGAGAAGAAGAAGACGACGAAGTGACGTCAGCGTAATCTTGCCTCAGGGAAAGTACTGCGGTGTGAATGCGATTGGCACTAGCCCCCTGGCGGATTCAGTGCCGTGGTACTTTAGTGCCGGCACTAAAGTACGGCAAGTCCTGCGGTGTGAAAGCGGCTATTGGCTCTAGCGGTGTCAATCATCAACATCAACCAAGGGGGGGCCAGAGATATGGAAAGTCCACCCAAATGACCCCAGAAGTGGGTTTTTTTTGTTGCTAAACCTCTCTAAAAAGGTCACATTTCTCTTGTTTTGCATCAATCTTGATACAGGGTACTTATTATATGTTGTACTTTGGATTCCTAAAGCTTTTAGTCTACTATCCCATCATGCAAGGGTAGTTTTCACCAAGTAAAAAAGACGGACACTATAATTTACATGTTCAATCTGAATTTTCTTTAAAATAAAAAACATCTATATTGATTCTGACTTTTCTACATCCAACTCACAGGTTTATCATTACTTTGAGAAGTGTAGTTATGGTCATTTGTTCTGGAAATGCCATTTTCGAGCCTGAGACCTGAAAAACAGGCTTGGGGCTTAACAGGTTAAGGAGGGGCTGCCTTAGCATTTTGTTGTTGTTACCAGTTGGTGACCGGGCAACTCTCGGTCAGAGATAGTCATTGTTGTGGGACACCTGGAACACATCCTTCTCGGGGTGGAGATGCCATGCTTGACCGAAACATGGCAAACTGGACAGGATTTCCTATTACTCAACCAAGCCACACCTCCTGGCTATGTCTACCTCCAAAAGCCCCGCTCCACATCTCGATCAAAGAGCTTCCTGTACCCAACACCACCTCACTTGAATGTCTTGCCTTCACTCTATCTGGATCTGCACAGCTCCAGGCTGTTCTTATATATCGCCCCCCCAAAGCCTCAGCCTCTGCCATCTTCCTGGTGGAACTATCTGAGCTACTCACCTCAATCTGCTCCATGTCCCAATCTACGCTCCTTCTTGGAGACTTTAACATTCATGTGGACTCACCCTGTTGCACATTTGCCTCTGACTTCCTGGCACTTCTGGACTGCTTCAATTTTGAACATCATGTCCATGATCCCACCCATGCCAAAGGCCACACCCTGGATTTGGTATGTACCACTGGCACAACTGCATCCCGCCTGCAGTGCCTCAACCTGGCTGTCTCCGACCATCATGCCATCCTGTTCACTGTGCCTATCGCCCTCCCCAGACAGCTTGTACTGCGGACAATTACCTACAGGAGCTTAAAATCAGTGAGCACACCAGCCATAACCAGCCTCATAGCTAGCAACCTGGCCTCCGATCCCCCTGACACCTCGGTTGACGGACTGGTAGCCCAGTACAACACTGCTCTTTCCCTGAGTCTCGACTCACTTGCCCCCCTCATTACTCGCACTGTCTCCTTCACCCACACAGCCCCCTGGTTCACCACCAGTCTCCGTGCCATGAAAGCCTCTGGCCGCCAACTGGAGCGGCTCCACAAAAAATCTGGCCTCACCGTCCATCTGGAGGCGTATAGAGAGCATGTCAAATCTTACAAGGACGCCCTCTCAAAAGCTAAGGCACACTACTACTCCTCACTCATCGGTAACCAGCAACACCACCCCAGTATGCTCTTCTCCACCATAAACCGCCTACTCCGCCCAATTGACCCCCCCAACCCAGCAGACGCCCCGAGCTTTGCACCAGGTTCCTTGACTTCTTTGAGGACAAAGTCAACTCCATCCACCAGGAACTCCAGGCCTCTGCCCCATCCACATGCCACACCACCTCCAGTCACTGTTCGCTCAACTCAACACCTGCCTCAATGTTGTCTCTCCTCCTTTGCACCAGTGGATGCCACACAGGTTACCAAACTTGTCTCAAAAGCTAAGGCTACAACCTGCTCCCTCGACCCCATGCCCTCTGCCCTGGTCAAAACTTGCCTACCCATCCTCTGCTCCACCATTGTTAAAATTATCAACTCCTCCCTGGAATCAGGCAAGGTTCCCGCCGTCCTCAAGAAAAAAACCTGGTCTCGACCCCGAGGACCCCAGCAACTTCCGGCCGATCTCCAACCTTCCTTTTCTTAGCAAGATCATGGAAAGAGCAGTTGCTGCCCAACTCCACCATCATATGTCCGACCATGAGCTCTACGAACCCTTCCAATCAGGCTTCAGATCCAACCACAGCACAGAGACGGCCCTTATTAAAATAACCAATGACCTCCTCATAGCCGCCGATTCAGGCCTCGTCAGCATCCTTATCCTCCTGGACATCTCCGCCGCATTCGACACAGTCTCCCACACTATCCTACTCAACCGCCTATCCGTCTACCTTGGCCTCTCTGGTACAGCCCTCTCCTGGTTCCATTCCTACCTCTCCAACAGGCAACAGTTTGTGACCATCGGAAAATCCAGCTCTCCCCCAGCCCCTGTCAACCAAGGTGTGCCGCAAGGTTCGGTGCTCGGCCCCCTTCTATTCAACATCTGAAATCATGCGCCGACATGGTCTCAACTTCCACTCCTATGCCGACGACACCCAACTCTACATCAGTACCAATCCATCATCCCAGCTACCCCCACTGTCACTTGTCAACTGCCTCCATCCACGCCTGGATGTCAAAAAATCGACTTAAACTCAACAATAACAAAACAGAGCTCATGGTTGTGGCCCCAAAAACACTGCTCCGGAAGGTTGGAGTTTTGCTCCTCACCATCGATGGCGGCTCCATCCACCCTTCCCCTGAGGTTCGCAGCCTGGGCGTCACTCTGGACTCTAGCCTCACCTTCAACTCCCACATCAGGTCTACTGTCAAAACCGCTTTCTTTCACCTACGAAACATCTCCAGACTCCGGCCCTCTCCCCCCGACCCTGTTGCAGAAACATTCATTCATACATTCATCTCCTCTCGTCTGGACTACTGCAATGGAATTCTGTTCGGGTCACCAGCAAAGCCCTGGACAGGCTCCAGTACGTCCAGAACTCTGCAGCCAGGCTCCTCACCCACACTAAGCCCTGGCAACACATCACCCCTACCCTCATCCACCTTCACTGGCTCCCGGTCAAGTCACGCATCCAGTACAAACTCCTCCTGCTAACTTACAAATCTCTCCACTCCCTAGCCCCTCCATACATCTCTGACCTCCTTTAGCCCTACACCCCCTCTCGTCACCTGCGGTCCTCTGACAAAGGGCTGCTCTCCATCCAGCGCTCCAAGCTGAAAACATTTGGCAACAGAGCCTTCAGTGTCGCAGCCCCCACCCTCTGGAATTCTCTCCCCTCTGCAATCAGGAATGCAGACACTCTGGACACCTTCAAAAAACACCTCAAACACCATCTGTTCACTCAGGCCTTTGGCCTCAACTAATATACAGTACTCAGCAACCTGTTCCTGTTTTGTTTTCTTCAGCCTATGTATCTGTATGATTATTATTACTTTTTGTTTTGTTACTTCCCATTGTAAAGCATCCTTGGGTTTCGTGAAAGGCGCTATATAAATTGAAATTATTATTATTATTGTTTCTGATAGCAACGTTTCTGATTGGGCCGTGGGTCCACATTTCCGATATTACGTCATATCGGAACGCAAATCTGGATCAGCTCCGTTGTTCCCCGTTTTTAGAGATTTGGGTACGGAGGAAAAGAGAGAGGGTTTTATTTTCTGACGCTGCGTGAGTTCCCCGACACACCGGGGACACATGTTTATGTATAAAAGACATCAAAAAGTGCATTTTGCATGATAGGTCCGCTTTAAAGTTACACCCGGCCCTTTGAGTTCAACCATAATTCTGATGTGGCCCGCGATGGAATTGAGTTTGACACCCCTGCGCTAACCCGTCCCACTTTGTCTTTGAACATATGTCGTTCTTGGTCTTTAAATAAATGTTTCTGTTCTGTTTGTAGTAGAGAGTACTGAGATCTTCCCGGATCAGTTCGAGTGGTTCTGCTATCAGGGCCGGGTGATCGGCCTCACGATGGACATTAACAGCGAATCATTCTGCAACGGGAAGATGCTGCTGGGCTCCTTCATGAAGAAACCTCTGTGGGTGGACCACAGCGCCGCCACCGTCAGTACCCTCCCACATCTCTGCGTTATACTCACTGTCCTCTCTAGTGTCTTAATATTAATCATTTCTGTCATTGTTTTTCTTTATAAAGGTTTTTAACTTATTAACAAGCTCTGTGAGTGTGACCATCAACGGCAGGGAATCCCGCTTCAACCCTGGAAAATCCTTCATGGTGCCATGCGGTAAGAATAGAATAATAATACATTTTATTATAACACAGGGTAAAATTACACACTTAAAACACAACATTATTCAGTTCTGAAGAGGCCCCATTCTGCTCATTTTCACATCAGTATTTAATAGGGCTGTGCATCTTCACTGGTCTCACGATTCGATTACGGTTATCCTGTCTTATTTTCTATATTACTGCACATGGCTTCTTTTTCATCAATGAATACATAGTAAATACATATTAACTCTTTTTATTATTTAGAAAGTGCTTCAGAAATCAATAACATAAATGTCTTGACATTAAATTATAATCCAAAGTAAACCAATTGTATAGCTCTAGCATCCCTATATCTGTCTGTGAAATTGTTCCATCCTCTAAAAACGAATGCTTCTGCAGTCTAGCTGCAGCTTCTAGCAACGGTCTTCTGTTAAAAAAAAGGACACTGAAGGTCCTGAATGTGGCATCACACACAGGACTTGAGTCTGAACACAGCAGACAACAGGAGTATTTACAACAGCTATACAAACAAAAATACTGCATGTGGGTGCACACTTACATTCTCTGTCTTACCGTTACATAAACAGCATGATTGTAGGAGATTAAGTTAGCTTCATCATCTCAATCAGAATCAGAATAATAACGTTGTCACTATCAGCCTGTCACTCATTATTTTCAGGGGGGCGGGGTTTGGAGGAACGGAGAGGAGACGGTGATTGCGGAAGCTTTTTCCTCCTGCCTTCACAAACGTTACACACGTTTCAACTGAAATAGCAAGAGGACATTCATACTCTGCAATCCAAGACTAAATCCACCAAAAAACTGACATGATTGTAACGCGAGTATTTTTAAAAAACATAAATCCCTGTGTCTCTGAGCCGCAGCGACACGGACTGATTCAGAGCGCGTCCTTCTGCTGTTGGTTCTGGACTGCTGTTCTTGTGTTGGTGGATAAAGCAGACTGCTCCGTGTCGCTGTGCCGCTGTCACGTCTGTTCCCTGATCTCTGCGTCACCGACCAATTTGATATTCAAGTCACAGAAAAAAAACGTTATTGTAAAATCAGGAAGCAACGTTGCTACGCTATAATCGATGATGTTCTGTCACTGCATCGATGCAGAATCGTCCGCATTGCGATGCATCGTAGAAACGATTAATTTCAACACCCCTAGTATGTCGTGTCTCTACTGGGACATGTCTCCATGCTTTAATGTTCAAAAAGCTCTTAATTGTGCTCTTACTGCCTGTGCTGCAGCACCTCTTTTCACCCCCTGTCTGAAACCAGAGCCTTTTTCTTCTTCATCAGTAAATTGTCCGATGTGCCTCGATGGTTTTAATGATTTTGTACCGTTCTGTTCCCACAGGAAGTGCTTACAGCATCCAGAACGTCTGTGCTCAGCCGGCGGTTCTCTACTTCACAAGAATGATCACAGAAAGCTTCGAATGAATAAAACAAAAACAGACCGGACACAATATGTACATTTTATTAAAAAGTTTCTTTTTTTACTTTCTGTATTAAATGATAAGATTTTAAATATTTAGTTGTTTTTAATTGTATGTAAAGGATGTTTTTGATCCTTTGCTGTGTTTTTAATGATGCAATGTGATAAAAGTATTAAAATGATTTCTATTTCTCTTGAGTTTTATTTCCTACTATAAATGTCTTGCTTCCATCCTCTGAGGGGCAGTGTGCACCAAGAACAACCAGAGCCGTTCAGTGTGAAACTCTTGTATTACAACCACATTTACAGTGGTGGAAAATGTATTCTGATTCATGAATATAGTGTAGTACTTCACTAAAACTCCACTTAAATGAGAAGTGAAAGTAGTTGGTGTTGGAGAATAATTTGCCCTGCATGTCCTCCTTCGCCCTCTGACGCAGCTGACCAACCTTGAGCAGCCGCTATCTCCCATAAGAAAGGGCTGCCTAGCATGTTGTTGTTGTTACCAGTTTGTGACCGGGCAACTCTGTCAGAGATAGTTATTGTTGTGGGACACCTGGAACACATCCTTCTCGGGGTAGATGACCCCGAGCCGTAAGCGACAACAACTGATTCAGTCTCCCTCAGCTTTTTAGTCTATCGATTGAAAAATGTTGATTATAACACTCCGAACTAGTTAAAGCCTCGAGCTACAGGAGGGTGCTTCAGAATTGATTGTGGCTACCGTGTGGTCAACTCGTGGCCCGTGACATGTCTTGTGAATTCTCCGGCCGAAGCTCCAAATAAACCGCCAGCTCTCCTCGTGTCTCTCTCTGAGTCCTGATTCCAAACCAATTGCTTCAGAAGTTTCCCCCACAGTTGGTCCTTTACTTGTATTCCCTTACAGGTGCATTAAAACAGACTCAATCAGATGACTTTTAAAATTGGGGACTGGACCGCTGGCGAACAGCTGTTAGAGTAGGCTGTTCAGAGCAGAGCTCCCTGTCGGAGCGGCAGAGCGTGATGTGCACTGAAACGTTTTTCTGTCGCAATATTATGAGATTGTGATGGAATCGTTGAGCTAGCTAACTAGCATACATTGTCACTATCTGCTAACGTTAGCTTTAGCCTTCGTTTTCTAATAGTTTTTTTCACAGAGGTTGTATAAGTATAGATCTTGTAATTACTCAGATATTGTAGGCTACTTGAGTAAAAGTAGAAGTACCAGAGTATGCTCTGTTACAGTAAAAGTCCTGTATTCAAAATGTTCTTCAATTAAAAGTAGAAAAGTATTATCATCAAAATATAGTTAAAGTAGCGACAGTAAAAGTATTGTGCAGATTGGTCCATTTCAGAATAATATACATGATAAATGGACTGATAGCGCTTTATCCAGTCTTTACGACCCCCTCAAACGCGCTTTACATAGGCTACTACATGTCCATTCACCCATTCATACAGAAGCCAGTACCACTTGCTCTAGGACCTAAACATTCACACACCGTTGGCCAGTGGTCCCCAAACTAAGGCCCGCGGGCCGGTACGGCCCGCCTCCACATTTGGCCCGGCCACCTGAACAATACCAGAGACGCATTATGATTTTTTAATTTTTTTTTTTTTTAAAATTTTGTTGTTGTATTTATCATCTGAATTTGCCGAAACAAGTTTAATATTCTGAAAGCCAAGACTTTGTTTAATTGAAATCAGATGAAAACAAACTGTAACGGACCCTGCAGTGTTATCTATGATTACTATACTCTTACATTCATAATTTCAGCGGAGTGAGGGGGGGGCGGCGCTGCGGAAGAGCAGATTGCGAGTGAGAAATAAATAAATTGGAAATAAAAGTTTCATATTCTGAAAGCCAAGACTTTGTTTGTTTAAAATCAAACAAAACACCCGACACCTTTTTTTACGTAAATCCACGTTTATTTTTGAGAGATTCTGCTCTGACAACTAAGCTAAACTTTTACCTGTTAAGATTGTGCACGGCACAACAGAAAGTTACAGTAATTTTCAATGGACTTTTTTTCTGTGAAGAACCCAGAGAGGGTTATTTGGTTATTATTTATTTCATAAATAGTGTTATTTATTTCATTAATAGTGTTATTATTTATTTCCTGACTTTTTGTCTGTGAAGATCCCGGAAAGGGTTATTAATATTTGGTTATGTGTGGCTTTCTAGAAAACAATACATGTTTACGTTTAGACCACCCATTGCGATCGTCACACTTTTTCTGTTACAAACTGACCCGGCCCCCATCAGAGAAGGGAAAAGTTATGTGGCCCTCACAGGAAAAAGTTTGGGGACCCCTGCCGTTGGCCATGCCATCAGGAGCAACTCAGGGTTAAGTATATCTTGCCCAAGGATACATCGACATGTTGACTGCATGGGCTGGGATCGAACCCACAACCTTCTGGTCGAAAGACGACCGCATTCCCTCGCAGCCACAGTCGTCATATGTTTTATAATGATTGATCATGAAAGTGTTCTCAAAGCTGGTGAAGGTGCAGCTAGTTTGAATGACTTTGTATACTGCAGGGTAGCTTGTGGATTTACTCCAGGTGGAACTAAAGTCTGATTTAACACTTGATTATATTTCACATCATTCATCCACGTCTGTAAAGTAACTAAAAGGTATTAAATACCATTGCGATGCCCCTGTGGGTTCATCTAGAGAGGGTGTGGCTGTGCTGTCTTGATTGCCTTGATTAGTAACTCGGGGCACCTGGGTCTGGTGCCCTGCAGCTATTTAAAGCCTCTGCTCCGCTCTGTCTTCCCTCTGCTTTCTACAGGTACCTGGTTTCGGTTGAGTATGCTATGAGTTCTCTCAGTTGCTTCACTTTGTGCACTTCAACACTCTCATACATGTCCATGCAAACCTCACCCTGCATTTACACTACTGATACCACTGACATCCACACCTCATGCTTTATTTGGTTGATTTTAATGTTTTTCTTTAATAAACATATTTTGTTAAACCGTTGATATGGTGTGTCTCCTCCTTGTTGTGGCCTTTTGAGCCGGTCAACAAATGAGGGCTCGTTCTACGGGTTATTTGTAGAAAGTGTGGTTAAAAGTTTGTGTAGTGCTCAGAGCACATGGTGTCATTGAGCAGCTGATTAGTTGATGGTCCAGCTGTGTGCTGGCTTGGCGCTGCTATTGGGGGACACATCATGTCTTTTGTGTTTCAGGAAGCTTTCGTGTTTGACAGGGCGTCAGGGTTTCTGTGTCAATCAGAAGGTAAAATGTTGCTGTTTGAAACGCTTGTGTAAAGGGATTTCCCGCTATAGGCTTAAGTGGCGTTTCCCCTTGGGTTGCGTCTGTTTGTTTTTTTTCATAGTGTTGTGGCGACGTGATTGGTGTCAGCTGTTTACGGACAGCTGTCTCGGGGCACGTCCGCGTGCTTTTTTGGTGTTACCTGCGTCGTGCAGGTCGCTCCACAACTCCGCTGGATTCCAGTGCGTAATTACCCGCCACATGAAGACTAGGTGATATTATTAATATTTTGGTTAGGCAGTTAGAGGGAAATTCTCTGTTGGGTTTCGTCCATGCATGTTGGCAGTTTAACACTTTGATTTCTGATTGGTTAGGTAATATATTATGGCTTCTTTGTCGGCGTTTGTGGATGCGCCCTCAGTGTCTTAGATGATTGCCAAAAGGCGCAGTTGGTCGAAATAGCAGAGCATTATAAAATTGCTGTTATAGGGAGGCAATCGGAAAGATGAGATTAAAGCTGTCATCTTTGTTTGAGCAGGGGGTGTTGCAGAAGAGTGAGTCTGGTGCGGCAGGGGTCGTGCCGGTAGTGGTTCAGACAGATGGTTTGACGTTCGAGCAGCAAAAAGAGCTTTTGGCCACAGTTTGAGCAGGAGAGGTTGGAGTTGAGGGGTCAGCAGCAGGAGGTGGAGAAGCGTTTAGAGGTGAAGGTGCTGGAGGTGGAAAAGATGAAATGTGAGGTAAAACATGCTAGATTACGGCTGATTGAAGAGGGCAAGCTTTCTTCGGTGGAGGATGGTTCTGATAGGTCGGCATCAGGTAGTGGCGATGTTATTTCTAACTTGCGGTTAGTGCCAAAGTTTAATGAGCGTGACCCTGACATTGTTTTTACTTGAACCATAGATTTGAACGCATAGCAGAGGCAAGAAGCTGGTCTGATTCAGACGGAATGCTGTTACTTCAGTGTGTATTCACTGGACGAGCACAGGAGGCCTATTCAGCTATATGTGGCGAAAATGCTTTGGATTATGCTGGAGTAAAATCAGCGGTGTTAAAATCACACGAACTGGTTCCTGAAGCGTATCGTCAGAAATTGGGTCAAGGGGGATAAGCAGACAAATGTGGAGTTTATCCGTGATTTGACTTCTCATTTTCAGCGGTGTTGCGCGGCAGCAAAGGTTGCCAGTTTTGACGGTCTTTGTGAACTCATTGTATTGGAACAGTTTTAAAGATGTTATCCCTCAGCGTGTGGCCACTTATGTAAATGAGCAGAAACCTTCCACCGCGTTTATAGCTGCCGAATTAGCGGATGATTTCGTGTTGACGCATAAGGGTTTTATAGAGAAGTGTTCTAGGGGTGATTGGAGACGTGGAGAAGTTGGTGGCAATGCCCGCGGTGGTGCAAAGGTTTCATCAGGCTCCTCCCGTAGATTTGCAGGTACGGGGCGACCCGAGGGGGACGAAGCGGGCCTATGTCATTATTGCCGAGGAGAGGGTCATTGGAAGGATCAGTGTCCGTTGCTGGAAACTAAGGGGAAGCCTCGTTTTTCATCACATGCTCCAGCCGTGTTCTGCCGTGTTGGATAAGAAGCCGTTGGGTGTAGGCTCGGGCATGGTGCCTGATAAGAAGCCGGTTTGTGCCGACCCGGATGTGGTTTTGTGAGGGATTTTAATAGTTTTCTATTTATTATTTTAACTCCAGAGTTGGCCAAGAGGCTTTTTTTTCATCTGTCGTCCATGAACAGATGTTGTACGTTACCCTTAATTCACTAATTAGAAACATAACAAACTTGTAGGCCTAAATAGAATCAGTAAAAACATGCAAGATAGATGCGGGAGGCTGTGGCCCAGTGGATAGTGCGCAGGTTCAAACCCCACTGCAGTCAGCATGTCGTTGTGTCCCTGGGCAAGACACTTCACCCCAAATTGTTCCTGTGGGGATTGTCCAGTATTGAGTATGTAAGTAGCTTTGGATAAAAGCGTCTAACAAGTAACATGTGATGTCCAAGCTTATAGGGACCCGTCCTTTTAAGAATAAGTAGACCCTAGGACCTATAGAACATTTAGACATCCTTTTTAAATGCTTTTCTTCTTTCGCACAAAGAAATCATGAATTCCGAAGCAGAAACAGACGAGGATTCAGCAGATGTTAAAAATAACAAACTACCTGTGGTGTCTGAAGGGAGTTCACCTGACGACAGTTTGACTCTGAGGAGGAGGAGGAGGCCGCCTGGAGAGTGGCGGATGCATCGGAGCCCAGAAGAAACGACAGGTAAATGCAACCAGCCGCCAGTGAAGGAGGCAACGCGGCAAAACACAGAGGAGGATGTTCAGTCCAGCCCGCTGGTGTTCTCACAGAGAGCTCAGCGATAACTCAGGGGAGTGGAGGAAGAACTGGGTTCCTTTACTTACAGAAAAGTAGTCCGGTTCCAGTTCGGTTTTAAAAGTCCATAATGAAACTATTCCACAGAGACAGCAGGAAAAATAATATACGAAGAAAAGAAAACAAACACAGCCAGTAAATAACAAAGTAAACTAAATATTAGCTATTAGCTCTCCCCCTGCAGCCTTCATATCGTCCATGTGGTAATAGGCATCTGTTACAAGTACAAATCTAGCAGTTAAGGTCGCGTTGAAGTAAAAGCAACATGTATTTGAACTCTTTTTACAAACAAAAATGTGCAAATACAAAAAATACCTGTATTTGAGTAAAATAGCTGAAGATTTAGGAAAAAATCAATTCACATATCTTGTGCAGCCCTACAAACAGACCAACCAATGATCTCTGTTCCTTAGATTGTGTTCCTTTCTGTTAGAGGAATAGTTTCAGCGAAAACTAAAAGGTACCATGGGGTCAGATTATAATGTTCCAAAGGGGGGTTCGTTTAGCATGAAACACTTGAAATAACTAAAGGATAAGTTAAACAAGAAAGTGAAGTCATAGAAAACTGTCTGCTAAAAAGTGAGCAATGATTGAGAGTCAGAGCTAAACATTTCAGATGTGTGTATCTCACACGGCTGTGACTTTTATGAATGTACCTTTGTTATTCATGTTTTATCATCTTCGCTTTTAAATGAGTGATTTTAAATGCCATTTTATGTTTCGTAATATCTTTCCTTTTTGTAAAGCACTTTGAATTGCCTTGTGTTGAAAGGTGCTATATAAATAAACTTGCCTTGGCTTCAACAGGGCCGTTTCAAAAAGTATACCATCGTGTCTCCAGTAAGAAGAAAGCTCCTCAAAGGAAGGAGCCTCAAAGGAAGGAGCCTCTCAAGGCAGTGAGGCAGGGCAGGAGACCCCCCGGGAGCTGGTGTGCGGTGCCGGACGTGTGTGAGGACGTGTGTGAGGACGTGGAGAGCGTCTCCCCTCAGCAGCAGAAGCCCAAACCTCGGAATGAAAGGAAGAAACGCACCAGATCTCCTCCACCTCCCAAAGAGAGTTCCTCCGTGCCGCTCCTAAACCCACAGTCTCCAGTGAAGAGATCTCGGGCCGCCTCTGAAGACATGTTGTCTTCAAACAAGACCCCGAGTGTGGGCAGAGGTCGGATGAAGGAGCCGGAGCGTCCTGTGAAGAAAATCCCTCCCGCTGACTGTTCTGTATTCAGGTATATATCAGGATATATTTGTCAGAATACACAAAATATATATATATTTTTTTACTATTTCAACAATTTAGACACCCCCGGGGTCTAGACACTGGTGGTGGTGAATGGATGGTTGGGTTAGTCTGAAGGGGAGGGGCTTAGCTTGACCCTGGATTCAGAGGGACAAGAGGTGAAAAGGGGGGGAGGAGGGATGCGTCGAGTCACCTGAAATGACAGCTGGGAGAGCAGATTTTAGAGGGTTAGCGGAGCGTATAGGCTTGTGAGAATAGAGCGAAGTGATTGGTTAAGCTGGGGAGTGACTTATTGAGAGGCGAAGTCCCTCCCCTTCCGGGGGACCTCCATGGGACCTTATTTCGGAAAAATCATGTATTAAAGTCAATGGAGAGAGAAAGATTATCTTTTGATCCCGTTTGAATTGTGCAACGAATTACACATATGATGTTTGTCAATTTAAAAGAGAATTTTGCAAGTCAAGAAAATTAATTGTCGTAAAACTGTGAAGTAACACATTTTTTTTGTGTGAAGCGCTCAATGAACTACATCTCTGGTCTCGCATACGTCACCAACACCAAGACGGCCGTCACGTTGGCACATTTCACCTCTTTCTTTCAGAATGAGGCGGAAAGTATTAAAAGAGGTGAAAATCACTCCAAGTCTGGGCGCGTTGAGAGCTGTACATACACACAAGGGGAGTTAGTCGGTTCCGTAAGTAACAAGAGTGTAATGTGTAACGTTAATGTACGCGACTCTGGGATTTGTAGTCTTTCTAGTTGCGTATTTTTCATAGTCTTATATTTCAACAGTTTTAAGACAAACTGTGACTTTTTTGACTTGGAAATTATTTTTTAAGATTGACAAACATCATATGTGTAATTCGTGGCACAATTCAAACGGGATCGAAAGATAAGTTTTCTCTCTCCATTGACTTCAATACATAATTTTTCAGAAATAAGGTCGCATGGAAGTAGACGGGCGTGACTTTGCCACTCTATAGAGAGGAGACTAACACGGAAATAGTACATTAATGAGTAAAGACGGTCTTCCTGGTTGAACTTGCGCTGAGTTTAATTTCTCATTATAATTGTTATAGTATTTATAAATATTATTATTATTGTCATATAATGATATATCTTTTTTTAATTTATTTTTAAGTTAATCCAAAGACACAATGACCGGATAAAGATACAAAAAAAACGTAACAAAATATTAGACAAAAAAAACGCAGCAAGTTATTCCCATTTTTTGGTTAGTCAGGGTATTCTTCTCATTATTTTTTTCGGAGTCTTGATTTGAATGATATCACAACACTTGTGATATATAAACCATCTTTATATCTCTCTCTATCTGTACACAGTACTCTTAATGCCTTCATACACCACTGCACCCCCAAGGATCAGCGGCCACAGCGTTATTCAGTGGATCGGTGAGGACGAGTCTGAGTCTCTCTTAATATCTCCCTCTTACTGTCGATATACGTTTATATTTCCCACTATTTTCCCACAGGTCGAAGCTCTTGAGAAGTGGGCCGTCCTCCATGATTGTTCTGGACCAGTACGAGGAGGAGGACAGCTTGAGTATGTTTTTAAACATTTAACAATATACTTTAATGTATACCAAATGTTCTTGATAGATATTTACCTAACCTAAGTTTCTTTCCCCACACAATGTCCTCCTTAACACCAACCCTTATCTCTTTGAAAATGTTGTCAGGTTTATGATGGGGATCCACGACTATTGGTATTAAGGAATGAATAATAATCACACTTTGATAAATCTAGAATAAAAACGGCAAGAGTAGTGATCAGTGTTTCCGCCAGACCGCGACTGAGAGGGCGTCCACCCCGAGAGCGAGGGGTGATGTCACGTGACTTGAATTTTGAATTGAGCCGTCCCTTATAGATACTGTAACGATCACAAAGGGAGTCGGAAACAGGCTGCTAGTTATTAGGCTTTAATAACTCTTCTTCTTTACAGATGATCACAGGTTCAGGAACAGCTTGTGGGTTCAACCTCACACTCACACTAACTTCTACACATACCCATATATATAACAGTGTCTACGTCACAACTTCCCGCCCTCCCCCGTCTGCTCCCCCAACCACAGGCCTGCACCTCAACCAGCATCACTGTGCAGCTCTATGATTGGCAGAGAGACGGGGGATGCCTGAGTGACACCCTCAGCATCCTATACAGGGTCGCTACAATACTTTCTCTTTACGTATTAGTGATGGGAATTCTGGCACTTTTTTTGTTTGACTAGTCACTAAGAAGTGCCGGCTCATTCTGCTCCTAAACGGCTCATCATTTCACCACAGAGTCTCAGTTTCGCCGCTTCGAGGCTCCGGCGCGCCGAGTTCACGCGCGTGCGCTACTTGCACCCCCCGCTAAGGCTCGCCGGCAGTACACTTTCCGTCACAGGAACACGCTTTGCTGGCCGCGAAAATAATCCAACCAGACTCCTTTGCCCCTCCAACAGAGGGATGTCCTTTAGGCCTGCACGATTTGGGGAAATCTAATTTCGATTCGATTTGCGATATGTTTTTAAACGACCCAACGGAAGTTTATTGTAAAATGCGGCCATATCTGCGGCTAGGAACGTCGCATCAACGTGCTCCCGTCTCTAGCACCCCCGCAGCCCGAGCTACGAGTGAAAGAACTAAACTTACATGAAACTTCCGTTGGGTTGCTTTAAAGTCAAGCTTCAGTTTAAGATTCACCCTGTGATAGAAACATGTGATGGAGCATTACTAACCTGACTCAGATGGTTTGTTTCACCAAACCATCTAGGAAAGCTCCATTTGGAAAAGTATTTCAAAAATACTTGGCAGGTGGTTGGATCAATCTATCACCTTCTATCATGGGCCACTTCTGATTGGTTAATCAGTAAATAATTGGTTAATGACTGGTACATGTGGAGCACAGCACGTTTGATTGGTGTGGATGACTGACACACAAGAAAAAATTGCATCATTTAAAATTTCGATTTAAAATCGCGATTTCGATTTAAAATCGATTAAACGTTCAGCCCTAATGTCCTTTTTCCTTTTCGTCATTTCAAGCGATAAAAACTCTCGATCTTCTCTCGAATTTTTTTTTTTTTTTGGACGCCCTCGGTTCGATTTCAGGGCGTTCCGAGCTGAATAAGGGCATCGAATGACGGCAAGACCCCTGGCGGAAACGCTGATAGTGATACATTTCCCATATCAGGCCTCGACACTGGACAAAGAGAACCATCATTCAAAATATCCACCACAGTATTCATTAAATAATCAAATATAGCCTCAATATGTATCTGATGCTAGCAGTACAAACGGCTCCACCTGCTGGTTTCAGCCACCCCATCCCTCTTTAATTTTATATAATGGTATCTTCTTTCCTTTGTTCCAGTTTTGCCGAATTCCACAGTGCAGGCGGCTCTCTCTCTGTCAGATCTGTGCGCTCCTCCGCTCAAACCGCTGACCCTGCTGACCCAAGACAAAGTCAACCTGGCCGAGTGGTTCACGAACCTCTGGGCGCTGCCTGTCAAAGGTGAGGAAATAATTCTATATACATGTTTACCTTTTGCCCTCTGACGCAGATGCCCAACCTTGAGCAGCCATTTTCTCCCTTAAAGGGGACCTATCATGCAAAATGCACTTTGTGATGTCTTTTTATACATAAATATGTGTCGGGGAACTCACGCAGCGTCAGAAAATAAAACCCTCTCTCTTTTCCACCGCACCCAAATCTTTTAAAAACGGGTCTACAACGGAGCTGATCCAGATTTCCATCCGAGCTGACGTCAGCCCGGAATAGTGGGCGGTGACGCTCCGCCTACATGGGCAACGCTCCACCTGCAAAAGGACCGCAATCGTTATCAAAAAAGTATTCCATCCACACGCAACAGGCACCAGAAACGTGTCCGTTCACACGAGACCGCTCAAAAGTGCTGGAGACGCTGTAGTACATGGCCTGTAAGTGGCGCTGTAGTCTGCCACAAAAGCAGCGAAGAAGACTTCCCGCGCATGGTTGCCCTTCTGTTTATGCTCCGCGCTGGCTCTTTTTCTCCCTCCCCGAGGCAAGCGTTTGCTCCTGCTGTAAATCTCCCATGTAGTCCACCAGCCAGCAGATGAAAAACACCCACCTTCCAAGGGACGAGGGGACCGTGCGGCAGAGTTTCAGTAAGATTTTTTTTTCGCGGGTCAACATGTCTAACAAATTAGAAAAGTGCCGGTCAAAGGTCTTCTTTGTTATTTATTGAGCTTTAAAACAAATGAATAACGACTCTATATAATCATATAAGAATACAAAACGGAGCCTCTCTTTTCCTCCCCCTCTTTTGACAGCCCAGCAGCTGATCAGAGCATGCTCCCCTCTCCTGCAGGGGGGCGTGGTCAGCTGCAGCTCATTGCATTAAAGCTACACAGAATCAGCCCTTGCAAAAACAGGGCTGGAAATAGAGTGAAATGAGGCAAGGCTAAAATGCATGATCTGTTTGGTATTTTGAAAAAAAAAATTCACAGACATGTTTTATATAGGTATGGCCCTACAATATTTTATATATGTATGGCCCTACAATATATTATTAAAATATAGCATGATAGGTCCACTTTAAGGAGGGGCTGCCCTAGCATTTTGTTGTTACCAGTTTGTGACCGGGCAATGTTATTGTTGTGGGACACCTGGAACACATCCTTCTCGGGGTGTAGATGACCTCGAGCCATAACCGACAACCAGTGGCGAACCGTCAGGGCCTTCAAGGTATTCAGAGAATACCCTGGAACACTCGGATAAAACAAACCAAAAATCGATTTAATTATATAAATAAAATGTATAAATGAGAATCGTATCCGTGTTGTTGATCTGTAGTATTAGTGTTACGTTGATTTGTTTGTCCTTCTCGGACCATGCACTATGCATTTCAGTGGTTTTGTGTTAGAAAAGAAAGCAACCAGATCTTGTTCTGGGTCTCTGGGTAGAATATCTTTCACCAAGGTAGATCTACATCCTTGATCGAATGCCCTGGCTGTTGCCCTGGCCGTTGCACTGAATGAGAGCGTATGTTTGGACTGACAGTTTGATCAACCTATCATATATTGATTTGTAGCCAATGGGCGTATTCTTTCAGAGTTCCTCTCGGTTCCAGGGTATTCTAGAAGGCCCGCTAGTTCACTGGCTCGAGACAGAGGATCTAGATGAATGCGACGAAGCAATTCATGCCGTTTTATTGTTTTTAACGTTGAAATGACAAGTGCAACAGGTGAAGATGAAGTTGTTGCGGAATTGTTGTGAGTACCCTTTTTGAAGACGACAATTCAGTGAAGACGGATATTATAATGCCGTGGACAGAGTTATTTGCTTTCACAGCAAACGATGCTGGTTTACCGGTATGTCTGATATGTAGAGAGAAGTTGTCAACGGTGGTGCAGCCTTTACGTATCGAGGAACAACAAGGGAGAGGAAGACGGCTGACGATCTTCAGTCATAATTCAATGGGGTATGTAATTTATTTCAGAAAACGCTTTTTGTTATATTCCATGGAATGCTCTTAACGTCCCGATAGCAATGAATATAGTAAATGCTTTGACAATAAATACATACAAAAATGTATCTCTGGAAGCCGTAGCGCTGTAAAAAGCACGACCAATCATCTGAGCCGGCCCGGCTAAAGTAACTGGATGGCCTACCTGCCTGTCAGCCTTCCATCTGTGCACAAACGTATCTCGTGCCCTCATTGGTCATGTGCGCGTTCGTGTGTGTTGAAGGAGGGACTCTGTAAGGAAGTCTGAAGGAAGAGGCATATTTTTTTCGGTTGTGTATTTTCAAATTCTAGCGCACTCAAGCTGGTTTCTCCATTCTTACCTACCCTACCTTTAACTCTTTTTAGGGTGCAGCTATATATTTTATTTATTTCAAAGTGGGCCCATTTTATGTTTCACCTTTCTTTATTGATTTTCACTTATACCAAAACAATGCAGGGCACATGAAAATGCAGATGTGTAATCATACAATTTAATTACATTTGTACCACAAATACAAATGTCCTTGCAGTACATATACTGTGCAAGCACATAATATATATGTATATACGCACATACACATATTCATAAACACCCACAGCTGCACTTAAAGAAATAAAATAATAAAATAAACAAATAATACAGTCCACTAAAATAAACAGTACATTAAAAGGGAAGGTTGGGGGGGCTTCATGCAGTCAGATTTGCACAGGGGAGTTTGCTAAAATAGTCAAGGAAAGGCTGCCAGAGCTTGTAGTATTTGTTAACACATCCCTGGCTACGATACCTCAGCTCCTCCAGCTGCAAATGTGCCATCACATCCCTCACCCAGTGGGTGTGAGATGGTGGAGTCCGGTCTTTCCATTTGAGGAGGATTATACGGCGGGCAAGAAGGGTTGCAAACGCAAGTGAGTGTGACTGGCAATTAGAGAGGGAGACCCCCTCAGGGGCTACTCCAAACACAGCTATTATGGGATTTGGTTGTATGTTCTGGCCATACATCACTGAAAACGTTTCAAATATAGAAGACCAAAATGGGGCAATGGACTGACAGGAGAAAAACATGTGCAATAGGGTAGCCCTGGCACAATGACACCTCTGGCACGTGGGATCCACCTCAGGGTACAGCCTGGCAAGCCTGCTCCTGCACAGATGTAATCGATGGAACACTTTAAATTGAAGTACTCCATGCCTCACACAGATGGAGGATTTATGTATGTTCTCAGTTGCAGACCGCCAGGTCTCATCGGTTAGTTCTATGCCCATTTCTTCTTCCCAGGCACCCTTAAGGTGGTTAAGGGAGGGGCTAGAGATTTCTTGAATAATATTATATAGCTTTGAGATATAGCCTCCCTGACAAGGTTTGAGGCCAAGGCAGTCTTCCATCCATCCACCAGGTGGGGCGGCCGGGAAGGAGGGAAATTGTTTTCTTGTATAATCACGAATTTGTAAATATCTAAAATAATTATTCCTTGGGATGTCATATTCTTTGACTAAATGTTGAAAGGATGTGAATACCCCTTCATAGAACAGATCAGCAACACACTTAAGTTCCTTCCGGGACCACAGGTGGAAAGCGGAGTCTATCAGGGCTGGTTTGAAAGCCGGATTGCGAACTATGGGGATGGAGGAGATAGTTTGTCTATATCCAAAATGCCTCCTGAACTGTGACCATATCCTAAGAGAGCTATTGACCACAGGGTTGTTCGAGTGATATTTTCTACTAAGTGGTAAAGGAGCACACATCAGGGAGGCAGGGGCCAGTGGTTCACATGAGTGTTGTTCCATGCTAGACCAAATAGGACCGCCCCCTTCCCGGAAATGACTCATCCAGAATGCCATTTTATGGATATTGGCAGCCCAGTAGTAGTGTAAAAAATTGGGTAATGCAAGACCCCCCTCTGACTTTCTCTTCTCAAGAAATGCCTTACGCAGACGGGGAATTTTCTTATTCCAGATAAAAGTGGAAATATATTTGTCCAGGTCTTTAAAAAACTTTTTAGGGATAAAAACAGGAATTGACAGAAAATAATACAGCATACGTGGCATAATAACCATTTTAATGGTGTTCACCCTGCCCGCCAACGAAATAGGGAGCGACGCCCAGCGCTTCAGGTCCTCATTAACCTTGGCCAGAGCTGGTTGCAGGTTCTTTTTAAACAGGGTTTTAAAGTCCTGTGTCACACACACTCCCAGGTAGGTGAAAGAGTCAATGGCCACTTTAAAGGGGAGTTTGCTAAATGAAAGCTTGGCCGCAGTCTCATTGATGGGGAAGAGTATACTCTTGGTCATGTTGATCTTATACCCAGAAGCCTTGCCGAAAGAGGTGATTACATCGAGTGCAGCCGGAATGGACCTAAGCGGATCGGAGCAGTACAGTAAAACATCGTCTGCATACAAAGACAGCTTATGCGTATAGCCTCCCCGCTGAATTCCTGTCAAATTTGACCGATTCCTGAGAGCAGCTGCTAACGGTTCTATGGCTATATCAAACAAGAGGGGGGACAGGGGGCATCCCTGCCTTGTGCCCCGTTGAAGCCGGAAGTATTTCGAAATTATATTATTAGTGCGAACTGCTGCCTGAGGTGCAGAGTAGAGGACCTTTATCCAGGAGATAAAGCATGGGCCGAAGCCAAATTTAGCAAGAGTTGCAAATAGGTAGTCAAATTCAATGCGATCAAAGGCTTTGTGTGCGTCTAGAGAGATGAGGGCCTCTGGAGAGAGTCCTGGATTTGAGTAAATTATATTATATAGACGCCGAAGATTCCCAAAAGACTGTCGGCCTTTTACAAACCCTGTTTGGTCCGGGTGGATGATTCTATGCAGAACAGTCTCAAGGCGCAGAGCTAAAGCTTTGGAGAGAATTTTGTTATCACAACAGACTAGACTTACTGGTCTGTAGGAGTCGCATTTCGCTGGATCTTTGCCCTTTTTAAGGATGACTGTTATTACTGCCTGAGCTAATGTGGGGGGCAGTGAACCCTGCTGGAGTGCCTCTGCATATACTTCGCGCAGCACAGGTGTCAGTTTGCCAGCAAATTTTTTATAGAATTCAGTAGGGAAGCCGTCCGGTCCGGGGGCTTTTCCACTTTTCATACTTTTAATAGCGCGGTTTATCTCATTAGAAATGTCCCCCTCTAAAGCCGAGACACCGTCAGGATCCAGTGTTGGAAGCTTAAGGTCCTTTAGAAAGTTAGTTGTCAGAGAGTCATCCGAGACTTCTGATGAATAAAGATCTTCATAGAAACTCTTAAATTGATCATTAATGCCCCTCTGATCGGAAATGGTGTCCCCATTTACCGTTCCAATTTCCGCAATTAAACTGTCTGCAGCCGACTGCCTTAGTTGATGGGAGAGTAGTTTACTGGCCCGCTCCCCGTGTTCATAATGGGTCTGCCTAGATCTCAGATGAAGGTCCTCTACGTAGGTGGATGCCAGAGAGTCATATTCCACCTGCACTGTAATGCGTTCCTTATACAGTTCAGCAGAGGGCTTTGTTGAGTGTATTCTATCAATGTCTCTGATCCGATTAACAAGTTCTGTCATTCGCTTTGTCTTTTTCCTGCTAATACTGATTGAATATGATATTATTTGCCCACGAAGATAAGCCTTCATGGCCTCCCATACAGTGCCTATACTCATCTCTGGTTGACGGTTTATTTCAAGAAAGGTATCGATGTGCGTGGAAATATACTTTCATCTAATAATAAGCGTGGGTTTAGACGCCAGATCCTTTGTGGTGGTACATGGTTTGGAAAACAAAGTTTCATGGTCACTGGGCTGTGGTCAGAAATAACAATGCTCTCATAGTCACTGGACTCAAGCACAGAGAGTAACTTTTTGTCTAAAATGAAATAATCTATTCTGGAGAATGACTGCTGCGCTGTAGAAAAAAATGAAAATTGTTTAGATGTTGGGTTCTTAAATCGCCATGGGTCCACCATGCCGTATTCTTCCACAAAGGAGTTCACCACTCGAGCTGAGTTTGACAGTGGTCTAGAGGAGACAGTGGAGCGGTCCAGAGTGTGATTGAGGGCACAGTTTAAGTCTGCCCCCAAAATTAGGTGATGGGAGTTCAAATCCGGGAGCAGAGAGAAGAAATTGCTAAAGAAATCGGCATCATCTGAGTTGGGAGCATAGAGACATGCAAGCACAACAGGTGTGTTGTACAATTGACCTTGCACTATGATATAGCGGCCATTTGTATCTGCAATTACTTTAGATTCCACAAACTGCACATGCCTACTATCAGGATCGCTGCACCCCTATATTTGGTGTTGAATTTGGAGTGGAAAATGTGAGAGAAACCACCCCGCTTGAGTCTAGAGTGATCAGAAGTACGTAAATGAGTTTCCTGGAGATATACTATGTCTGCTTTTAGCTTCTGGAGGTGGGAAAACACTTTGCTGCGCTTTACTGGATGATTGAGACCTCTAACATTCCAGCTAACCAAAGTAGTTGCCGCCTTACCTACACTCGTTGCCCTGTTTGCCTGGGTCATTGTGGGACCTTGGACAGTAATCTAGCCCCCTGTCAGAAGGGTGAGGGAGAGGAAGGGAGGGAAAGGGGGGATGGGTCACCTTAAAAAAACTGAAATAAAACACACAGCAATAAGAACATAAACACCATTGAGAACCTAAAATAGAAGGTCCATATGTAATTGAAGTGATTGAAACAACATTCACAATAAAGAGCTGGTCCCTCCCCAACTGAGGGACTGCTACCCGCCCCCGATAATACTCGCACCTCAACGTGGACAGCTTACCTGGCGAGATCGAGCCCCGCCAGAACCATCAATAGCTTTAGATAAACCTTTTGCTAATAGATATAGACACACCTCTAAGTTGAACATTCATAACATGGTCTCAGTAAAAGTAACATACTTGTTAACCAGTTATGACAACATATGCAGACATCCAGTATTGATTGTTGAATGAAAAGTAGAGCCAGAAAAACGTGAACCTCCCCAGGAGTATAGGAGAGCAGTTGCTTGAACTAGCGGGCTGTAAGCCAACTGGCTGTTATAAAATGTGGGCTAGTATGAGCAGCGCGAGCTGGCTTAAATTACACAATAATAAGAAAAACCACAAACGTTCGTAGCAAGCCCTAGCCCACAGCCCCATATACGTACATGTGGGAAATGCAACGCCGCTATCCGGCGCTGCATTAGTCCGTCAGTCAGCTTACCTAGCATCTTAGCCGCTCTGTTTAGCCACGTTCCTCAAAACAAAGTCCTTCGCCTCCCCCGGGTCTGTGAAACTGTGTCGCTTTCCATCGGCCGTTGTGATCCGCAAAACCGAGGGATACCACAGTCCGTACTTGACACCATCACAGCCTCTTAGCATGCCTTTCACATCCCTGAAGGCGGCTCTCTGCTTTGCGACTGCTTGGGTATAGTCGGGGAATACTCTGATCCTGTCTCCGTGTGACGTTGTCGGATCTGTGGCCGTGGCTGCCTTGCGGAGGGTCGCTTCCTTCTCCCGGTAATAGTGAAATCTTACCACAAAGGCGCGGGGTGGCTGGTCCTCCTGGGGCCGTTCCCGTAGGGTGCGATGGCATATGTCTAGTAGTGGCTCTTTTTCTAAGCCCAGCGTTTCCTGGAGTAGTTTAGCTACAAAGTCAGTTGGGTTCTTCCCTGCCTCCCGTTTTTCTTGTATCCCGGTGATGCGGAGGTTGCACCTCCTAGACCGCGCCTCCAGGTCCTCACTCCTGTCAGAGAAGATTTTCATGTCATTTTTTAGCTGCTGCACGTCTCGTTCGAGAGTGGTAATGAGGTCCGAGTGATCATTAGCGGCAGTATCCAGGCTCTCGACCCGGTCCTCCAAACACTTGGTGCGGCTGCTGACGCGGTCAACGGCGGATCTCAGCTCGTCCCTCAGTTGGCTTATTTCACGTCGTAGTTCTTTAGACTGCATCTCGGCGTTGTCATCAATTTTCTTCAGCAGGTCCTCTCTGAGAGATTGAATGGCCCATAGAATCGCGGTCTCATCACCTCGTGCTGCGCTAGCAGCTAGGGGCCCTGCCCCAGCACCTTTAGCCGGGCTAGCACTATTAGCTTTCGGATCTGGCGCAGCAGACGTCTTTTTGCGAGAGGAAGACGACATATTTCGAATGAAACTGTTGGGCGGAGGCAAGGAAGAACAGTTTAGATTAAAGTTGCTTGAATATAGTGTAGAGGGTAGTTGTCTAATATAAATATTCTGATTCTGGCGAGGAGCTCGAGAAATGCGACCTCACATGGCTCCGCTCAGACCGGAAGTCCAAAGTGGGCCCATTTTAATATTTTTTTCCTTCAAATGTGCAGAGGACTCCCCAAGTGCTGTTTTTAATTTATTTTAAAGTAGGCCTGTGTATTATTTTTAATTCTCCTTATAAGAGTTCTTTGTTTCTTATTAGAGGTTAACAGTTTTATATCATGTCATAAATAGCCTAATAAATGCAAAAAAACTAGTTTGTCTGATACAACAATAAAAAACTATGAAATTTGTTTTGCGGCTCCAGACCAAACATTTTTTGGAAAAAGGAGCAAAATGGCTCTTTTGGTCAAAAAGGTTGCAGACCCCTGCCCTATCCGATAATAATCCAATGCAGAGGCAATAATATAATACATTATTTTATATAATTTATATATTTATATAGTCTTAAAGTGCATCTATCATGCTATTTTTAGGCAATAGCATAGGTCTCAGATATAAAAAAACATGTCTATGAAGTGTTTTGCTCAAAATACCAAACAGATCACCCATTCTAGCCATGCCTCATATCCTTTTATTTCACTTCCTGTTTGAAAAGTGCTGAATTTGGGTATAAAGCTTTAAAAAAGATAATAATTGATCAAATTAAAAAAGGAGGGGGCTGAGCTCATGCGGGACCCGGCAGCTACTGTCTAAACTAAATGCTGCTGTGATGAAACGCCATATCATGGATTATCAAGGATTCTCTCTGAAACAGTCTGGAGCTCAAAGGCTTTCTCTCTTGCCGGTTATACCACAAGGTGAGTTCCTTTTTATTTCCTGCTTCTTCACACACATGCTCTCCAGTACAGGTTAGCTCTGAGTGTTAGCGATGCTAATGTAAACACCGACCATATTGCGTCGAGCCAAAGGGTTTTATTTTCTGACGCTGCGTGAGTTCCCCGACACACCGGGGACACATTGATGTATAAAAGACATCACAAAGTGCATTTTGCATGATAGGTCCCCTTTAAAGTTACACCCGGCCCTTTGAGTTCAACCATAATTCTGATGTGGCCCACGGTGAAATTGAGTTTGACACCCCTGCGCTAACCCGTCCCACTTTGTCTTTGAACATATGTCGTTCTTGGTCTTTAAATAAATGTTTCTGTTCTGTTTGTAGTAGAGAGTACTGAGATCTTCCCGGATCAGTTCGAGTGGTTCTGCTATCAGGGCCGGGTGATCGGCCTCACGATGGACATTAACAGCGGATCATTCTGCAACGGGAAGATGCTGCTGGGCTCCTTCATGAAGAAACCTCTGTGGGTGGACCACAGCGCCGCCACCGTCAGTACCCTCCCACATCTCTGCGTTATACTCACTGTCCTCTCTAGTGTCTTAATATTAATCATTTCTGTCATTGTTTTTCTTTATAAAGGTCTTTAACTTATTAACAAGCTCTGTGAGTGTGACCATCAACGGCAGGAAATCCCGCTTCAACCCTGGAAAATCCTTCATGGTGCCATGCGGTAAGAATAGAATATAATAATAATACATTTTATTTATAACGCGCATTTAAGGGTCACTTTACACAGGGTAAAATTACACACTTAAAACTAGGGCTGTCAGTCGATTAAAATATTTAATCGCGATTAATCGCATGATGTCCATAGTTAATCGCAAATTAATCGCACATTTCTTATCTGTTCTAAATGTTCCTTAGAGGAATATTTTTCAAGTTTTTAATACTCTTATAAACATGAGTGGACAAATATGCTTTATGCAAATGTTTGTTTATTATCATTGGAACAATGACAAATATTCTCCTGAATATTCTCAACGCAACAACCTGGAACCTCTCTCTTATACCTCATTCACACCAACGCAACTCCGGTTCAAGCTCCGTGCTAGAGCTTTTCAGGTTCAGAACCGGTTCTTCGGTTTAGCTCCGGCTCTTTTCACACTGCCCAGAGTCCGACTGGTGCTGCGTAATTGCGTCATCGTTTGCGTCATGACGTAACTGTTTGCGTGCCTGCTTCATAAAGCCAAACCGCGCGGAAACCCCTCACAGCTCACACCGACAACAACAATGGCCGAGTGTGCTCCAGCTTCCTCTGTACCTCTTCGGAAGCCCAGATTCCCAGTAGGGAAGTGGACCACTGCTGCTTAAGTTTCTCCATCGTTGTGTACAAGCTGGATAAAACGCGGGCTTGTTGTTGATCCCGCCCCTGCCCCCGCCTCGACGTAAGCGTGACGTATGTGGTGCTTTTGCTCTGGTCGGACAATTTTGTTGGTGCTTGAAACAAACCGGATTCCGGAGCTAAGAGGCTGCTCCGCTGCGGTGTGAACAGGAAAACCCGGTGCTTTTCAAGCTCCAGCTACAGTTGTCAGCGAAATGCCGCTCCTCTGTATTCATCTTCAGTCAAAGCATGAGACTGAAGTTCCCACCTAGGGTCAAAATAATGCGCTGTGACAGTCGACACGTTGGATGTGATCTGAATTATCTCACGCAGCCCGTCGTCCTCAACAATGTTAAGTTGTAGCCACCCATTTAGCTACCGCTGTTGTCCAGGCGTCTCCCCGGCAATGGCTGTCTGCATCAGCTGTGTGCTTGGCTTGGTTTAATACACCTTTTTTTGTATCCATATCTCTCGCTAGAATCTTCCACCATCCAACTAACAACAACAACCTCAAGCTTTTGGGCTCTGAAACTACGGGGCGGGCCGAGGACAAATACACATGCGTTAATCGCACGTTAAAATAATTAGTGGAGTTATTAACGCGTTAACTTGACAGCCCTACTTAAAACACAACATTATTCAGTTCTGAAGAGGCCCCATTCTGCTCATTTTCACATCAGTATTTAATAGGGCTGTGCATCTTCACTGGTCTCACGATTCGATTACGGTTATCCTGTCTTATTTTCTATATTACTGCACATGGCTTCTTTTTCATCAATGAATACATAGTAAATACTAGGGGTGCACCGAATGGGAAATTCTTGGCCGAAACCGATACCGAAAATAGGAAACAGTTGGCCGAAAACCGAATGCCGAAAGGCCGAAAATGATTAATAGAAATATATATATATATATATATATATATATATATATATATATATATATATATATATAGTATATATATATATATATATATATATATATATATATATATATATATATATATATAATTTATATATATATATATATATATATATATATATAATATATATATGTATACATTTTTTACCAATGTTGTTCAGCTACCTGATTATGGAAATAGACATGATTATGGCAAAACGTAACTTAAATAATAATCACTATTATGGGTCCATAAAACATTTATTCAGCACTTTTGAATGCATACAGTACATTTATATATGTCATGTATTATTGCTAAAAACATTATATCGCATTCTTAGTGTCGCCAACTCGTTTCTAATATGCAAAGACAACAAATGCGTCTATGATGTATTTTCGATCAGACGAGATCTCTCTCCCCCGTCTGTGTGCGAGGGGGCGGGGCAGTTTACACACACGCAGCTGCTACATGCAGCGGAGCACACTGCGGAGATGGCGGAGAGAACGCGCTCCGAGGTGTGGTTAAACGTTACCCGTCTCGATGTGGAGAATACTTGTTACCATAAGTGCAATAAGAGTTTAGCATGTAAGCACGAGCAATTTGTCTAAACATTTAGCAAAAGTGCACCGCATGCAGACGGAGGAATGCACCGGGTTCGACCGTCTTTCTAGCAGCTCTGTAGCCCCATCCACGAGTAACGTTTCCACGTCAGGTGTTATGTATGCTAGCAGCAACACACGGAGTTAACTACATGATACAAACATGGGCTAATGGTTAGAGGAAACTGAGTTATTTAGTTTGTTAAAATTTCAGCTATTCTGTTTACAGTCTGTCATCAGATTATTTAATACGATTTGTTAAAGGCTCAGGGCAATCTCGATGACAAAGGTCAATGTTCCCCCCCCCTGTGAGCCAGCCGCGAGCATGGTCGCCGCGTCTTTATTACGTCATCACAACAACACGTTAGGTTACCAACGTAAGCCTGTTCTGACATTCGGTGATATTTTTTTTTAGCCGAAAGGGCCTTTTTAACCATTTTCGGCCGATAATTTTCGGTGGCCGAATATTCGGTGCATCCCTAGTAAATACATATTAACTCTTTTTATTATTTAGAAAGTGCTTCAGAAATCAATAACATAAATGTCTTGACATTAAATTATAATCCAAAGTAAACCAATTGTATAGCTCTAGCATCCCTATATCTGTCTGTGAAATTGTTCCATCCTCTAAAAACGAATGCTTCTGCAGTCTAGCTGCAGCTCAACGGTCTTCTGTTAAAAAAAAAGGACACTGAAGGTCCTGAATGTGGCATCACACACAGGACTTGAGTCTGAACACAGCAGACAACAGGAGTATTTACAACAGCTATACAAACAAAAATACTGCATGTGGGTGCACACTTACATTCTCTGTCTTACCGTTACATAAACAGCATGATTGTAGGAGATTAAGTTAGCTTCATCATCTCAATCAGAATAATAACGTTGTCACTATCAGCCTGTCACTTATTATTTTCAGGGGGGCGGGGTTTGGAGGAACGGAGAGGAGACGGTGATCGCGGAAGCTTTTTCCTCCTGCCTTCACAAACTTTGCACACGTTTCAACTGAAATAGCAAGAGGACATTCATACTCTGCAATCCAAGACTAAATCCACCAAAAACCTGACATGATTGTAACTCGAGTATTTTAAACATACATCCCTGTGCAGGGCCGGCCTTCGGTATAGGTGAATGCTAAGGGTGCATCAACCCATAGGGGGCGCCACAAATTGGGGGGAAAAACAAAAGTTAGAAATTAAAATAATTTTTATTTTTTTATTTCATAACACAATTTCCCGATTTTGGATCAACAAAGTACATCTTATTATCTTATACTAACAGAACAACGCCTACATTGCGTACAGCGCCCATAAACTATGACACACCCCCCCAAAAAAATCAAGTTGAACCGCCCCAGTAAAAACCAGAGGTTTATGTGAAATTGTTCTTTTTTTGAAATAATGGTTTTAGTGTGCAATCATAGATTTTAATTTTGTATTTGTGTTCATTTAAAATAAATCAAACTCCCAAAAAACGTAGCTTCTGTGTGCTTTTATTAACATTGGAATTTACTGTGTAAGCGGCTTTAGAGAGCTCTCTCCTGGCAGACTCAGCGGCTCTGATCAGCTCAGTGAGGTAAAGGCACACCTTTATATGATCATTATAGTTGTAAAAAAATAAGAGAATAGATGAAAAACAGGTATAAAATACTATATGACAGTACAAAAAAGTTGTTATTAATAAACGAGAATACAGTTTGAAAGGAGAGTGATTTGTAAAATATCCATAAAGAAAATCTGCTTCCAGTTCTGTTTCATCTGGGTGTTGAGAGATGTATCCATAGATCTCCTAATGTTGCTCTCAAAGTGCACCAGATTGATGCTTTTAACTTCAATATTTTAAAAAAAAGTCTTCCGAGGAGAGCATGCCCCTGGACCCCCCTAGAGGAGGTTAGGTCCCCCCCACTTAAATCATGTTCAAATGGATAGGACACTAAATACAGTTGCACACATCTTGTGTCCATATCTTTCTGTTTTGGTGGTCATGCCACAACCGTGCATGCGCTGTTCTTGTGTTGGTGGATAAAGCAGACTGCTCCGTGTCGCTGTGCCGCTGTCACGTCTGTTCCCTGATCTCTGCGTCACCGACCAATTTGATATTCAAGAACGTTCAAAAAACTTTATTGTAAAATCAGGAAGCAACTACGCTATAATTGATTATGTTCTGTCACTGCATCGATGCAGAATCGTCCGCATCGTAGAAACGATTAATTTCAACATCCCTAGTATGTAGTGTCTCTACTCTGACATGTCTCCATGCTTTAATGTTCAAAAAGCTCTTAGTTGTTCTCATACTGCCTGCCTGCCTCTTTTCACCCTCTGTATGAAACCAGAACCTTTTTCTTCTTCAGCAGTACATTGTCCGATGTGCCTCGATGGTTTTAATGATTTTGTACCGTTCTGTTCCCACAGGAAGTGCTTACAGCATCCAGAACGTCTGTGCTCAGCCGGCGGTTCTCTACTTCACAAGAATGATCACAGAAAGCTCAGAATGAATAAAACAAAAACAAAACAGACACAATATGTACATTTTATTAAAAAATGTAGTTACTTTCTGTATTAACTCGTTAAACCCTGAGCCTGTTTTTCAGGTTTCAGGCTCGAAAATTCCATTAACACAACAAATGACTATCTTCACTTCTAAAAGGGGTAAATTAATAATCTTTTTTCTCAAAGCAAGGTTACATCTGTGAGTTGGATGTAGAAGTGTCAGAATCAATATAGATGTTTTTATTTTAAAGTAAATTCAGATGGAACATAGTAAAAACATGTAAATTCTAATCACCGCCTAAAAAAAACAATTACTTATAGTGAAAACCACCCTTGAATGATGGGTTAGTAGACTAAATGCTTTAGGAATCCAAACTATAACATATAAGTACCCTGTATCAAGATTGATGCAAAACAAGTGAAATCTGACCTAGAGAGGTTAAGAAAAATAAAGTCCAGGCAGTGGACTCACCTCTGCACTGTAAAACATCACAGCCCCATTTAGTGAAGTCAAGTTACATTGTCTCTTTAATTGAAAGAGCTCGGACAAGTTTTTGTTTTTGAACTCAGCTTTTCTAGTTTTAGAAGGTTAAACTTACATGTGTCCTTAATGTTACTCAAGGCAAATATATGTAATATAACCGTTAGACTGCAGCTAACTGGGGGGCTACAAACCCCTCATACTGTGAGTGAATAACTTGAGATGGTTATGTTGTCTAAAGGGGAGACAATCATTACGGTATTAGGCCATGCAAATACAGGGTCAACTAAGTGATGAGTGTTGCATAATATGTTCTTGAATAATGTTATTTCATTATGACATGTTCTCCTTATTCAGTTCCACTATCAGATGATGCTGATGGCCCTGAGGGAGAGATGCAGGCAGAGCTCAGTGGACAGAACTGGCAGGTACAGAGGAAACTGTTTCAATAGGCTATGACTGACACTGAACAAAACCAAAGGAAATTTAATGACAACAGTATAAGCAAGCTATGTTCATGTTCTCTCAATAAGTTACTATATAGTTATTGATAAGAGTTTATTCCTTATGCTAGTTCTTATTCAGTAGCAGATGCTGAGGAGGTTGACAAGTCAAGATTCAGGGTCCAGCACAAGGGAAATTGCAACTGGGGAGAAAGACAGCGAAAGACGCACAGGAAGTTGACACTGAGAGGCCTTTTGATTATTTTGCTCGCCCTCAGCCAACCACCCACAACAAGCTTCCAAGAAAGCCATTCCCAAAGTATTCCACAGCAAGGATGGGACAACTAGAAGGTGGTTAACTTACTGTGAATCATCGCACTCTGTGTATTGCTCGCTGTGTCTCATGTTTGCCAGGCCTGCCAGTGACGATGCTTTTGTGAAAGGAGGATGCAGGAAGCATGTTCACCAAAGAATTGAAGAGCATGAAAGAAGCGGGTTGCATCGAGATAGTGCAGATGCATATTTGCTGAGCAAGTAGAGCTGATATCAGTAGCCTATACGCAAAGTGATTGACGCATTTAACTCCAAAATAAAAAACAAATCTTCCCGGGGGAGCATGCCCCCGGACCCCCCTATAGGATTTCAGGTCCGTTCCCAAATACATATACACACTTTCTTTTAACAATATCCTATGTCCATATGTTTCTATTTAAGTAGTAGATTTAATCTGTAGGGCTATCGCTACGGGTATACATCCAGCAAAACGCGTGGCCTGGCTGGGTGTATAAATCTCGGCCTGACCTATGGTCCCAGTCCGGCCCTGCTGACACATCACACACCCATACACTACACACATTACTGATTAAACTGATATCACAATGTAGTTACTCTCTTTAAATAAATATACTGTAATTGGAAAAGAATCATGTGGTGTCCTTGTTTTGTCCGTTCTTGAGCCAGGGCTCCTTCTTGTAGGTTATTCTTGGTTTTAGAATTAATTCAGTAATGGTGTGTGTGTAACACAAACATAATAAATCATTGGATAGTGTTTCTCAAATGAAGGGGGAATGTAATGAAGTAATGTATTAAGACTTATTTAATTGGCATTCTTCAAAAATACAGACATTGCAGCACATCGTGTCACGTCTTTGTTCAGCCTTTCTCAGCAGTAGAGTAATGTGTTGGTGAACCTTTGTTTCCTCCTGACAGCTCACTTAAAGGTATACTCAATTAAATTGGCATGACTTCAGTTACATATAGTATTGCCAAAGCTCTGTATAGTTGCAACATCTATACAAATATATATATATACTCCCCCTTGTGGCCAAAGGGGGACACAACTCTTGTCTTCAGATGCTTGAGTGCAGCAAAATGTAGCTCAGTGACTATTGTCAACTAAACATAAAACAATACATATTTTAGTAAACGGGACATAATCTCCGCACATTAACATGTGCCTCTGACATGGGGCCGAAATGAAAATAAACAATATATAGGGGTTGCTTCTTCTCTGAACTTCTATACTGCATCCCTCCATATCAAATAAACCATAAACAAATACATAAAGTCGTGTTCATTGCAGCGATCTATTTCACACACAAACTATATGAAAACTTGGTGATACACAGCGGCGTTTTCTCCTGGAGACCAAGGGAAGACAGGCTTCTCCTGTTTTTTCAGCCTTTATCATTTTGATAATTAAATATATATTCTTGTCTGTGGTTGTTTTTGCGTTCAGGGCATACAAGAGGTGTAACATTATTTGAATACCAAAACTATATTGAAATAGGGTCTAGCTTGAACAGCAACTAAGTAGCTGTAACATTACTGGGTTACTTGGTGATAACTACCAAACAAAGTAACTCCAGACGCAGACGTCACGTAGCTTCTCAGACGAGAGGGGTGGCGACGAGAGTGTCACGTTACTTCTCTCGCGGCATAGTACACGGCATGGTAGACGACGATCGACTGCACAGTTAGTTCTTTGGCACAAATCACACCTCATAAGAGAGAGGGGTAGAGAGAGGGATAGCAGTAGCGCTTGAGTTTACATCTAATGTATGGATCACGCCACAACAGCAAGACATAAAGACCACAAAAACAAGTGACATCTTTGACCGCTCTGCTGCATGAAACTCGCTAAGTGTGGTATGATTTGAAGAGATAGGAGGCACTGCTATTACAAATGTAACCTGAACACTGGAACGTACATTTAAATCACCCCAAGCATAATTGTCTTCATTGTAATTTTTTGAGCCATTTTTTTCATCTCTGCTGATATGAAAACATAAATGCTGATACTAATATATTTGTGGAAGGTCAATATCAAGGTGAATAACGTGCATTTATTTTGTGTTACAGGTGTGAACGAACATGTCCAGTTCATGAAGTGGAAATGTAAGTTTTGTACTTCTCCTCCAATTGGCAAGGAAGAATAATTAAGCATTATAAACAGCGTCATGGACATCATCGAAGGTGTTCAGGCCTTGTCTGTATTTATGAAGACTGTTTGAACAGCTTTCAAACCCAAGCTTTACTTAAAAAACATTTGAAAGACATATTTTGCTCATTTAAAGACTCATTTGAGGAACAGGGAAACAGTTAAATGTCCATTCGTAGACTGCTCATTGAAGTCCAGTATACTATCAACCTTTACTGCTGATAGAAGTCGCTATCATAAATGTTCCACCCTAAATAGTCTTAGACCAGGGCTTTGTGTAGCATGGACATACAAATACTGTAATCAGGGAGGATTCTGTTTCTGATACTGAGGCATCACCTTCATATGATTCTCTACCTGCTGCTGAAGGTCTTCTTGAAAATGGAGAGACCATTCAAAATAAGTTTGCATCCTTACACCTCCGCATGCAAACCATTTTACATGTTTCTAATTCAGCAATACAGGAAGTAATTGAGTTATTTAACATTTGAGAACTTGCTGATCAAAATATCAAAGAAATTATACAGAAGGTTTAGGAGGAAAATAACGGTGTAGTTGATGCCTCTGTTGTTACAGAATTGTCTGATGAAATACAATCTTTAAACCCATTGGCATTTCTTTCAAGGCATGGACCTTCGGGCACAGAGCGTCATTTTATAAAAATAACTTTACAGTCATTGAACCAGTCGAGTGCTAAATGTACAAGAAAAAACCCATTCATTTGTTTATGTTCCTATTTTAGAGCTGTTAAGTAAGTTGTTTGAAAGAACTGATATTCTTCAATCATTACAGAAGTCAACGGGAAGACGGGAAGGTCATTACAGTTCATTTCTCATGTTCCGATTAACCCAGCTTCCCCAAATGTCTTTCTTTTTGGTGTCTATATACGCCGGGATCCGGAGTCATGGATGATCCTGCGGTCCTGTGTCCTGCATCGCGAGCCCTGGATCTTGAATCGTGGCTGTGGTCCTGGATCATAGGTCCTGGATGGATATCCTCGTGGATTCATCTTCCTATTATACACACATGCATTTCCAAACATTTGGTCTACCTATGTTGCAAATGTATTATCTTTTCAATTTACACACGGCATCTATTGCACGTCTGTCTGTCCTGGGAGAGGGATCCCTCCTCTGTTGCTCTCCCTGGGGTTTCTCCCATGTTCCCTTTAAACTGTGGGTTTTCTCTGGAAGTTTTTCCTTGTACGATGTGAGGGTCTAAGGACAGAGGGTCTAAGGACAGAGGGTCTAAGGACAGAGGGTGTCGTATTGTCATACTGATATTCTGTACACACTGTGAAGTCCACTGAGACAAATGTAACATTTGTGATATTGGGCTATATAAATAAACATTGATTGATTTCAAGATGGTGAATATTTAAAGAAATCAAACTTCTCACTGAAGAATTAGGAATTGCTCTTGGCTTATACATTGATGATTTTGAAGTTTGTAATCCGTTGGGGACTTCAAAAAAGAAACACAAAGTGTGTGGCATTTATTGGGTGTTATCCAACATACCACTCAAATTTAGATCAACATTATCATCAATTTATCTAGCTATATTGTGCAAAACTGTACACTTAAAACAATATTTAATAATTGGCCATCTTTGTCTGCTCACAGACTTTCCCATTGGTTGGGTTTTATTTATAAATCTCTGCTTGGGTTGGTTCCCTCCTACATTTGCACATATATGTGTCAAAGAGAAAGTCTATATGGCCTGCGCTCCCAAGATTTGATTCAGATGCT